CATCACAGCGAAATGTCGAAATTGAATCTATACAGGATATAATGACATATCTGAGGAGTCATAGCGAGCTTTATGATATTTTACCTGAATATTTAAAATTCATAAAGTTGTTGCTGGTAATACCAGTCTCATCATGTATGACCGAAAGATCTTTCTCATCATTGAGAAGATTGAAATCATTTTTAAGATCAACAATGAGCCAGAAGAGATTAAATGATGTAATGATACTGAATGTTCATGGCGACATGGTGGAAAATCTCGATTTGGAACAACTCTGCAATGAGTTCATCAAACGGTCCTCTGTTAGGATGAATTCTTTCTCCTTGTTCGATCCTAGAGAAAAATGAAATATAATATTTTAAAACCGTTGTCTGTTGTCTTATCATGTTCTACTGACTAATGGCAGTTTTATATGTATTAATTTTTTTTATTAGTGTAATGTTGATCATGTCGTGTTTATGTTTTTCGTAGATATAGGATATAGGTATGTTTATCTATCTTCATATTTTTCATTCAATAAACGTTAATACATTAGTAGAATATGTTTATTTTCCTAAAAATTTGGCTACCCAGCCCACCCTACCTTTTTCAGCACAAAGACAAAAACTTTGACAATCGAAGGTGAGGTGCACCGGACGGAATTTCTAAAAGTCGGCGCCACTGAGGCTATCCTATGTGAGAGATACGAATCTAACAGAAATCAAAGCAATCAAGAATTCATGAGGACTTTATTAGTACGGGAATTCCACTTTTTCGCGCTGTAATGAATGAAGCTCGCTTTGCATTTCTTACAAATTGCATTAGGTTTGACGACAGGCACACTAGAAAGAAGCATGGTGAAGCAGTTTGTTTTGCGCTAATGCGATATATTTTTGAAGTAGTTATTTTCAAATGTAGCAAACTTTGCTCGCCTTCAGAGTTCTGAACGTTAGATGAACAACTTATGAGTTGTCAAGCCAATCCGTTCAAAATGTATTTACCCTTAAAACCCGATAAAGATGAAATTAAAATGTTAGCATTATGCGATGCAATAACTTTTTATCTTTTGATTGCCGAAGTGTATAAAGGTAAAAATTCAATACTGGTAGGTGTCCCTGTAGCTGAATACTACACGATGAGTCTACAAAACTAATTCATGGAACAAATCGTAACCTTACAACAGATAATTGGTTCACCTTAATCCAAACGGCAAAAAAGCTGTGTGATCATCATTCCGTTGCATTATTTGGAACCATGAAGAAAAATAAAGCCGAACTCCCAGTAACGTTCATCGAAAAACGTAACAGAAACAAAAATTCAGTTATGTTTGCTTATACTTAGTAAAAAACTAACATTGCTTTCGTAATGTTCTCCAAAGGCTAAGCTCCATGCATACTGAAGAAGACAAACCAAATTCTACAGTGCTTCCCAAAATAATTGATTTTCATAGTCGAACCAAAGTCGCAGTAGACACATTCGATAAGCTCGCGCATAGATACACAACTTCTAGAAAATCAAGACGATGGCCTCTTTCTATTTTTTACAATTTATTAGACCTCGTTGAAATTAATTCAATAGTTCTATGTAAAGGTAGTAAGAAAAGAAATAACCTAATCTAATCTAACCTAACAGAAGGTCATTCCTAAAAAAACCTTAGTACAGGCTGTTTAAAAAGGGGTGTACATATCTTAAATTATTAATATAATTTCAGAGTATGACAACTGTATTAAATAGGGCTGGTTCAAAATAATTAGGAGAGGTAGTAAAGGTATTTATAGGCTTCCATTCACGATATTTACACGCAGTTGTTTCTCGTACGAGGGGAGCTGTCTTTAGAGGTTTCTACATACGTGTCCCGCGATACTAACACTAAGATTAAGAGATAGATCACATTTGCGTCTGTTGTTATACGATTCAAAAGAAGATTCGCGAAATTTTTCACGTAAGTAAGAGTGAGAGGGGGGAGGGAAAGAGTGAGAGAGAGAGAGTGGGTCTTTAGCTAATGCCAGTCAACAGTCGAGAGAGCGTATGTTTCGTTTGCTATTTTAAAACTGTCTGTATGTCTAAAGGAGTGGGATTGAAGTGGGAGTAGAAATTATTACTAATGGTTGGAGTAAGGTAATGATTTTAAAATTGAGATGGAGAATGACAGGAATTAATACAGCGAAAACTATAACATGGTTTTTCGCATGTGAAAAATTTAACATAGACCTAGTTACTCTCTTGATGAGTGAATGGCTCGGAATCCAAACTTTGTCAAAATAACTCAGAGCTGTTATAGAAAACAAATTGCATATTGAGCCTGAAGTATCTAATGTAGACAAAGGCAATCTTCTTCCGGGATATGCGCTTTTTGCACACACACAAACAAGACAGAAAATCGAGGATAACGTGCAAGAATGCAAAAAATATAAATGTCTGAACCATCAGTCAAAAGTGTGCCCAGATTGCATTGACTAAAACTAATAATTAATAAATATGTTTAATAATGTGAAACCATTATATACAAAACTTTTGTACTTTTCTAAATATATTTGATTTTTTGCAAACAGGTATTTTATATTATTAGGCGCAACCAAATTGACCACATCATTGTAGATGCCCGTCATGGGAACAATATTATAGACGTAAGAAGCCTGAGTGGAATAGATGGAGACACAGATCATTACTTGGTCAGAGCAAAAGTCAAATCCAGAATATCTAGCCACAAATACAATAAAACAACAATAAACCTACAATGAAACATGAACGAAATGCACAATAAAGAGAAACAACACAACTGTAGAGAACAACTTGAACAATCCTTGAACTCTGAAAGAGAATACAATGATATAGAACAGCTATGGGAAACGACTGCCGAAATAATAACCAAGACAGCGGACAAGATCTTTGGAAGGAGTAGGCAGAAGAGGGCAAAAACATGGTATAACGAGGACTGTCGGAAACAGTTGAAAAAAGACAAACAGTAAGGAAGACCAGGATACAACTGCAAACAGACCAAAGTAAAAAGGAATATGACGATTGCCGAAAAGAAACAAGAAAAATAATACGCACAAAGAAAAGAAATTATGAACAACAAAAGAGAGACAATCAAGGCCGTATGATAATCGACGGTAAAGAAGTAGCTGAAGAATGGAAACAGTAATTTAGAGACCTTCGAAACACCATACAGGAATACCAGCACAAAGAAGAGATCTACATCACAGCGGACATGCCCGTCAAAAATCTATCCTTTGAAGAAACCCAAAAGGCCTTAAATAAGCTAAAAAATCACAAAGCGCCGGATACGGACGAGATACTAGCAGAACTTCTGAAATATAAGGGAGACGCACTGCATCGCCAAATCCACCAGCTAATAACGCACATATGGTTAGAAGAAAATATACCAGCACGATGGAAGGAAAACATAATATGGTGTCCATCCACAAAAAAGGAGACAAAACAAAATGCGCGAATTATAGAGGAATTTCACTCCTAAACACGGCATATAAAACCCCTTTCAAACATCATTCTTGGTAGACTAATCCCTTATGCTGAAAATGTCCTAGGCGAATATCAAACCGGTTTTAGGGCAAACAGATCAACAATAGATCAACTATTCACGCTGAGACAATTTCTAGAAAAGAGATGGGAGTATAACAGACCCATACACAATCTTTTCATAGACTTTCGACAGGCATATGATGGCGTAGAAAGAAGCCAAGTATGGAATGCCATGGCGGAGTTCTCAATACCAAAGAAACTCATTCGGATGACACAAAGTCTGTATGGAGGGTAGAATATCTAAAGTACGCGTAAATAATACACTGTCTGGCAGCTTTGAAATCAACAGTGGACTCAAACAGGATGATGCGTTATCTCCACTACTTTCTATTCTTGTATTAGAGAAAATTGCCAGAGTTAGTTTTGCAAACCTGTTTTGATTTGGTTTGAGTCTTCTTACAAACTCCTTCTGATGACTGGCAGACCCAGAAACACGTGTCAGGAAGTGGTAAGAGACTCGAATTAAATCGAAACGCAACCTTCTTCGTAGAATTGCTATCGGTTCAAGGTCCCAAGCTGTTACTCGCATATGCAGATGACATAGATCTCGTTGGAGACTCCATCCTATCCACGAAAGACATCTTCAACAAGGTGGAAGGAGCAACATGTGAACTAGGGATGAAGTTTAATGAAGAGAAGACAAAATATATATGTGTATAAATAGAACGACACGAAGAGACAGAATAGGACAAAATGTGATGCTCAACACCTTCAATTTCGAAAGAGTACAACGCTTTAAGTATCTGGGGGCCGTAATCACAGCTGACAACGATGTTACTGAAGAAATAAAAGACAGAATACAGTCTGCAAACCGCTGTCTATTCGCACTGGATCAAGAAAAATCAAGAAAAATCAAAAATCAAAATCTATAAATCCATCGTCAGACCTGTAATAACATACGGATGCGAAACGTGGACCATGACCAAAGCAAACGAAAAACGAAATTGAACGAAAAATACTGAGAAAAATTTTCGGACCTCACCATGACATCACCACAAACCAGTATAAGATCAGAACCAATATCGAATTAAAATCACTCTACAATAACGCCGATATTGTCCAAGAAATTAAATCATAGCGACTAAGATGGGCAGGACACGTGCACAGACTGCAAAAGAAAGAGACTTGTAAAACTGGTATGGGAGGAGTTTCCCACAGGCAAAAGACCACTCGGACATCCCAGAATGCGATGGAGAGATAACATCTAAGCAGATCTCCGGAAAATGAACATTCCATTTGACCCTAAGTTGATAGAAGACCGAACAAATTGGAAAAAAGTTGTACAGTCAGCCAACACCCACCCAGGGTTGTAGCGCTACGTGATGATGATGATGATGAGGTATTTTATATTTGGTGTACACATCTAACCCGGGTAGTAAAATAAGACAATTTTTGATGGGTAGTAATGCAGGGTTAAATATGGATTAAAGAGTGTTAATTTTTTTTAACTACTAAATCATACAAATTGTATTTTTTAGAAATAACGTACAGATTCCAAACAGCTAGACCTGAAGTTCGTCAATTACTACTACAGTATCTACTTCCTTGGTTACATAATATGGAATTAGTGGATCCAAATATACCTACAACAAATACACACATGTATCAGGTATGGTCACAATTGTACAATTTATGTAGTTTAAAAAAAAGTTTCACTAATATTGGTAATATTTTGGCAGAATCATTGTTGAAAACATACAACACAAAAATGCCTACAACTTCCTAATAACAGTTAAAATATACCTATGGTTGCAGACGTATTCTAATTTGCCCATTTTAATGTTTCTTTTTTAGTTCTATTCTGCTGAGATCGCTACAGAAAGAAAAGAAGGCTGGGGTTCCGCCGAAGCTACGGAAATGGTGTTAACCAATATATTTTATATCACAGCTAAGGTATATAACTGTAAAAGCACATTGATACATTTATATCGGTTAATTATTACGTTATTTTTAGTTTGGTGACAATCATCCGAAAGAAATTGAAGAAATTTGGGCAACACTTTGTACATCGTGGCCAAATAATATGAAAGTGATCATACGGTATTTAATTATAGTATCAGGAATGGCTCCTTGCGAACTTTTACCATATGTAAGTATTTAGACATTAGACATGGCCAAAAAATCCTCATATTTGAATTTTTGTAGTTACTTACAGTTCTTTAAAGATATAATGATAAAGCCTTTTGCAGAAATTGTTGTAAAAAGCAAAAAAGCAATAATTGAGAGTATAAAGTTAATTTAAAACACGGTAAATAGAAAAACAACGTAAAAAACAAAGTACAATACCAGATTTTTTTTTATTTTAAAATTATTTTCTTGTGGCGCATGTTTAACTGTCCAATAACTAGTTAATAGATATGTTTACATAAAAAATTCCCTAATCAGCGCATTGTCTGACGAGCTAAGATAATTAAATTTTAAATGAGCAGTGTGAGGCAATTAAATTTTACGACTTTTTTGTAAAAGGTAACTGCGAGTGAAGGAACCTACGCTTATTCATTTGATGCCTTAGATCAACCAAAAATTTTTGTCTCTTATTTATGTCGGCCCTTGGTTTGAGGAACTCAGTGACATGAATATTTCACTCAGCGACGTCGGATAGACAGCACTAATTGAGATTTTGTTTGGAGCTGCTATTGTAGGCAAATTGTATACAGGGGGAAATATCAGTTACAGTGTGGTCTTGTAGCATTTGAAACTTTGTTAGCTTGGACTCTTATGGACAAGGTGCAGGCTGTTGCTTTTAATTTTAGTACAAGTACGTATTACACAGGCCCATTATTAAAAATAAGTGAAACCACAAAAATTAGGCCAGTCTTTGACGCATTATCTCATGAACAGAGTTGTCCTCTTTGAATCAGTGTATGAAGGTAAGGCCTAATCTTATTGAACTTATTCCTTCTGTTCTAGTACGATTCAGACAACAAAAGGTAGGAGTTGTGTGGGATATTCGAAAGGCGTTTCTTCAAATTTCTGTACATTTTAAGAACAGAGATTTTTTGAGGTTTCTATGGGTGAACGATGAAGGAAAGGAATTTGTATTTTGACACAAGGGGGTTGTTTTTGGAGTCAATTGTAGTCAATTTTTTCTGGGCACTACTATAGAGTTTCATTTAACAAAGGCGCTGGAGAAATGTTGTAATGATAATCCGTACTCTAAAAACGCACTTGAAAAGCTTATGACTGGGTTTTATATGCGTAATTGTGTGACCAGTGTTACTGATGGAAATGAGTTGAGAGTGTTTGTATCAGAAACAACCACTCAGAAACAACCGCTCTTGTGGAGGATGCTTAGATGGACATAATAAGAGGGTGGGAGGCGTCTGGTAATACAAAAACATTTGTTCCTGTTCTTGATATTCTCTGGAACTCCTCAAGAGACACTCTGAAAATCAATAGTGAAACTTTTCAAGGAATGGAATGGAAAGGTCCCATAATTAAGAGACTGATGCTTTTTATAGCTCCGAGTAAATTTGAGTCTGTTGGTTCTACCTGTCCAGTATCTCTATTTCCCAAACTGTTGCTACAGAAACTTTAGGAAAAGCGCCAGGAATGAGATGCTCCAGTCGAAAATGATATGGCTGAAGAATTTTGTAAATGAGTTACTCATCTTCCTGAACTGTCGTATATTGAGATTTCAGGCTGGACCCATGGAAGCTGATCATTGGAGCTTGGACACATTTTCAGATGCAATTAAGAAAGCTTATGCGGCTGTACAAAAGAATGGAATCAACAAAAGAATGGAAGTATTGGAAACCATCAAGACACGAAAGCTGCAATACCTGGGGCATGTTATGCGTAATGAGAGATACAATCTACTTCAATTGATTATACAAGGGAAAATCCAGGGCAAGAGAAGTGTAGGTAGGAAGAAGAAGAATCTCATGGTTGCGTTACTTGAGGGAATGATACGGATGCACATCAGTTGAACTATTCAGAGCAGCAGCATCTAAGATCAGAATAGCCATGATGATTGCCAACCTCCGTCGCGGAGATGGCACGTGAAGAAGAAGATGCGGCTGTAGTATTTTTAAGAGTTGTTCGGAATGATGATGTCTCAATTTTCCTTGTAGCAGCCAAGAGTCGTGTGGCTCCTTTGAAGAAGATTTCTATACCCAGATTGAAATTGTTGGCAGCCACTATTGGTGTTAGACATTATCAGTCAGTAAAAAAAACAATTTTCTCAATATTTTGAGTCTTATTCTTGGAGTGATTCCACTACTGTTCTTTCTTGGATTCAACGTAAGGATGACTGGTCTGGTTTTGTTTTTAATAGAGTTCAGGAGATTAGAAATTTAGCCAATCCTGAGTGTTGGAAATATGTATCTGGTTCTCTCAATCTTGCCGATTGATGCACCGCATGTCCAATTCTTCGGATGCGGCTAATAGAGGTATGGTCAGTGTCGTGGTAATTTTACTATGAAGTGGTCTAACGAAGTTGTGTTGGAATTTTCATCATTGTATAAATACCCAACTTAATAAAATTCTTACCGCAACACTGATGGCGTACAAAGGATTTAACGTTCAATACTTACCATCGGAATGGTGCGACTACATTTTGGGGTAGGTCAAGTGCATTTATCAAAAAGCAAATATTTAGTAATTTCACAGTAACCTGGCATGCCATCCGTTGTCTTTTTTTCTGATCGTTAATATCGATTTTTTGTTTCTCTTTGTCGATGTAAATCAGCGAAGAGTGACATTCTAGGAGCTGTCTGATTCCGGCTTTATTATGTTTCTCTTTTGACCTGGCCCTGGCAAGCTCAGACAGGGCAAAATTTATTATTTTATTGCATCACTTAACGATAGCTCGGACCGAGACACGTGTTTACTATTTGACTTTTTTAAGAAAACTTGAATTTATTAGTTGAGAATTGAAAATATATTGTTAGATAGCACATTCTAACGTCCAACGTTCTCTTTAACGAATTAATTTTCAGTGGCGGATCCAAAGAAGTCTAAAAGGGATTTAATGTTAAATTAAATTAAGTAATTAAAACCATTAAAAACATTCAGTTTTTATTTCAAATGGAAAATTATACATTTTTTAAAATTGTAATATATAAATTTTTTATGTTTAATTAGTACAGGACTTTTCCCGGTGGGTCGGTAGGTTAAAACGGGCTAGAATAGTAAAAAATTTTAGAAAATAGAACCAATTGGCCCTCCCTTTTAACAATGAACAATGATGCAAAAACCAGAATCATAATGCATAAACCAGTATGACAGCTGGATGATTGTTATGTTTTTCTGTGAGTGTCAGTGAATCAAAACGTGCTGTAAATAACTTTATTTTTATTTTAACTTAAAAAACTTAATACAAACATCACAAATTTTAATTACATTAATAATTATCGCTTACAATTCACACTGATATCATCAATTCTATTCTTCACAGGCCACCTCGGCGGCTTATGTAAAAATAACAAATGTTCTCGAAATAGTCACCAAGGGACGGTGGCCGAATCCACGCGATAATACGAAATTCCATTTAGTGAATGTTAATTTTTATGTTTTAGGCAAAGAGAGTAGTATTGTACTTAGCGAGAGTACAGCCGGTACGATTGTTAGATGAAATGATGGTGGAATTACAAACTGTCGAGACGCTAAATTGTCTAATAGAACGAACAGAAACCCCTCCGTTCTATAGATTAACGGTAATGCGAAAAGCTTCTAGCCATTCTGATGGAGCCAATGGTGTGCCTGGCCAGACTGATTCAAGCAGTAGAAATGATTTAAGTAAGTATTAATTTTATGCGTAAGCAGTTATTCAAATAATTTTGAGCGTGAATGGTACTTTACCAAAAAACTTATGATCTATTCTATTTATTGGGAATAAACCACAATTTTAATTCTAAATATGATATAATTTACGTTTCGATTCTCATCTCGAAAATCGAATTGTCTATTGTAACAAGAATTAAACTCATGGTTCGAGCTATTTACACTGCATTATTTAAACGTCGTACAAATGTTATGATCTTATAACTATTCTACAAACTATACCTTATTAAATACCTTTTACATAAAATAAACTGGTATGTTTCCGTAAAAAATTATTTCGAGTAAGGTCTAATCAACACTATGTCATTACATCTAAATTATCCTTTACGGTTGTATACATCTAAGGTGTGCTACCCTAATGGACTTTACGTCAGGTTCCCCAAAACTTCTATACAACTCAAAGTGGTAACGCCTGCGCCACAAACCTTGTTATTTTATTCGTTGACATATTTTTCTTACGATTTTTCGCTCGAAACGTTTAAGCAGTTCTTGCTAATCCTGTATAAATAACCACGTTTATGCTCCATACGTTAGCACTGGTCTTATTAGTGTTTTTTAGACGGCCACTTAATTTTTCTGAATATTTTTGAGTCTATCTATTTTCTCAAGTCGTAGTAACACTTATTGGCACACACTATCTTTTTAATTTCTTAGCTGACGTTGTTATCTTTAGTCAACAGCAAACCTATGTATATAAAAATGTCCACACCTCCAGTTCTAGTTCCAAGCGGATAAGTAAATCCTACTTTCACATTCACACCATAACATCTGGGTAGTGTATGGAGTACATACATGGGTGTGCTTCATGTATCTAACGAAAGAGGGTGCGAGACGAGTTTCCGGTGCCTTAAAACTGGAACAAATCGGCTAAGGGAATAAGCCCTGACAGAAAATGTTGGACCTCCAAGTTGGGAGTTGGGTAGTGGGTTAATACCCTCCTCCCGTAGAAAACCTTCTGTTACTAAACTTCAAATCAATCAGCCGTACGTTTTTTTTTTGTTGACGACTTTGCAAACGACATAAGGTTAATAATATTGGTTTAATACGAATGACACTATCTTGTCTAAAAGATAATGTCCAAAAGATCAAATATATGTGTTGGACTAGGTCAGGCAACCAACACCCACAAGAATAATAATTGTCGATTTAGAACTGGAAGATATTTAGATATCACCTACTATATTTATTGATTAGACGGCATTCAGGCGGAATTCGAGAATGGGGAGAAAAATAGTGTCTGGAAGATTCATCTGGAAACATATCGTCTCACAAGCGAAGTCTGGCAAATCTATGAAATGCCGAAACGGTGGCATGAATGTCATTTAGTATTTATCGACAAAAAGAGATATGAACGCATGTGTAGGAATTATAGAAGAATTTATTTAGTTAACACAACACCACATCAAAAGAATTTCTTATTGACACTGGGCTTGGACAACGAGATCCCCTTACCCATTTGTTGTTCAATTTCCCCTTGGAATATGCAGTAAGAAGCTGACAAATGGTTTTGCTGCCCAGAGCTAAAAAATACGATGTTGTTGTTGACGATGTAAAAACAATTGCACTATCTGTCAGAGCTGCAAAGGAAATATTCACTCTATTTGAAAACGGGGACAAGGAAATTAGTCTTAAGGTCAATGAGAACAAATACATGATATTTATGAAGAACTCAAGACCAAGATTTAGAAAAATATATAATATATACCCATAAATAAGTAAAAATTCAAAGTCGTTAAAAAAATTCTTATACTTGGGAGCATGATAACATATGAAAACTGTTATCAAAAGGACATGGGAGCTAGAACGTTGCTGAAATCAAGAATACTCTCAATAGCAGCAAAAATTAGAGTATATAAAACCATAATTCCACCACAATAACGCAGGAAGCTGGACCAACGTGAAACAACAAAATGACTGATTATTGAAACGGAAGATACTGCGGACTATCTTTGTTCGTTGTAGAGACGAGACAACCGGGCAATGGAGAACAAGACATAATCTGGAACTTCAAACACTATGGAGATGAAATCGAGTTCGCTATATCAATTATAATGGGATGATAACTTTCATATAGTACGAATAAAAAAATTACAAGTAAGACTGTGAGTTATCGATGGTTTAAAAATGGATAGATGGATGGATAGTTGACACTTTTCCTGTGCTTATTAAATCTAATGTTTTTCCGTTGTTAGTATTACTTTACTTACATTATGCCGTTTCATTATTTTTTCCATTTGTTTGGTTTAGAAGAGTTAATTTCATTAAGCCACATGAGGGGTTATGGTTGTTGAAGAAATAATATTTTTTATTCATCTACTTAGTAAATTCTTTTATATTGCACACCACGTAATAAACATATTTAGAAAACTATCTAGATAACTATCTAATCGTTTACTTCCACAAGAAAATCTGTTTGAACAATTTATTGATCAAACTTCAAATTTGTAGTATAAAATTTTCATAAATCATTAGATAAAATCTTTTATAGATTGACTCCTATACTTTATTTGTATTTTAAGGTATTGAAAAAGGTACAATTCACACTAAACGTCACAGTGGAGAAGATCCATCAAAAACTTCAGTCATGAAGTCCGACTCTGGATCAAATATATTTTCTGATTTTGCTATGTCTCGTCCAGATAAACCCAAGAATCAAGAAGAGATGATTAGTTCGCTGGAAGAAGTAAGTATATGAATTCTATCGACTATCGACTATATTTTATATTATTAGAGGTGTAAAAGAGAAGAGTTTATGTTTTTATAAACAAGATTTATAAAAATATTCATAGAAAAATTGAACCAATCACAAGATTAATAAATTAAGGTATCCAAATAACTTTATCCAAATAACTTAAATAGATTTTAAACAAATAATTAAATCATTGCAAATTATTCATCTATTTTCTTTACTGCTTTAAATGTGTCTGGTACACATGGTAACAGAGACTTGGAAATTGAGATATATGACTTGGAATACCGTGGAAACTAATTTATTTATTTCGTTTTTAGGTTGCTATTGAAGAAGACGTACTACTCCGTGATAAGGTAAACATGTCAGTACCTCAGCCACACCCTTTACCGATGCCCGAATTTGGAGGTTACTTTGCACCTTTGACAGAATATTTACCGGATAGTTCACAACCTATTTCTGGATTTCATAGGTAAGTGAACATTTTGGTTTAAAAGTTTTAATGTCAAACTATTCGACCATACTTTACCATACTGTACATACTGTATGTGCATGATACTATGAACTAAAGATAAACCCACGCGCACGCGATTAGTCTATCTCTTTTGCACGTATGACGTCATTTGGGGACAAATATCACCAGAAATGTTCTGTTTTGCATGGAGTTTTGTCAGATTTAGTATTGTTTTATCGTTTATCTAGTACGTTGACAAATAAATGTATACATTTTTAATAAAATATATTTCAGAATATTAAATTAAAGATAAACTTTTATCACCAATTGACGTCATGCGCATCGACGTACAAAATTCGATTGCGAAGTGGTTTTATCTTGGAGTCATAACTCAACATTTCTAAATACCAATTTTTTCAAACTTTTTTAAACACACAAAAATTAAATTGTTTTTAATTTACTTAATCGTCACGTAAATTCATAAACTACCATACTACCAAAGTATTCAGCCAAAGTTTATAAATAAAACTGTCTAAACGTTCACGACAATACACAAATATTCTTTTCCTTATGTAATTCTATATGTTCTTTTCCTGATCAGTTTTGATTCTTAGTTATTTTTATTTAATAAAACTTGTGTTTAAAAATCTTTTATTCTAAGGTATTACTACGTAGATTCTTAAACATAAGTTTTAATTTTCTCAGACAGCAACACTGTAACCTCTGGGTAAAGTCGAGTTTGTAATTGCAGTAACCGTATGGTGCCCTAAAACAAAAACTATCTGCAGTATATACAACCCCACCGAAGTTGAAATAATATACTTCATGTTTTAACCTCTAGCACCATTTTTAATTGTCGGAGACTTTAATGACCACAATATTGCATGGGGTTCACCAACCACATATGGCAGAGGAAAGGTTCATTATAATACTTCTTACCTTATAAGAAAGACCTTAAAAGAAAGACTATTTATTATAATTATTTGTTTTAGGTGCAACGTAGGTGTTATGTTACTGTGCGATATCGTGGTCGATGGTATAGAATTGGATTGGACAATTCATGTACCACTAATGCTTCATATATTATTCCTGGGTCTAGATCACACGCGTGCCCTAGTATATCAACATTGCAAACAACTTTTGCTAAACCTCTTAGTTGTTTTAGCCCTACACAATGATCATCTAACCGTAGCACACATTTTACTTAACAGCAAAACAAAGCAACTAGAACTAGGGTTGCTTACACCGACTTTGTCCACTGTAGTTGAACATACTTTTACAGGTAATATAATATATTGATCTTTATTTAAGTAGTTATATTTTTTGCAATAGATGATAATTAAATTGGCATGTATTACTCATAGTGTCTGGGGATATACAAAAATGCAAACAAATTATATAATACTTCAAGAAAAATTTCAATCGAGACTTCTTGAAGTGTTTTGGTACGTTCTCGAATTATAAATTTGCTGAGATATGAGTAGCATTGAAGTTATACATGGAAACTAATCAAATTATTTTGTGCGGAACAACGTTCTCGCAGTGCAAAGTTAGGTAGCATAAATAACTGGATTCGGATGTTTGAGAATATCGAATTAAGTAAAAGAATTCAAAACATATTTCATTCACGAGCTGTTAAAGGTGAAGGAGCAATCGAAAAAGTAAGGACATCATTATCCATTAGCAGAAGTCAAGCACTCAGTATTAAAAAATCGACTTGTAATTAATTTTGAAGAAAGAAGATTTGCAAATGAACTGTCACGAAGGTTCAGGAACTTTAAAAATATTCTAGTCCAAAGAAATAAGATTTTCTCAGAACATCACAATATCCAGGTATTTGATGAGTTCTTCCATTAATATATACCGATTAGGTAACAACATTACTATATACCGATATAATATATAGCGATAAGGAGACAATGGAGAATGGAGAAAGTACCCAGACAATACCTATTATTCTCCCTACTACTGGAGTCATTCCGAAGAACCTCCTAGAAAACATAAAAAAAGCTAGGTCTAAATGAACATCTCTATAAGACCATGCAGAAAACTGTACTACTCTGAAAATTCAGATGTGTACGAAAATTTTTGGGAGATACTCCAGCATATAAGTCACCTAGGGCTAGATAACACGGAAGCAATCCCATCAGAACTCAATCTGTTTGATACCGTAGGTATCTGGGATGAGTGAACTTTCCAGGGAGTGAGAGCAGTAAGGCTAAATCTGGATTAAGACTTAACTTAAACCACAGACATACAAATTCAATCCAATAAACCCGCTAGTTAGGAAAATTAAGTTACTTAACGCATATAAGTTATTATTTATGTCTTTTATGTAGTTTGGGTTTATCTGTTTTATGTCTTTTGTGATTCGTGTTTCATTGGAAGGTCCCCTCTCTCATAAGGCAAATATCTAGATCTGCCTCTGAATTAGTCTTAATATTTAAAAAACAACTCCTGTAGAGAAACTTCTGCAGAGAATATATAGGCTTTCTTAGTGTAGGTATATAGTAACGGAAAAACTCGTTACGTACTGATTATTGAGGTTTCCTGAACACGGTTAAATGTTGCCTATTTCTTTGGAGTATTCTGTTTAGGGATAAATTCAACTTTTATTTGAACGAACACGTCGACAAGCAGAGATGTTGCTATTGAACAGAGGAGAATTCAAAACAGAAGCATTAGCAACTACTTCATATCTCAAAAGTCATAGTTTGGGCTACAATGTTCGGTAATGATATCGTTGGTCGGTATTGTAATTTTTTCATAGCACTCACTGAAAATAGTAAACGTTACTATTACTACAACGTCACTACGTTGTGAAATATTTAGGGACTATTTGGCCCAAGTTTTAACTTGCCATACAGTTCTTTGAAATTATCAATTATTGCAATTACGTGAATGTGCCGAATAACGTATTATGTATATTGTAAAATGAACAAAGATATGTTCTATATAATTTCAGAGTCAAGTCCCATTCTCAATGAATTTTTATTGCATCAAATTGGATCTGGAGCGGCCGTAGAAGCTTTAAACAAATCAGCTGCTCAGGCGGTCTCTAATTTAAAACCAGAAGAAACAGGTTAGTACTATTTATACTCGTACGTAGAGAAATATTATAAATCAGTAAGAGAATAGGTATACTTATATTCTAAATTGTCGCATCACTTGCATTTTCCAAGTTGTTTCCGATTTTTGAAGCAATATTGAGGTTTACTGTAAGAAATCATAAATGCTCATGTCATATAGATATTCATGTTAATTCTCAATTGTTGCGACTATACTCTATAACTATAGAGTAACTATAAGAATAATTATTTTGTTCATGTCATTTCAGTTTGGTACGTTTATTGGTTAAAGTTGATGTAAGTGATAATCAGTGTTTTCGTAAAAAACGGTTAATTTGTAAGATCAATATATATGTATTCGCTATTAAAACTTAAATCAATACGTCATTCAAGCAATGATTTAGGGTAACAGTTCTACACGTTAAAGGCCCGTTTTCACGGTACACTTTGGATGATCATCCCGGATGAATCATCCAAAGTGACTACGACGATGAAAGTAATTATCGTTTACATGTATCACCAAGACTGAACTAGTCTGTTCACTTACAAATGGCGCCGACTGAAGTTGTACGTGCTGGAATTGGTATAATAAGTGAATATCTTTTAAATGAACTTGAAAATGTACTTGAAAAACAGAAGATTAGAAAAAAACGACGTTGGTGGGTAAGGCCGTGGATACTTCGACGCTACAAAATGGGGGCGTCAACGTGTTTGTTAAAGGAATGGTCTACAGAAGATCAAGCCATGTTACAAAACCATCTAAGAATGTCTGAAGTGCAATTTGAAGAGCTACTTACCAAAGTCACACCGTTAATTCAAAAGCAAAGCACAACCATGAGAGAATCTCTTCATCCAAGACTGAAATTGCAAATTGTACTAAGATATCTTGCAGCAGGAGATTGCTTTTCAACACTCGAAGCTTTGTATCGTGTACCTAAATGCTCCATTTCCCATTTTATGCCAGAAGTATTAGCTGCTATTTACGAAATACTTGAATACTGTATCAAGGTTAGTACCTAATTAGATTCTTTCTTACATATTTAAAAAAAAAACGTATTAAAACTTTATCCAAAAGGCATTTTATTCAAAAATTAAAATCAAACATAAATTCATTGGTAATTGTGAATAGTCGAGAATGCTTCGGATAATATATCATAAGGAGCACTCTCTTCATATCTTTCCATTGTAGTAGTCGGTGTAGAAACTGACGTCTCACTGTTAGTCGAATATACTGTATACAGTGATGGAGTAGATTCCTTTGAGCGAGTCTGTTCTAAGTTGAAGAGATACATGCGCTCTTCCATCATAACCTTTTGCAGCTTTTCTTGACATATCAGGGCGCGGTCCAGAGGCATGGTTTTAAGCTGAACTGACAGGCTTCGACAAAAATGATCAAATTCGTTATCTGTGCTTGCATTCTGTGCAGCAATTGCACTTAATTTATCTATTGCTTTTTCAATAGCTGAAATTCCAGAAAAACGATGCTTTTTTGAAAATGGGGTGTTCAAATTTGCTTGGGGACTCTCTTTTCTGATTCGTTTGTTATGCTGTGCCAGTTCGCTTTCTTTAGGTAGTACTCCATCATCTGTCGGTATGACATCATTTGCTGCCGCAGGTATGATAACCTCGGTATCAGTATTATTTCCTTCATAATTGACATCTTCAGTATCTGGATTCTGTGGCGTTGGGCTCCTTTTACATTTCGGAACCTGAAACAGATACCGCATATTATCATACAAAACGAAGTTGCTCGAATTTTTACCCACTTATAATACACATACGTATACAGTTTTGTCTTTTACAGGTGCCTACCACTACTAATGAATGGACAAAAGTAATGAAGGAATATTATACCCTTTGGAACTTCCCTAATTGCTGTGGCGCTATGGACGGGAAACATATTGCTATTCGCTGTCCTGCGAAGTCGGGATCGTATTTTTTCAATTATAAACAAACGTTCAGCACTATTCTTTTTGCAATTGTGGATGCTAATTATAACTTCCTATATATTGACGTCGGTACAAATGGCAGAGCAAATGACGCATTAGTGTTTTCCAAATGTACATTTAACGAAGCTCTGGAGAACAATTTGTTAAATATACCTGAAAATGGTGTTTTTCTTGGGACGACGCTTTTCCTCTTAGAACCTATCTTTTGAAACCTTATAGCAAGAAATCATTAACTAGGAAGGAAAGGGTATTTAATTATCGGCTATCTCGAGCTCGTCGCCTATCAGAAAATGCATTTGGCATACTTGTGTCTCGTTTTCGAGTATTCGAAAAGCCTATTCCTCTCAAAGTAGAAACAACTGAATTACTGGTGAAAGCTACTTGTGTTCTTCATAATTGGCTCAGACAAACCTCTACTTGCAAAGCACCATACGTAACTGAGGGATTGATTGATGTTGAATTATGGGAGGAAGGCAGAATTGTACCTGGAATATGGCGACAAACTACACACGACGGCCTCAGAGACATAACACTTGCTACAAGTAACAACCACAAGAAAGTTGCTGCCGCTGTACGTGATGATTATGCAGATCTGTTCTGTTCAACTGAAATTGTACCGTGGCAGTGGAAAATGATTTAAATGGCTTATTCTTGTATAATTGTTCATTTACTTAATAAAAATTGGTAACTAATTTTTCTGTGGTTTTGTTGTTTATACGTGTAAGGTAAGCAACCAAGATGAAGTGGGACATTTTACGTCTAAAACGATCAACTATATTTCAGCTATTTTAAATCGATATGGTTTTTATTTTCAACTTACTACAATACCCTACGACCCACCTAATACATATATGTACTTATAATTGCTAGTAGTATGAAAATAAAAAAATGCTATACTTACTGTACTTGCTGAGCTGCTCCTCGGTACACAAACTGCACGTAAGAATGAATCGGCTTGTTTGTACCAAAAAAGTTTGGGGACATAAACGTCATCTGGCCCTGTACCACTTTTTACGGATTGATTTACTTTAGCCAGTTCAGATGAATATCGGGTACGAATTGTTTTTATTTTTAACTTAATATCTTCCACCATCACTCCCTGAAGATTCAGCTCCTCAACGATTTCTTTTAACGCTTTTTCTCTATGGGTTTTATTTTTATATGTCTCTGCTTTAGTGTTCCAAAGACACTGTCGGTCTTTCATTAAACTCAAAATTAGAGGAGTATGGTCGTCTTTCCACTTAAAAACCATGATAGCAAGCGTACAAACACAACAACTACGCACTTCAAACGCGACAATACACAACCACGTGGACCTGTTGCCGCCGTTCACTAGTCACTACCGATGAATTACAGCAACAAATGCATGTTTACATGGTTCACTTTGGATGATTCATCCGCGATGCATCCCCTAAAGTGAACAAAAGTAGAACTCGGTTCAACTTCGTTCAATATTCATTTTGGATGATCACTGTCGATGAATAATAGTTTATACGATTCATTTATTTTTCACTTTGGATGATTCACCCGGGATGATCATCCAAAGTGTACCGTGAAAACGGGCCTTAAGGCTCGCTTTCACGATACACTTTGGATGAACATCCCCGATAAATCATCCAAAGTGATTGCGATGATGAAAGTAATTATCTTTACATGGATCACCAAGACTGAATTAGTCTGTTCAATTACAAATGGTGCCGACTGGAGTTGTACGTGCTGGAATTGACATAATAAGTGATTATTTTTTAAATGAAATTAGACATGTACATACTTGAATAACAGAAGATTAGAAAAACGACGTTGGTGGGTAATGCCGTGGATAAATCGACACTACAAAATGGGGGCGTCAACGTGTTTGTTAAAGGAATAGTCTACAGAAGATCAAACCATGTTAAAAAACCATCTAAGAATGTCTGAAGTGAAATTTGAAGAGCTACTTGCCAAAGTCACACCGCTAATTCAAAAGCAAAACACAACCATGAGAGAATCACTTCATCGGAGACTGAAATTGCAAAGATATCTTGCAGCACGTGAATTGTTGCTGTCGTTCACTAGTTACTGCCGATGAATCATGTTTAGCAATAAATGCATGTTTACATGGTTCACTTTGGATGATTCATCCGCGATGCATCCTCTAAGTGAACAAAAGTAAAACTCGGTTCAACTTCGTTCAATATTCATTTTGGATGATCATTTTCGATTATTAATAGTTTACACGATTCATTTATTTTTTACTCTGGATGATTCATCCGGGATGATCATCCAAAGGGTACCCTGAAAACGCGCCTTTGGAAAACGAAGTTCGTGTAGAAAGTCACTGTTACTAGGAGTCAAATAAATGGAGCTTTCTCCAATAATAGATGTTAAGAAATAGAAAATATATAAACAAAGAGCTAACTAATAAGCTTGTTAATAAACATCTCCGAAAATTCTAAGAATGGACGTAAAAAAGGTTACGATGTTGGTGGTTTCATTACGAGGTCATATCCTTGAAATTCTCCAGAGTAAACGAATACAATCTTATACAAATGCCAGATACGTGATTATTTTTTTCTCTTAGCAGAGGAGTATAAATATTGGCATGATCATAAATAAAAAAAATTAACAAATCATTACTGGAGAGTAAACAGTTCTTCTTCTCTTACATAATCTTTTGTGGATACAAATTTATACCAATCTCTTATTTTACAGCTACCAAAATTTCCTTTTTATAATCAAGATCTTGAAGTTCTGATAAAAAAACCAACCATGTATCGCCTTGTTATTTAGACTACCCAATCTTAACTAATCTGGTAGTCAAGTTCATACTAAGCAGCTAGGGGAAGATTTAACAATCATTTATATAGACGAATAAAAAATTGAAGGAAAAAATTTTTATTTCAAACAACAATTATACTGAAAAATCTCGAATTCTTGATTGCTGTTCCATCTTTACGGCCAAGGCTGCTGCTATACAGAAAGTGTGTGTAACGAATTTGTGAAATTTATAAAACTCCATCATCATCATCATCATCATCATCCAGCCTTCATTTATCACGTCCACTGCTGGACATAGGCCTCCCTTAAAATCCTCAATTCTTTACGATTTTGTGATCTTTGTTGCCAATTTTTGGTGATACGCCTGATGTCGTCAGTCCAACGTCTAGGTGGTCTTCCTCTATTACGATTGTCTGCTCTTGGCCTCCAATTTGCAATTTTGCTCGTCCATCGTGAGTCATACATTCTCGCTACATGGCCTGCCCGGTTTTATTTCAGTTCCGCTATGCGTTCTACAACATCAGCAATACTCGTCCTTCTTCGCAGATCTTAGTTTCTTATTCGGTCCCGCAACGTCACTTCCAGCATAGACCGTTCCATTCGTTTCTGTGCCACTCTCAACTTCGAAGCCGTAGTCTTACATAGAGTCATAGTTTCTACCCCCATAGGTCATGATACTTAATACGCATTGGTCAAATACTTTTCTTTTGATGCTAATTGGTATGTTGGCCCTAAGTGTGTCTCGCAGTTTTCCAAAGGCTGCCCACGCTAAAGTAATTCGTTTTTGGATTTTGCATGTTTGTTAATTTCTGCTGATTCTTATTTCGTGACCCAAATACGTATATTTCTCCACCAGTTCTACCACTTTGTCTTGAATAGTTAAATGGTTATTCAAGTTCATTCTGAGGCCCACCTTTGAACATGCAAAGTCCAATTCATTGAACATATCTGTGGCTTCTCCTAAATTATCTGTGATAAGGACAATCCCATTTGCGAAACGGAGATGGTTAAGCTTTTTATCGTCTATTGTTACTCCTTTGTGCTCCCAGTTGAGCATCTTAAAATACATTACATACATTAGCATACTCTAATGCCGTTATGAATAATTTCAGTGATCTCTTTGCCTTATCCCACGTTTTATTTTTATTGGTCGGGTTTTATCGTGTATCTTAACAATTATAGTGGCATTTTTGTAAATATTGTAAATAAGTTCACTATACCTATAGTCAATCCTGCTGTCATTCATTGCTTTTATAAGGCTGTCTATTTCGATCGTGTCGAACGCTTAATGAAAATCTATGAAAGTGAGGACAAGAAGTTTATTGTATTCGATAGATTTTTCAATGAGCGTCTTTGTATGGATTTGATCATTGGTACCATAATTTGATCGGAATCCTGCCTGCTCTCTCGGTTGGTAGAAATCTATTTTTTTCTCCAATCTTGATGTCACTAACCTAGTGAAGAGATTATATATGTAGTTCAACAGCCAAATAGGCATATAATTTTTTAATATAAGATAAAAATTTGAAAATCTTGTCATCTTTATCTCTTCATACACACATACGACCTAAGAGCAAGAAGCAATTATTCACCAGTACTTGTTATTACTTTTTTCCAAATTTGCAAGATATATTCAGTAAGGACTTACATGTAAATATGCCATCACACAGGCCTGTATTATCTACCAGCGGCCTTATACAAGTATATTAGTTACAATGTTTAAAGCTACTTGACTACTATCTTCTTTCCTATTTCCAACCATTTATTCTGTTTACTAGTTTGAGCAAATTGTGCAAATAATTGAAATTCTTAATTTCTATGCATACACTTTTATTATGCACTCTACAAATTTTTGTTTGTTCGGCTGTTGTCGCGATTAAAGTAGTGAGATTATATGTTTATAATCAGTTTAATATTTTGTTGTTACAGTAGAAGAAAAAGAAACTCCGATTCCTCAGGTGGTAGTTGTTCCAGAAAATGCGGAGCCAGTACCCACCACGAAAGTTCAACTTACAGTTTCCGTAATCATCAAATCTCTGATACAATTCCTTGCCACACGCCAAAACTCGCCGCTATGGAACTATGAAGATATCACAGCAAAAGTGTGGTCAATAAAGAGCGTGGAACAAATCGATATTTTTATTCAGTACATTTTGAAAGTATTCAGGGAATCATTGCCGAACGCTCATATTAATGAAAGATGGGCTCAGACGGCTCTGCAACTAGGGTTAAGTTGCTCTTCAAGGCATTACGCCGGACGATCTTTGCAAATTTTTAGGGCTTTAAGAGTTCCCATTACGTCTCGGATGTTATCTGATATACTGAGTCGATTGGTTGAGACTGTATCCGAACAGGGAGAAGATATGCAAGGTACGTTATTCCTTTTTGTTTGGTCATTGTTTTTATAAGCTGCTTCGTACAAAAAAAGCTGTTTTATCATTGATTCTACTCAATTGACGTTGTTTATTAGGAAGGATAAACAAAAAATACGGACTATGATTTTAAAATATACAGGGTGTTTCAAAACAAGTTTACACTATCTATTTATCGGAAATTACTTACGCGATATTTATGAGGATTACAAGGTATGACGAACTTCACTTGGAACTTCACACTTCGAAGAAAATGTTTTGACAGACATGCCACTTCCAGTTATACTGGAAATAAACAGCAACATAGTTATTTTAAATGGAACACCCTGTGTATTATTGTATTTTTAGATTATGCGTAAAATTCTAGACAAAATTTTTATAAGGTACCATAGGTCAAAACTTCATATTTTTTGAGTTATTCTTCTCATGGCGCCGTCTTCTTTCGAAGGTTGGCGATCCAAATGGCAATTGTGGTTTTGGAAACTGCTGCGCGAAAGATTTCTGCAGATGAGCGGTCGGACCATCTCTTCAGACATGAGTTCTGGCGTCTTCCTACTGATCTTTTGCCCTGTACTTTTTCTTACAGTATAACTTGAAGTAATTCATATTTTTCGCCTCTCAACACATGACCCAAGTATTGCATTTTCCTTTGTTTGATTATTCTTAGTGTTCAATCACAAATTAATCCCTTAATATGTAATCTCACATTATTCTTAACTTCTTAATCTTTTATAGTTTCACCGTGTATAAGTGAGTCATTGTAAAACCATATCGTATGATATTTTAATAATTAGTTCATTTACCTACAACTAAATAAATTGCCGAATAATATATTTTCTAATTGAACTTCCTAAGTGTCGCAATTGTCAATAAATTGAGTAATGAAGAAGTAAGAAAAAAATATGAAGAGGCAGTAACAGTTCAAATAAAAGACAAATATAAAGTAGAAGATATAAGCACAGAATGGGAGACGATCAAAAAATCAATAGAAGAAGGTGCAAATATGCAGATAGGTAAAAGTCAGGCTAAAACAAGAAACGAATGGTATAACCAAGAATGTAGAGAAATAACAGAAAAAAAAGTGCAAGCCAGAAATAAATGGCTAAGAACAGATAAAGAGGAAGACAGAGAAGAATATGAAAAATTAAGAAGGTATGCTAAGAAAGTGATAAGGCAAAATAAAAGAAGATGGGTAGACAAAAAAATGCAGGAAATAGAGCAGGAAAGAACAAACCGAAATACGAAAAGTTTTTACAAAAAGATTAAAGAACAAAACAAAAAATACAAGGGCAAAACAAACGGAATAAAAAATAGAGAGGGAATAGTGATAATAGAGGACCAAGAATACAAACAAGTATGGAGAGATTACTACAGAGAGCTCTTGACGGAGGAAACAACAGAAGAAGAAATGCATGACGAGGAGGAAACAGTACACGAAGAAGAAGCAAATGAAGTAGACATCGAAATTTCAAAAGAACCAACATTAGAGGAATTGGATGAAGTAATACAGAGAAGCAAAAATGGAAAAGCCCCAGGTAAAGATGGAATTAATATGGAACTAATAAAATACGGGGGAAGGGAACTAAGAGAAAAAATACTGGCACTATTGAAAAATATATGGAAAGAAGAGAAAATGCCAGGTGACTGGGAGGTAGGACAGATCATAACAGTACATAAAAAGGGAGACCAACAAATCTGTGAAAATTATAGAGGAATAACATTACTAAATACAACATATAAAATATTGACATCAATAATAAAAAAGAGGTTATCAAAGATCACAAAGAAGTCGGTAGGACAGTACCAATGTGGATTCACAGAAGGAAGATCTACAATAGATGCAATACACACAATAAAACAAATAATGGAAAAAGCAAACGAGTATAAATTAGAATTGGAAATGTTATTCATAGACTTCAAACAGGCATTTGATTCAATTAAAAGGAACGTACTAATGACAGCACTTAAAAAATTAAAAATTCCACATAAACTCAGAAAATTAATAGAAATGACAATGAGAACTACAAAAATAAGCATAAAGACACAAAGAGGAGAGACAGAGGAATTCAGTATAAATAAAGGGATGAAACAAGGAGATGCCTTATCAACAACGCTATTTAATCTAGCATTAGAATATGTACTGCGAAATATAAATAAAGGAAATCTCAGAACAAGAGGTGGTCAAATAATTGCATATGCAGATGATATTGCTATTATTGCAAAGAACAGAAAAATAATGAAAGAAATGCTTGAAGAAATAAGAGAGAAAGGGGAGGTAATGGGGCTAAGATTAAATCAAGAGAAGACAAAAATATTAAGATTAGGGAAAAAACCAATGAAGGAAAAAATCAAAATAGGAAGTTCCGAGTTTGAAGAAGTAGAATACTTCAAATACCTAGGAGTTACAATAAGTAAATCCGGAGAAAGGAAATCCGAAATAAAAGAAAAAATATTAGCAGCGAATAAAGCTTATTTTGCAAACAAAAGATTACTTAAAAGCAAAACACTGACTAAAAAAAGCAAGATGAGCATTTATAACACCATAATTAGACCAATATTATTATATGCAGGGGAAACAATGACGATGGTTAAAAAAGATGAAGAAGACTTAAGAATTGCAGAGAGAAAGATTATGAGAACCATACTAGGACCAATCAGAACAGAGCAAAATGAATATAGAAGCAGAACAAATGCAGAAATTAAGCAAGAACTTAAGGAAGACATTGTAACTAAAATAAAGCAATGCAGAGTTAGATGGTTAGGTCACATTTGGCGAGCAGGCGATGAGGCAGTGACATACGCAATGATAGAATGGAATCCAGGAGGAAGAAAGAGAAGGGGAAGACCGAGATCAAAGTGGCTACAAGAAGTTGAAGAAGACCTCCAAAGGGCAGGAGTCAGTGAATGGAGAGGAAGAACTAGAGACAGGAAAAAATGGAGAGATATTGTCAAGAAGATAAGATAAACAAAAAAAAAAGACTGATCCACTTAAGAAATAGGATCTAGAAAGCATTTGCGGTTTAACCCCACGTTGGGGTGTATAGCCATTATATATATATATATATATATATATATATATATATATATATATATATATATATATATATATATAAGTGTCGCAATTACGGCCTAGATTAAATTGTAATGTAAGCTAATAGTTCAAAGTTTGTTGGTATGCTGTGACAGAAACAATAACCTCTGTGCTGAGGTATGAATTATTTGTGAGATTAGAAATTGGGGATTTGAGCTCATGTGAGCACAGTTTATTATAAGTAGTTACCTAACCAACATCATATTGTATAATTACTAGTAGCTGTCAATAAAACCAGCACTTTTACTCCACAACTTCAACTTTTTATTATATTTATCATCGTCAATCGAGAAGAAGCGGACAAAGGGGGATTATAAAACGATTCGAACCTCATAACTACGTTCGAATCTTTGCAATTAGTAATTCTTTTTGTTTACACATTCGACGAAGTACCTCAACATTAGTAACTCTTTGTACCCATGGAATTCTCAACATTCGTCTGTATATATACATCTTAAAGGCATCTATTCTTTTTTCTATTTCAGAGAACATTATCCAACTTTTTTGAGTTATTATTCTTTTTTTTTAAACTTTTGACAGATAGGGACAAACAGTTCACCATTGATTCACCGTTCATCCATTTACAAACGTAATACCTTGCAAACTTTTGCACACAAAGAATAGGTAACGTTCTTTCAGGAATTTACATAGAAATCTAATTTCTAAATACAGGGTTTTCACAAATAATACGCCATTTGTTTAAACTACAGTAAGACAATAATTTTAAATGAAACACCCTATATATATAAAACTAAAGATATAATGAGTAATTATTTGTTATTTTTTAGGATATGTAACAGAACTTCTTTTAACACTGGAGGCTGCTGTCGAATCATTGGAGTCAGATTTCCGTCCTTTAGATTTCATGAAAGATTTCTTTAAATCCACACCAAACCTTAATAACAAGGAAGCTGGGCCTTTAAGGAAAAATGCCGAAGGTTCACATATAAATATGGCTGGCACTCCAGTATTTTATTCGCCAATTATAGGACACGCTCGTAGTACCAGTTATTCTGTTTCGTATGGTTTTAGAAAAAATACCCAGTCTTCTACGGATGTTAAAGAACGAAATCGACATAGTAATGAAATAGATCATAGGTTAGTATTTTAAATATTAATTACCTAATAGTTTTTATTAATATATTTTAGCCATTACGGTATTTATCACTGTACACTCTCAAAATTTGTATGCTTGTGGTGCCATATCTTCATTAGACGTGAGCGTCATTTTAGTGCCATAAGTTTGTTTAAACGATTGTAGTAATGTTTTACCAGTTGACTGTCTTATATATTTCTCCACGGGATTCATCGTCTATCCAGTCCTCTGTTTCCTCTTCTTGTATTATAACCTAAAGATTATGGTACCTACTGTTGATCTTTATTTAAAATATAAATTTATATCTCCATTGCGCTTGGATAACGATTCTCTCTATGCAAAGTTGACATAAGTGACCAGGAGTCCCTGGTCACTTATGTCAACTCCGAGTATCGTTCAGTGTAATTTAACCTTCTTGCTAAAAGAACAAAAAGAATAGTCTGTGTAGAAATTAACAGGTTGACTGCTAAGGTCATTGAGTACTATTTGTCATTATCTATTTGCAAACCATAATGGTACACAATACTATGTATTTGCCAACGGCAAAGTGTGTACCTATATGGTGCACAGCATGCTAATGTAGTCAATCATTGTATGTTCCTGTACAGATGCACAAGCTTAATATTTTATATGAAAATGTATGGCCTCCTAGACCAATTTTGGAAATGTAGCATATTATTTGTTGGCAAGGATATTTCAAAATAATACACTATTTTAAGTGAAAAGAAAAATAGTTTATTCATTAAATAACACATTAAAAAAAACCATCAGTGCAAAGGTAGTTACAACAAATCAGACAACTTTTTTCCACACTCTTTTAGAAGTTTGTTGTGCTTCTTTTCGTCCCTCTTTCTTTGCGACTTCCTTATAGCAATTTTAACAGCTTCTTCTTTTGTTTGTCTTCTGTAAAATGTGACGATATAAATTTGAGAACTTTCTGCTGTCGAATTTTCTGTTTTAAAATCTTCAGCATGTCGACGAGCTTGGAGGCTTGCGCGCGATACCATTTTGCCGTCCATACAAACGCTCTTACCTGCGCAATCTCTGTAGGCTTGGTCTCACGCAAAACGTAGTGTCTATCCGGATATAAGAGATGCAATAGAAATTACGTAAGTATAAGTAATATACAGAAAAGTGCAAAAAAAAATGAAATTTACTAAAGATGCATCCTACCAGCTTAATGAGCCAGACTCTAAAGATATTCTTAAAACTCATACATCAAAGGATTGATGTAATTTGAGCATGATATAACACTCAATTTGGCTTCAGAAATGGGCAAAAAGGGTAGAAAGGAACAAGGGCGGCCTTATTTGCCCTTAATGTATTGGCAAAAACATGTTTAGATGTTAACCAGCCTCTAAGTGTCTCTTTCCTTGACAACGCCAATGCATTTGACAAGTCCGACATAACCGTCTCCTACAACTATTTCGAGATAAAAATCTGGATATGAAAGACATTGGAGTCTGTATTTTAAATAAGTTGCTTCTATAAAGGTTGATAACGAACCGTCAGGTGAAATAGGGATAAAAAGAGGGGTAAGGCAAGTGTAGTATTTTTATTAATCTAATTTATTGTCTTTATTTATTATCAAAGGTTCTATTTATAATACTTACAAATGTATTAAAGTCTTTATTTCTAATTTATTTCACGATATCTATTTATATTTATTTCCGCGTACAATTATATTTTCGGACTCAAACTAACTCGATATTAAAAAAACTAGCACTTTTTACATAAAATGTCCCATATATATGTGATGTCCTCTCGTAGGAGTCACTATCCGGGTAGCTTTTGGACAGTCAGAGACAGAGTTCAAAATAAAAATAAAACTTTATTGTCTTCCTTAAATTAAATTGACAAAAATCTTATGTACATATTTACAATTTGGTTTAGTCTTCTCAGTACCTGGCCTATTTATTCAAATTAAGTTTGACCTTGTCATATGAAATTAGTCTTATCGGCAAGCGAGTGTGTATTTGAAATTTTACGTGAACGTCGTATCGATTTAATAACAGCGGACGATAGGTACAAAGAAAGGAAAGGGACTCAACACGTCCCTTAAGTGATTCGGGTTAATAGGACACTCCTCGACAGTCTCAACACGACTGCTTCAGAGTACGGGTAGTGAAGAGCTCAACACGCTCTTCGGGTAACGGCGGTATGGAACGGAACAACTTGTGAACTCAACACGTCCACAAGCCGGGGTAGGGAAGAAGAGAACCTTCAGTCAACACCTGTCGATTCTCCTCTATGAGGAAATGTTGCGGTTTATATAGCGGAGCTTAGTAATTAGTTTTGCCCTTTCTACTGTCCGATACACTCCTACTACATGGGTTGGTTCGCGCGCACGCTGGTTTAACGGTGATGGCTTGGACTCATCGTTACATATATACTAAATACCCGTTGTCTAGAAGGATCGATGACCTTCTCCACTAGAACACGGAATTCCATCGAATTGAAACAGGTTTTTTTAGCGTAGAGGACCCATGGATCTTCTTTCTAGAAATTTCTGTCGGCAGGTATATGATCTGGAAAATACTTGAATGAAAAAGAATATTAGTAATAAATATGTTTACAGTTTTGAGTTATATTTATCGTAACACAAGCATACTTTCTCCGCTAATCTTTAACTTGTACTCAGAAGAGTTCAGGAAGCACTAAAAAAACGTGAATATGATTTAAGTCAACGGAGAACCTATCAATAATATCAAATACGCCGATGATATGTTAATAATCGCAGTCAGTTGAAGAATTGCATTTCTGATTAATAAGATTCTAAATATGTATTTAAAATATATATAGCGAAGAGAGTGGACTCTCTTTAAATGTCAAACAGACGAAATTCATTACCAAAGTCCACTCAACAATTAATAATATAAAGAAAAGTAATTACAGCAATGGTTTTAGAGTTCAAATCAAAGTATGAATACTGAGGTGTTATGTGTTGTCGGTGTTATATAGAATGGAGGCATGAGCGCTAAAAAAGTCTAGTACGATAGTCTAGAAGCCAAAAATCCATAAGTAGAAGTTAATTTCGTGTAGTCTGCTGTATAACACAAAAAATTTAGTAAAAAATATTTTATAAAATGTATAATTTAAAAAAAACCTTTTGGACTAAATCTCAGAACGTTTTCGGAATAAATTTGCCATCTTCTAAATTAAATGTATCCAGTAGCCTACGCCAGTCCCACTGGTATGCCAGTTCCTACTTGGCGAAGTCAGTCGCTTGTTGTACTATTTACAGGTACGCCAGCGACTTTAACGATGGGTTTACACTTGTCTAAAACCACTGGTGCGGGGTTACTGGGAGAGCGGATGGGATTCGTTGGCATGAAAAATAGACCAGCTCTCTATTCGAGACAGTGCTGGCAGACAGCGCTTGATTATTGCAAAAAGGGTTACTGGATATGCCAGATATTGGATACGTGTAAACCTGCCTTTATAGGATGTTAAAATTTAATGTAGATTTACTTCATGGCAACGTAAACTCCCAACTAGAGTTACTGGTCTGAAGACGTAATCTGTAAACGGACCTTAGGTAGCAAGTTGGTTTAAGTTGCGTACAAGCAAGTAATAAGAATGATATTTTGATATAATTTAATATTTTATTTGCAGGAGTGCCATTAACAAATTTGCTCCGAACAATCTTTCCAGATCTCGTTCAGCACAAAGTTTAAAAATGTTAGGAGATACAGCGACGCAAGATGATAAATTAACAATTCTAGCACAACTGTTTTGGCTAGCAGTTTCCCTGTTAGAATCGGACTATGAGCACGAGTTCCTATTGGCTGTTCGACTATTAGCTAGTGTCATGCATAGATTACCGTTAGATAGACCAGATGCAAGAGATAAAGTGGAGAAACTTCAGTCGCAATTAAGGTGGAACTCTTTTCCAGGAGTACACGCTCTATTATTAAAGGTTCGTAAAAACTACGTATATAAGTAAAAGCTAATATTGGTATGTTTGTCCGATTGTCCTAATTAAAATATATTTTTATTTTAGGGGTGCACCCATCCAAATATTTACGAACCAGTGACGGCACTACTCTCGCATTTTACATCTTTGTTGAACTTTGTGGTTGTAGATCCATCGCAAAGTATAGCTTTCCCAATGAACGTTATAGCTTTACTTCCTTATATGTTGTTGAATTATGAAGATGCTAATGAACTTTGTATTAGAGCCGCAGAGAATATTGCGCAGGTAAATTAGTGATAGCTTTTATTTAAGTGATACTTTATTGCTAATAATAAACAAATTATTACTGTGTTAGTAAAAGCTTTATTGATTTGGATAAAGCAATCGGAAAGATCTGGTCTAATGTCCACCTGAACATTGATGTAAGAACACGTATCTAGAAATGCTACAGTGTTTTCCACTCTTTTATATAGAGTGGAAGCCTGGGCCTTGACCGAAGCAACAAACAAACGACTATAAACCTTCGAAATGTGGTACTATCGCTGCATGTTAGTCATCATCTGATGCGCAATAAGAAGTACCAAGTAATCCAACAATTTTTTTTTAAATCCAATATAATAAAATTCTTACCGAGACACTACTTCACTGATCACTAATCAATGCATTACTGCTACTGGGAACAGAGTCGATATTGACGTGGTTTGGGTGGAGATTGGCGTGAGGGTTAGCGTGAGGATTGGCGCGGAGATTGGCGCGGGGGTTGACGCGAACATTTCTGTCGTAGGATTTTGATTGGCGGATCTGACGATATTTTCTTTATGAGAGGTCTCGATGTCGAAGGGGTAAATTTCAAGGAAACCGGGGAATCGCTATTTTTGCAATTTTTTGGGACTTAGCATAAAAAATGAAAAAAGACTATTTTTTGTAATTTAAGGGAATAAAACTAAATAAATTGCTAAAAAACCTTAAAATAATGAAAAAAAAAATTGTAAAAAATAGGAAATTACTATAAAAATGTTGTAAAAATATAAAACTACTTACAAAATCATATGAAATATATACATAAATAAATATAAATATTAATATTTATGGCCTAAACCATTAAAAAAGTAAAAATTTTTACAAAAAGTCGTAATTTATTAAAATTATGAAAAGAACTCTGCGCATCTGCATAATAATTATAATTTGACATATATTCGCAATGTTGCCACGTTTATAATTGCTTTGTATGGAGTAAAAATGTATAACATATTTGAAATAACAAATTGTAAAAATTTGAAATAACAATATATATGAATTTGAAATAAGAATATATAAGAATTTGAAATGAGAATATATAAGAATTTGAAATAAGAATATATAAAAATTTAAAATAATAGTAGATAATAGTCTTTATGTTACTACTTACCTTTAATCTGCCGGTGGATACAAATTTGACATTATATACCTAAATCTTCCTTCACTATCCACTTTCAAAACACTGCCGCAAACTGGACATATTCTAGTATTTTTTAACACACCATGTGAATAAAAAAGGTTCATTATTTCATTTTTACAGTCCATTTGAACGCTATCATTGTAAGAAATTTCACATGAGGTGCAACTAGCCATTTTGTTTGTTATAAACAAATACAACTCAACGTTACTAAGAACAAATTATGTATAAAGACCCACCTAAAATTTTTGGAATAGTCCAGGGGATGGATTAGAATGTTGTCAAGTTTAAATATTTTTATAAATATTGTTTATAAAAATATTTAAACTTGACAATATCTAATACTATTTTAATATATTTTTTCATATTTAAAATTGATTTGGCAACAACTCCTAAAAAGATGTTATTGCAATTGTCACACTGTTGCCAAAGTTCGACATACTTTATTCTCGTTAATGAATAGTAAAAAAAATATCACCAATATGCCTCTATATTCTTTGATAACACTTAAACTAACCCAATCTAATCAAGCTAGCATAACTTGATTAGATTAAGTTAGTTTAAATAGTTTATACCAAAAAACAAGCTACAATATATATGATGAAATACGAAATAAAAATAATATTTAATGAAGTGCGAAATAAAAACATTATACTTAATCAATTAGTCGACAACACTGCAAACAGGAAATCAAAAGTTGCTTGAAAACTGGAAATTGAAAAGACCTACCTGATCAAACCTCACTCAAAGCAATCTAAACTGTCATATAAACAAATTAATAATTTATGAAAAACAAAATATTTTCTTTTTTCTCAGTAGCGTTGAAACGCGCAAATATTCTTAACATATCTTAAAGAGAAAACATAACCTGATCAAACCTAACTCAACGCAATCTAAACTGCCATATAAACAAGATAATAATTTATGAAAAACAAAATATTTTCTTTTTTCGATGAAACGCGCTTATCTTCTTAACATATCTTAATGAGAAAACATAACCAGATCAAACCTAACTCAACGCAATCTAAGCTGCCACATAAACAAGTTGATAAATTATGAAAAACAAAATATTTTCTTTTTTCGATAAAACACGCATATCTTCTTAACATATCTTAATGACAAAACATAACCTGATTAATTTATAAGAAACAATATTTTTTGAAAACATGGCAACATTGGTAGAAAAGTGACATGACATTAACAACAACACAATCAAAATGGAAGAAATATTTGAAAATTAATGTCAAAAAACGCAATTTTTAAACGAAAATTATAGAAAAAATATGCATTAAAATACAGAATCCGCAATTTCTAGAGCAATATAAAGTAAGAAGCCGTACATAACAAATATTTCAAGATTTAACTTGTATTTACCGTCCCCGGTTTCCTTGAATAATACAGTCGATGGTAACCGTATGGCATCATCCCTTTTATTGAGATATTTTGGCCTTTTTTTCAATTTCTATAGCTTCTCGGATAATTTTTGGTTTATAGATGGGGGCTATGTTTCTGGAATTTTCAAAATCAATTTTGTGACCTGTATGAAGATGGTGTTGACCTAGAACTGAAATTGAATCGGAATTGCGAACAGAAATGGAATGTTCATAAATCCTATTTTGAATTCTACGATTTGTTTGGCCTATCTAGGATCGGGGGCAGTCAGCACAATTTCATAAACCCCGTGTTGTTCATTTGAAATTTTGTCTATGATTAATCGGAAAAGAGATGAAAGTTTTTGTCGGGGGGCAAATATTGTCTTTATTCCTCTTGATTTAAGAATTTTGTCGATTTTGTCAGTGACACCTTTGATGTAAGGAAGAAAAGCTTTCGTATGATTGGGTTGAGATTGGGTGGGAGATTGATGTCTGTGGATGCTCCTATTGATGTGATTTTCCCAGTAATCGTTTTGGAGGAGGGCTTGTTTTATACTAGAGCGGGTCTACTTGCATCATCATAAAGGCGTATTGACCTGTAGACAGGGGTATTAATGACTGAATTAATTTGTGAAGATGGTTGATAAGATTTGGCATGGGTTTTCGATAAACAGAGTGATGAAAACCTTGGGATTGGTTTTTCTTTATGATAACGTCGAGAAACGGTAGAGATGAATCAGTTTCCACCTCCATCGTGAACTATATACTAGGATGTGTACCATTCAGATCGGTTTGAAAAGCCATTAAGGCATCGCTGCCGTAAGGCCAAATGACCAACGAATCGTCAATGTATATCGTAGTCAAGATGTGGGTTTGAGCATTGATGTGGATAGTGCTCGGGTCTCGAAGTCTTCCGTAAAGATATTGGCCATTACTGGAGATAGTGGGCCTTACTAGATATGGAAACTTACTAGAATGTCTCATGGTGAGATAGGGTATTGTTTAATAAGTTCGATGAAATGAAAATAATTTTTGACGAATAATAAAGCATTTTCGGCGAGAGGTTCTACTTTCTGTGGTTTTCCGGGCTTGACTCCGCGTTGAATAATTTTGGTTTTGAGAAAAACCATTACATATTTTGATGACTACCTGAATTGGCAATGGCAAGTGCGATCTTGCCGAAACGTCGTCAAAATAATGGTTTTTCTCCGAATCAAAATTATTACAATAAGTTAATTTTGATATATATTTTTAGGTTAGCATTGAAAAGAGTAAAAAGCTTGAAAATCTCGGTACAGTTATGAACCTCTACAGTAGAAGAACTTTTAGTAAAGAGAGCTTCCAATGGACTAAATGCGTTGTAAAATATCTCCATGACACTTACTCTCATTTAAGTCTCAACATGTTATCATTCCTGATAGAAGTTCTAGAAAAAGGTCCCAGTAATCTACAGTTACCGATACTAAATATAATCCATTGCATTTTACATTATGTCGACTTGGCTACGGCAGCTGCTCAACCAGTAAACGCCGATTTGTTGAAAGTTATAGTGAAGTACATCGAAGGACCTAATTGGAAAGAAGCGTTGAAGATTCTGAAATTGGTCGTTAGCAGATCTAGTTCTTTGGTGGCACCTCCGATCACTATTCATTCTCATTGGGAGAGTTCTTTGACACCTATGCCTCATCCTTCATTTAATGAAGATAATATTTTCAGCAAGAAGGAACTACCAGGTATGTATAGCTTATTTAAACTAACATAGTTTATTTTATATAATAATTATTTTATTTTGCATTTCACTCTAAATTTCCTTAAGTTCCATAGTACCTTAGTTGTGTTGAATACTTTAGTTCGTAAGATTAGTTTTTTTTAACTTCCATTTATTTACAATCTGCAAGAATATTACAATAAATATCCCTTAACCCGAAACATAGTACTTTTATTGCTAATGCGAAACATATGGTCTATTGGACCAGTATAAGTAAAAATTGAAATAAATCAAAAACAAATGTAGCATTTGAAGAGAAAAGCAAAATATTAAAGGGTTTATTAGGTATAAACGAGCAAAAAAAACTTATTCATACATAATACTTACATAAAACAAAATGTGTAATATAGAAAACAACATTCTTAGGCGTAATTAAGTAAACAAACATATATATTTCTAAATAAAACAAAAAATATACTACAGCTACCTAGTAATTTTGAAGACAGGTAATGCAAACCTTTCTACTACACTCCAAACAAATAGCATTTGAGCAACGCACACATTTATAATTTGTCTTTTGGCATATTTGGCATACAAATTAATATCCAAGGCCAGGCCGCTCATTGTCGAAGAAAGGTGGACGTGGTTCTTTCAATCATATAGAAACTGTGTATTATTTCTCAAATCCAAATAGACAATGCGGAAATAGAATTTATTGTTGGGCACCACCCCTTGCGTTTATTCTCAAAGGGTAACGAGAAGAAGAGAACAAAATAAGAATTTAGATAAAGTGTTACAACGAAACAAATCAACAAAAAACATTATTAAAAAAATCCTATGTTAAAAGTTACGTCATTCCAGAACGATATTAAAATACCAACTTATGTTTACATTAATTCGATTACCATGAAGAGTGTTTATGCAAAACTAATTTTAAAATCGTATAAGTAAACAAACGTTCTATATCATGATATTAAATTAAGAATTAGTTAAGAAAATGAATTTATGTATTATCCCCAAATTTCGAAATTCGTTCACATTAAAAAAAATATAGTTATTTATTAACTAAGAATGTCTATTATAATTTTAAATAAAAATAAAACACTATTTTTTTCTAATTTCATAAATATTCCCCACTTGCTCAATAGAGAATAGAAATATGAAATTTGGTACAACCTGATTTATCCAACTGCTGGTGGTTATGAAGAAAAGGATATGCTTTATTTCTTTTCACCCTCCAAGTATTTATTCACTCTTACCGATAAGGTTCTAAAAATAAATATTTATCTGAAAATATAGAAAAGAAAAAGGATTTTTTCGATTTACCTCTATAAGAGACCATATAAACAAGATCACGTCTTAACGGTTTGACGTTTTAAGAGATAAAAGAAAGACGCTATATCTTTTCCACTGAGAATCGAAACGAGTGACAAGCTAATGAACGTTCTCATCTAACGGATATATTTGGAATTACAGTAGAATCCTTGAGGTAATTAAAAGTACTTGGCAGATAGATGGCGTTAACAATTTTTATTTAAAAAAAAAATAATCGAAATTATAATTTTCTAAAACTACTGAAACGGTTACAACCTATGGAATCGTTCAAGGGATGCTTGCATCCAACAACATACAAATTTATAAGCTGAATGGTGATATCTAAGTCGGTTCAATATTTATTTGCACTAAACTCATTGCTTATTTTAGTAAATTTATAAAATCCAAGACTTTTATTAAATTTATGCTTTTTATAATAACATTTTATATATTTTTCATTGAAAATTTTAGGTCGTACCATGGAATTTACTTTCGATATGTCGCAAACTCCTCTAATCGGCAGGAGATTTTTACATAAGGCTGAAGAAGCTTCTACATCAAAGGTATCATCAACCCCAAGACGATCTTGCTCTATTAGTCCGGCTGATACCTCTCCTCAATCGGGATGGAAAAGGCCATGGATGTGCCAGGTAATATAACAAGGTTACAACGAATATATAATTATAATAAATTAAAAATGAAAGAAAATATTTAAAAGTTTTTTCCTCAAAAAAAAAAATAGCAATCGTTACTATTTTCATCGTAAATCTGTTGAAGGTCATACGATTTGGCATTATAGCGATAGTGAAGAATGTAGTTAACTTTGAAATAATTAAATTGAAATTTTATTATTAGTATTATTTCATTTATTACAGGTACATGATAAAAAACTGCAACAACAAAAAATAATCAATTATAATGAAGAATCTGTATCATTAACAAACTCCCATTTGAGAAAATATTCTTCATATTATTAACTGCTGAGAGAGTAATAAATGAGCTTGAGGTTCCTCAGCTAACTCTTGATGACTATTTAAAGTATATACCACAAAAAAATATTCCATGTTTTAGTTTTCAGCCAGTGAACTTTAGTGAAGTTGACTTAGCTATTACAGAAATAAAAAGTAACAGCAAAGATCCTGATGGGTTTAACACAAAAATTATTAAAACAATTAAAGATATAATTGTTCAACCTCTAACAACTTTAATAAATAAACCAATCAATATTTTGTAATACTTATCCTCAAGTTTTCAAAACTGCAAAGGTAGTACCTCTGTTTAAGAATAAAGGCTCTATTGATGATTATAACAATTATCGACCCATTTCTTTGCTGCCCATCTTATCAAAAGTTTATGAACGAATTTTAAAAAATCAAATTAATCTACATTTTGAATCTAATAAACTGTTTGCCATAAACCAGTACGGATTCCGAAAAAATAAAACAACAACTTTAGCTATTGATAATTTCACTAGCAATGTTTTGGAAGGGTTTGAGAAATATTTGGATACTCTTGCATCGTTTTTAGATCTTACTAAGGCTTTCGATTGTGTCACACATAGTATTCTGCTTAGAAAACTTCGTTATTATAATTTTCATAGTGATGCTATTCAACTAATTGATTCATATCTATCAAATCGTGATCAATATGTTCACTTCAACCAGTGTGAATCTCAAAAACAATCTTTGTTGTTTGGTGTCCCTCAAGGCTCGGTTTTGGGTCCAGTATTATTTCTTATATACATTAATGATCTAGTGTACTCTCAAAATGAAACAGTCAACACTGTTTTATTTGCTGATGACACTACTTTCTATGCAAGCTATCATCCTTCTGAATTCGACACCCTTGATTACCAAACATCTGAAAAAACTTATTCAATTGGTTTTTAACTAACTGTCTCTCTTTGAACAACTCTAAATCACAAAGTGTTAATTTTACTCTAAGAAATATCACTTGTGTCGAAAACGTTGCTCTACCACAATGTGTAACCGAAGCGAAGTTTCTGGGGATATATTTGGATGCAGGATTAACCTGGGAACAACATATAGTTAATCTATCGAAAAAACTTTCCCGACAAATTTTTCTCTTCAGGAACCTTGTACAAGTGACTTCCAGGGAAACTATTTTAACAGCTTATCATAGTAATTTTCATTCTCATCTGACATATGCTATTCTCTCCTGGGGTCACTCTTGTCATATCGATAAAATGTTTGCACAACAAAGAAAGTGTGTTCGTATTATCTCTGAGCTCTCTTATAAAGTAGACTGTAGAAACTCCTTTAGAATTTTAAAAATTTTAACTTTACCTTGTGTATACATTATGCAGTGTCTGTTGCACATTAAACAAAATCTTAGCCAATACAATGCGCATGTAGATTTTCACAATTATCCCACCAGATTTAACAATAATCTTATACCAGAATTTAGCCGTCTTGAGAGATCCAGAAATGGTTTAAGGTATTTAGCCATAAAATTCTATAACTTAGTGCCAGCTAGAATAAAGGCTCTTAATTTTCATCAGTTTAAGGCAAAAATTAAGGGTTACCTTATAGTGAATGCTTTTTTTACATATGAGGAGTATTTTACTTCCAATTTTAATTTGTTGTAATTGTTAACAGTATAATTTAAAATAATGTATCCATGTTTTGTGTTTATATTTATGTGTGCATATTAACTATATTGACATTTACTTTATTTTATTTGACTTGTAAAAAATACTTATGTATTAATTTATTACCAATAAACCATCTATCTATCTAGTAATAATGAAGAAGTATGCAATTATTTATTAATATTTCAAATCAGTGATCTTGGGAATATTTTGATAGTATTATCGAAATCATAAAATTCCTACCACTCATTATTTGATGAGGTGCATGATGAAATTTTAAAGTTATTAGAGGCACACCAAATCACAGCTATTCAACAGCATCTACGAGACTGATTACTTACCAAAAGACTGGCTACTATCAATATTCATTCCACTTCCTAAAAAAGCCAACGCTAGAAAATGTGAAGAGCACAGATTAATTAGTTTGACGAGCCATGTACTTAAAGTATTTCTTACTATCATTCACTCGCGCATATACACCAAATTAAAAGAACACCCGAGTGAAGTTCCTAATACAGAGAGCCAGGGATGTCAACTGCGATGTGTATCGTCTGTCACAAAATATCAACCCCTTCCTCTCTTAGAGACTTCCAAAACTCCACAAGCATTCCATCAGATCCTACTGCCTTACCATTCTTCATCCTATTTAACGCCTCGACAACCTTCTCCTATCCCCGGTATTACATTCTCATTTGGGATTCCGCATCCTCTGGTGTTCTTCATTTAGCAACTTTCTGAAGTTCTCATCCATCTTTGTTGTATTTCAACATCGTTTTTTAACACTCTTCCATCCGCTTTCTTAATCTGCCGCACGTGGGTGAAGTCCATGAATGACTTGTCTGTTGCTTTAGAAATGCTGTATAACCTTTTCATCTCCTCGAGTGCTGCCAACTCTTCATACAGCTATGAAGACAGAAAACATTTCCTTAACTACAGCGCGCTTTGCTTCCCTCTTTGCTGCCTTGTATATATTCTTATCTTCCTCTCTTTCAGACCTGTCATACCTCTTTCTAGCCTCTTTTTTTCTCTTACCTTCTGCTGCAGTTCATCGTTCCACCACCAAGTTTCTTTGTCTCTAGGAGGCCCTTTACCAAATGTTTTTCCTAGCAATTCTTCTCCCTCTCGCACCACAACTTTACTGTTTGCTTCCAACCAGTCGTTGACACCTGTGACCAGTCATTTGCAGTATTATGTTCCTCAAGCCTATACAGCACTCTACTCTTAAAGATTCTTGCCTAATCCATATCCTTTAACTTTCCCCACTTTACTTTCTGGTGTCCTACTTGCTTTCTTTTCCGCTCCAGCTTTTTCTACTTATCCACTATCGCCGGATTGTGTTAACTAGCTACACACTCACCCTTTATCACTTAATAATTGGTAACTTCTCTTAGCTGACTTCTTCTACACCTTTCCCCTGCTACTATAGATAATATACCGGTCTTCAGTTTTCGTAAAGAACGTATTAATGACACAATTAAATTAGAAGTCAACATAGATAAAACAATGTACATGAACATCGGTGGTAAAGAACAAAATCTAGTTTTAAACGACGGACAACACATTAAGTACAACAATAAATATTCCTATTTAGGAGTAGAAATCACAGACGACGGCAAATCAGATCAGGCTATAAAAAAACGAAACACTCAGGGTAGAAGGGCCATATCTCAACTAAATAGTATTATCTGGGATCAACATATATCCAAAAAAAATAAACATCAAATATACAACACTATTATAAAGAGCATAGTAATGTATGGAAGTGACGTGTGGCAGTTAAAGGCAACTACTGAAAGAACACTACAAGCCACGGAGATGGACTACTGGAGACGGGCCGCAGGAAAATCAAAACTCGAAAGAATTAATAACGAACGTATACGAGAGGTTATGGGAGTCACACATACGATTGTCGAAGATATAAGAGTACAACAACTAAAGTGGTATGGACATGTGCAGAGAATGCCAGAACATCGTCTGCCCAAACAGATTATAGATTGGTCACCACATGGAAAGAGAAAAAGGGGCCGACCCAGAAAGAGCTGGAGAGAAGGAATAGACAGAGAGATCCGAGAGAGAGGTTTAGACGAAGATCTTTGGGAAGATAGAGATGCATGGAGATTGGGCATCGGAAGACGTCGGAGGACGTTTTAAACCGATTATATATATATATATATATATATATATATATATATATATATATATATATACGTATTAATGACAGCCAAATCCCATGCCACTGCAAAGTCAGTCACTCGATTGCCTTCATCGTTTCTTATTCCCATCCCCAAATCTCCATGAACTCAACACTGTCGGTAACAGACTTCAAAAAGAAATAAGCAAAGAAGGAACTTCTTTCCCCAAAGTCTTGTGCTCTAAGAAGGAACAGCAAATTGGAAGAATCAGTGTGAATGGTCAACTAACAGAAAGAGTAAAAACATACACGTATCTTGGTATTTACGAACGTCAATGAAAATTGGGACTATTCTGAATCTCGGGCATTTCATAATCAATGGCTCTCCAAGGCTCTCCTTTTCCTGTTCTTCACACTCTACCTGTGGGTCGTAGATACATATAATGTTCACGTTGGTATTACCTGTATTCGGTTGGACACTAATTACTCACTTTTCCTTGTTACCCTTACAAGATGTTCCTTCCACTCGTTGTTTAAAATAATACCTACTTCCTTTCTGCCATGACTGTTTGAACTGCTATATTTTAACTTCCATCCATCTCCAAAATCTCTAGATTTATTACCTTTTGCCTTTTGTCGACGTTTTTGTTTAATAAGATATGATTATTTTGGTTGGATCAAGTTGAATCAAGTAATCCGTATTATTTTGTTTATATTTAGATGTACAAATAACGTCGAATTACAAAAATAATTAACTGCTAAATCCTTGTTAACAAAAAATCATTTACCAAAAAGATTGAAATAAAAAATTTACATAGAGATTACATAAACATACGAATTGACTACTACTACTACTTTTATTGCAGGGAAGAGTTCGAGAATGCCTTGTGAACCTATTAACAACTTGCGGTCAACGTGTCGGCCTGCCAAAGAGTCCATCTGTAAGACCTGCATATTTTGTTTTTACTTAGTTTTATCTACAACCAATTTTTTAGGTTATATTTAGTCAAACTTCGGATATTATTGAAAGGCAGTCCAGTATGGCCTCTAGTACCGAAGAAGTTTCTGCTGGCAACAATGATATGAGTGGCGGGTCCAGAAGAGATGATGCTGCTACCGAATTTGGAGTTTTCAAAGATTTCGACTTCTTGGAATATGAAAGCGAGAGTATAGAGGTATTAGAAATATACTTAACTTTTGTTAATATTTTTTAAATACATATTTTAGATACTAAAGATTTGAATGCCGAATTTATAGACTCTTTAATTGAGATTTCGTGCTGTCATCCACCGTAGATGTTGAATATCCTGAACTTCTGTTTCTCTGTACTGCCGTTGTTTTGTATTCTTCTTGCTTTGGGAAAGTGTATTCATTCTACACCGAATTTCCTCAGCATGATCTCTATTTTCTGTAAGTAGGTTTCCAAAAATTATTTTTTTTTGTAACTATTTCTGCTTATACTAGCTACATACAATAATATTTTACTATCAATTCTTATTAACATTGAGACAGTCTGCATTATTTCAGTTGTTGGGAATTTTGGAACTGCTCAAATAATTGGTCATCATCTCTGTTTTTAACAATTCATCTGATAATTATCAGTTTCTGATTTCAAAAATTGTGCTGGTTTTTTAAAATATAACTATAGTCATTTTCAAATTACTAAGATTTCTCTAGTCTGTTCTAAATATTATTAACAGTTCTATGACATAATTTATATAAATATAGTAAAGTATAACTGGCGTTCCCTCTCTATTTCTCTCTCTCTCTCTCTGTCCTTCTTTTGTCTCCCTCTCTCTCTTTCTGTGTCTGTATGTTTGACTTAGTGCCCTAAGTGGTTTTTTTCGATTTTCTTGATTCTCTAGTTAATGACTTTATTTAACACCTACTTTCACCACTTAAGCCAATTAAGTAGCGACTGAAAATACTATCTGTCCCCTTTATTGTCTTCTTGATTATCTATGCAAAATATAACAACTATTTATTATTATCAATGAGAACTTATTATCAGTGAACTATGATTTCACTGTATACATTTAAAAACATCTTTGTTCTGGTTCAACTTTTTAGGATTGTATTGTACAAAGACATTAAATAATATATTATATTTTTTAGGGGGAAAGCACCGATAATTTCAACTGGGGCGTTAGAAGAAGACCTCTAAGCCAAGGAGAAGATGACCAAACCAATCTAAAACAGTTAGAAGATAGCGTTAGCGAAAAAACACCCGTACTAACAGTAAGAAAGGTACACGTCTGTCCTTTTGACCATAATGTGAGTTCATGTTTCAATGTTATTGCCTGTAGCCTGTTACTAAAAGAAAGTAGAATTGAAAACGGTAGATACTAACCTTTTTTATCTATTATGTGTTTGTGCAATATTATTACATATGTTTAGGTGTTACATAAAAATTACAAGCCAAAAGGCAAATGTTGTTACTTCCATGTTATATAATTTGACTTTTATAAAAAAATTATCACTTGATATGAATGAAGAGCATAAGGTGGCTTTTGAAAGATGTTTAACAATGCTTATTATTTCTTACCAATGAAAATAGAAATCTAAGTAAAACACCTAGAAAAATTGATGGTAAAAGACATTATGGGACAGAGCTAGAAGTACAGATAGACGACATAGATGCAAGGTGGAGAACATCAAGAAGTGGGTAAGAAATAGAAGAGTGGAATGGAACGATCATATAAGCTGAATGACAACAAATACAGTAGTAAAGGTGGCAAGAGACGGTCCCTCAATAGGAAGACGATTAGTAGGAAGACCACGAAAACGATGGAACGACAACTTACTGGAGGCACATTCAAAAACAGACAGAGTCGTGTTTATATAAAAAGAAGAAGTTAAAAAATTTACTTACTTTCACGTCTTTCCTATTATGGCTATCAAATATGGTTATATACTAACTATATGGTTAAACATTTTTGTACTAACTGCTATGCTACAGCTACTACATTTTCAGCGTCTTTGTATTATTGCTAGAACTTCAGCTTGATTTACGTTTTTCAACAGATTATATTTGTTATTTATTGTATTATACATTTTAGCGGTTACTAACAGAAGAATCTTCAGACGATGAGGTCGGTTCCGAATCTCCGTTGGACGAAATAGCCATTGCTCCAGAATTTGATAATAGCATCATGGAAAGCAGTGCAATGTTTCCTCCGTCATCTCTTGCCCTAAGGGAGAACAATTCACAAGTACAATCCAGTGCTAGATCAGACACAAGGTGAGTTCGACTTTACTCAATTCTTTAACCTTTTACTGTAGCAAAACCTTATTTAGCACATTGTATACCACGTATCTTTTTTAAGAAATTTCATTGGGTGCCACGCTAAATGAGGATCCTTTTTTCTGTTAAAATTATGTGACTATATATAAGTTTTTATATACTTTTTAGTGTGATGCCAGTGAAACTTCATATGCTCATATGCTTCATACGCTTGGAGCTGGTGGCGATCCAAGAAAAAATAAAAATTTACAGGAAAAATGTACTTTTTATATTTCCAATCCACAAAAAAAAACAAGAACATAAACAAATAAATTCAACAAGTATAAATATTTTTTAAGCGTTTCATATACATACAGCCGTGAGGTATTATTGCGAGGAAATCCAATTACTCATTTGTCGTAAGAGAACACAGATGGGACCATATTCTAAAAATACAGGGCCACTCATAGTGACGGAGTGGAACAAACTTTTCTTTTTTTTTTAATGGAAGAGCCTGTATATTTTTATATTTTTGGACTCCCGTTTTGGATTCCCGTTTTTTCAGTATTAAAGCAGCGTTTTTTTTTTATATATTTAGCAGCGTTTAAGCGTCAAGCAGTGCAGTTAAAGATAATTAGGATTTTTTTATTAATTTCGTAGCAAAATTAACATCCTGTAGAGATTTGATATCAATAAAAATATTTATGTTCAAAAGATTTTTAATATAGTTTACTATTGTATAGAATTATTAATATAGCGAAATATTTAATGTTGATATACAGGGTGGATCGAAACTCGGAATGAGTATTTTCTGAGTTTTGTTAAATGAAACACCCTGTATTTTAGTGTTGTAATGAAATGTTATTTTATGATACTTTTATTATTTATTAAGCATTCCCTATACCTTTACCCTATTGTATCCCCTATTAACTGCTTTAGGTTGTGAATTATTCGTGATTTTTTGAACCAAATATTAATTGCAACAAAAATTAACTGAAGTTTTATCAGGTTAACGTAGAAAATATTTAATCAAAACAAATCGTTTAGTATTATAAAATAACATTTCATTAAAATACTAAAATAGAGGGTGTTCTAACAAAAAAACGTAATTATTTTTTAAATTACCTGGTATAACTACACTTAACAACTTTCGCGGAATCCCTGAGTGATCTCCACGGAACTCTAAGGTTTCGAGGGACACAGTTGATGAAACGTTGTTCAATTTGGCGAGTTGTGCTATTAAAATTAGCAACGTTGCAATGACAAGTAAAATTGCACAAAGTAAGATTTGGTACTCTTTTAATTATCTTAATTTGCGTGAGAAATTTTAAATATTAAGAAAACTTAGATATAGGTACAAAAAAGATACTATTACATAGGAGTACCTAAAACGCTATCAAATGTACAACAGCATTTTCGAAATTGTGTAAAATTTGTCTAAACTAATGATTCGGATCCGCTCAAATTAACAATACTCGTTTTCATTATTCTTGGTGTGTGCCTGAAATAAGCTACTACGAAATTTTTAATATTCGTCTCTCTCTGATACACAGATGCGTAATTCAATTGTTCGAGTCACGTTCGTCATGGTAAAGTGCGCTGAGAAGGGAATGAAGAGACCACTCACGTCTCCCAGTATTGTAGCAATAACACCGATGCGTTTGGCCGATACGGTGTCGGTGATAAGTTCGGCCTCTTTACGAATACAGATAGCTGGCAGTGACGTTTTTTTTTTAACATGTTACCCTGACCTGTGCAGGTTTGAAGTAGCCGATGAAATAGTTTTTATAAGTAAACAGTTTTTAATTAATTAATAGTTTGAGCTCTTACTGTGTGGAATTCCATTACATAAAATAATACTCTCGACACCTTCAAAATTCCAGTTTATTATAAATTAACTCTCTTTCTTCCGATACCCATTGCAATAATGACTTGTGGCATTGTTCTTGAATGAGCTGGCTAATAGGTTTATAATTGTAGCAATTACCACTGATATTTTATGTTGTTTTAGTCGATTTTAGTCAGTCATTGTTGGAATTTGTTCCGAACAGTTTTACTTATTATTTTTTGTTGTCAATAACTAATTGTTCTATTTAATAAAAAAAATACCGGGAAAAACGATAACAGGAGAAATGCGACAATGTGTAGTTCATTTATTGGAGTATTTTAAAAAAGAAAACAACGGACCTTTGCTTTCGTTATCATCGGTACATGAACGAGTAGTGGACGCTTTGAAAATCAGTCTTCGCACAGTGACAAGAATAAAGAGTGAATACAAGACAGGGGCAGCTCTTACTACACCAGGAGAGTCACGTAATGTACAAAAAAAAGACTAATGATGTCAGCGATACTATAAAAGGAGAAATTAGAAATGTACTGTATGGCATGAAAGCAAAAGGAGAGCACGTTAAAATTAAAGTCATACCATAGCTCTTTAATAGAAAAGTTACCGAATGCCAGTTGAAAAAAATCGGACTTACAAGAATGGTTACGAGCGAAAAAAATAATTTTTGACGACGATTCGGGCAAGACAGAGCTATTGAGTCTTTGTCGCCAGAATAAACCACAAAATACCAGGTACGTTATAGACGAGCTACTCCAAGAACATGGGCATCAGGTTTTGAGATTGCCTCCATATCACTGTCAATATAATCCGATTGAGTTGGTCTGGGGCATTTCTAAACAATACTATGATCGTCATATTGGAGAACATGGACGTGGAGATGAAGCAGTGAAAAAAGTTTGGAGCGATGCATTAGCTGAGGCAACACCTGGAGTGTGGGCGAGTTGTGTTAACCATACTGAAAAATTAATTCAGGACGACTGGGCAAAAATGGTCACATACGATGAAAATGAAAGTAGGATTATTATCGATTTGCCGCAAGATTCCAATAATGAAGACAGTTCCAGTGAAGACGCTGACTTATTAGCTAATTAATCAAGGTCAGTACGTTGTAACAGTTCAGAATTCGCTACAGTGCTTAAAACTTAAAAAATCTGTATCATTTTTTAATGAAAGTGGGTTAAATAATTAACACTTTTTTGGGTATATTTCAAAATCCTTTTAAAATGTACTTTTCGTTATATCCTGTCCCATGGACGTATAAATCTTTATTTATACGTCCATGTCCTGTCCTATTGTACTGCAAGCTAGAAAAATACTTCTTCGCAATTTATACGTATATTCCGTTATTAGAAATTTAATTTGTAATTTTCTTTTATAACTATTATTTCGTTTGACATGCTACATTTTGCTCCGCCACTGGAGGAGGTAAACGAATCGAGCTTAGACAAGGAAAGACAGATGAAACAACTTGTTGCAAGTGTTTTTACAGGCACACGCCAAGAACGATGAAAACGATTATACCTTTGAAGTTTGGTACTTTTTCAAAATAATTTTGATTTTTTATTAGTGGCTCCACCTATATGTCAAACGTAGGACTTATGGTATTATGTGATATATTATATTTTATCACGATTCTCCTTTTTCCATCAAATCGAATTTTGACACTAATCGGTAATTAATTAAAGACATATTGAAAGCAATATTTGTTTTGTACATTGAAAATACCCCGTACTACATTTAAGGATGCATGGAATTGATTGTTAAGAATGCGCTTAAAGAGCAAGACCTGAAAAACAAAGAGTCACAGGTGCCGTTGATGGCTATTTTCTTGTACTGTATATATCGAGAAATCACAGTTTAACTTCAACAACATATTCGAATAATGGCAAGGAAAGTGTTTCAATAAATGACAGGAGAATTGCGGAAAGTTGTGTCATTTCGTAATGCTCCACAAAGATCACATTCACAATATAATCATAGAAGGGACTCAACGTAGTTGGATCCCAAATGGAGCTCTTTTGTAATTCGGTAAAGTTCTATTTATTAATGTTTCAGTACGTTTTTTCAAGCATCGTCTGAAGAGAAAAGCATAGTAACAAAAGAAGGCTTTTATAATCAAATAAATAGATACAGTGTTGGAAAATATTCCCAAATAAGACGTGAAAATAGTGCTCGGCGACACTAATGTAAAAATAGGAAAAGAAGAAATAGGCGTAGACACCATAGGAAAATACATTCTGCATGAACTAACCTATAAAAACGGTCATTTTCTAGTTCTAAGATTTCGCAACAGCAAGAAATATAATCGTTATGAGCACGTACTTCCAACATAAACGATTATACCAAGGAATGGTGAGATCGCCAGATGGGAAAACCAAAAACCAAATCCATTATTTGCTCGTCGAAAAAACCATTTACCAGTTGAAATAACAGAAAACGGATTTTTTAGGTGTAACTGAACTGACTTAAATTTCCCCAAAAAATATTCATCGATTTTGCAGACGAAGCGACTATATTCATATTGGTTATAAATTTATACTTAAAATAACATGTAACTATTATTTGCAATACAGTATTCATAATTATTTCTTACTTGTTGATTATACGTTAATATTTTAGTGGATCCAGCACGGGAGATCTAGGCGAAGTGACTCCTTGCAATGCATCGCCAAATTTATCCACTCTAATGAACATGAGGCCGATAATTTCGAAGAGTGATATGTTAGAAAATTGGAGTTCATATATCCAAGCAAATATGTTACAGACTTCAGCAAACACCTTACAGTTTTTCCATCAGTTTCAGAAACTTGTTACGGTAAGTTATCTTGAGGTACTTTTTAGAATTTATATGCACCGATGACTCTTGGTAGAGTATAAGTCGCTAAATATTCCTTGAGCTCTTTTAATCCATTTAACGCAGTGGATTAGTTCGCATATATTCATTAGGCTATTTCTTAAAGATTTTTTTATAACGTATATTCAGCAATCTATTAGTTATAAACATTCTAATAATAAGCGTCTTTGGGGTTCGAAATATAAATTGAATTTAGAGAGGTCAGTCCAATGATTGGCCCTCTGCGATAGAACAAACATGACATTCCGATAATCTGCTATATACATACACTTCATATTTACAAACAGTGCATATTATATCTAAAATATATACAATTACGATGAGGTAGAACACTTATATTTATAAATCAGGTGTAATGGTTTTTTACTTTTTAGTCTTTGAGTTTGTTGACTGTTATCAAGCAAGTCTATTACCAAGGCATTCGGACGGGTTTCTAGACGTTTCAGGTACCGAGAACTGTACTGATCGTAGAGCGTAACAGTTTGGATTTAAATCTTTCCATTATAGATAAGTTCGATTTTGCTGCTGTATCCCATAGCTGAATCCCCTAGGTCCAGACACGTTTGAGTATTGTATTGTATACCAACAGTTTATTACGAATGGACAACTTGGATGTTATGCCCAGTATTCAATAATGCTTACGAAATTTTAAGTTCAACTGTTGGCGCTTTTTCAATATATGGATTCTCCATGTCAAAGTTTTGTCCAGATGCATTCCAAGGTATTTAACGCTTTCAGTTTGTTATTACTTTGTTATTTATTTCTATACTAGTCGATATTTTACGACATTTTGTAAATATGATATGTTGTCATTTAGATCTATTGATCTTTATGCCCCATCTCTTTGTCCACATTTTAATGTCCCTAATATGCCTTTGAAGAGATTCGGTAGCTGTGTCAGGATTATTATCTGTCCCTAACATAGCAGTGTCGTCTGAGAATGTTGTAGGCGTTACATTTTCGTTTGTTATTATGTTGTGTGTAAATTTCAAATATAATATAGGACTCAGAAAACTACCATGAGGAACTCCAGATCGTATAGGGTAGTTTTTTGTTGGTTCTGATTCATACTTAACACTGTAGTATCTTTCTTCTAAATATGATTTTAGTAAAGAAAACATTGACTCTGGAACGTTAATTTTTATTGTGAATGGCAACCCTTCATGCCAGACTTTATCAAAAGCCCGAATGATGCCAAGAAAGAGTGCAGAGCAGTATTTTTTCCTCAAAACTTTTATTCACTATATCAACGACTATATACACTTGTTCTATTGTTGAATGCTTCTATCTGAAACCAAACTAATGATCTGAGAAAAGATTATTATCTATTATAATCTTCTCAAATAGTTTAGCAATTACCGGTAAGAAACTAATATTATAATTCGTAAGGCGATTTACAAGGTTTATGGATCATTATTATATCAGCAATTTTCCATTGGGTTGATACAATTTTGAGCCTTAGTGAGGCATTCAAAACTTGTATTATCATGACTATTCATTTTTCTGGTAACTCTTATAAGATAGTTCCTGTTATAAGGTCATAACCTGGAGCTTTTTTTTACTTCTGTTTGTGTAACTGGTTTAATTTGCTCACCTGGCTATGGGATTGTTGTTAGCCTTAGACTCATCTTCTTCAGCATTAACAGGGGGTAGAGGTTGAAAAACTTTTTTAAGATATTTTCCAAGTGTCTCTAATCTGTTCTCGTCTATGAGCCGTCTGGGTTTCTTAATGCTGGGAAGTGTTTACTGTTTTAATTTCCTAGAGGTCTTTCCAAGTAAATAATCGGTATCTGCTGTTGGTGTTTAATTTAGCAGATCATTTTCAATGTAGAAATTTTTGTGTTGTAATTTTGTATTTTTTATCAGTCTTGTGGCTCTATTGTAATTTATTTTATCTTGATGCTGCCTTGTATTTTGCCATATCTTCTTTAGTCGCCTCTTCTCCTTAATTTGGTTTCTAATATCGATGGGGCAGTTTTGTTTATTCTGTATAGCTTTACATTCTGGAGTGGCTTTCCAGGCAGCTTCTTGGAGAAGTGTAATAACTTCGTATACTGCCATGTCAAGTTCAGTAATACCTAAAAGTTTCTGGACTTTTTTGGTGATTCTACTTGGTAACTTTAGTAACCTAATAAAATATAATAACAATATAATACATAATTAACGCTACGCTAATGAGTAATTCAAAAAAAGTACTGCTTATTTCTTACGCGAGCTTTATTTAGCTTAGGTTAGGAACGTTAATTCCAATTTATATTAGTTTATCTATTTCATTTTATTACTCAAAAATATGAAAAAATGTCCTTAGAAAAGTATGGGTAAAATACACATGTTTTGATCTCAAATCAGTCATAATACGAAGATGTCACGATTCCATATAGTATTTTTTCGTGACGATTCTATATAGTATCACTTTAAAACTAATATGTGTTATATATTCTAGGATATATGTATCTCAGCTATGGAAATAACGAAAGAATCTTGTTCGTACATGTCCCAGTCAGCAATGAGTGGTCTTCCCACCATCCGATTAATTAGTTCCAGATTGCTCTCTATGGTAGATATAGTCAAATATAGAGTTATGGTACCAAACTTGATCTGGTTTAATACGGTAGCGATCAACAATTCTCGATTTATAGAAACTTTGAAGTATGGTATGTTGGAGGTGCAGGAACATCTTGAAACGTTCTGTGATAAGAAAGAACAAGCCAGTATGGTAAGCATTATTTAATTTGTTTTTGTTTTATTTTCAATTTGTTTTGTTTGTTTTGTTTATGTTATTTTAAATAACCTATAAAATATTCAGATACAGACAAATGATATAATGTCAAACACAATTGTAAGACCTTCTATAAAAAAAGTTAAAAACGACGAAAACAGTATACATTTGAGTAAATTGGCAGCTTCGCTGAACATTTTGGTAATGACATGACCATTTCCGGATGATCTAATAAAAATACACATATACGGAATCATATTGACCATGATAGTCGACATTTCCCCGATGTATTGGATTTAAGAATATGTAGAGGAGCTAACAAAGAGTATGATCATTACTTTGTGAGAACAAAACTCAGAGCCTGTATATTCTAAGAAAGGCTACAGTACACAAGATAGAAAATCATCATCATCATTCTGGCTTTACAAACGTGCGTGGGTCCGAGCCTCCTTAAGAATTTCTCTCTAGTCGTCCCTATCCATCACCTTCCTCCGCTAAGCACGTGTTTCTCATGTCTTCATCGATTTTGGGTTATTTTGTTCCATCCACATTGCATGCCCTATCCACCTCAGATATCCTATTTTAATATGTTTTACGATATCTGGTTCCTGGTATATTCTATAAAGGTGGAAGTTGTATCGTCTTCTCCACACTCCATTGTCATTCACTGCTCCATAGATTTGCCTTAGTATTTTTCTTTCGAAACATCTTAACATGTTTTCATTACTTTTTGTTAAAGTCCAGGTCTCTGATCCATATGTTAGGACTGGGTGTATTATTGTTTTGTACAGTTTTATTTTTGTATTTCTCGATATAATTGTGGAATTAAGGAGGAGATTGAGCCCAAAATAGCATCTGTTGGTCGTGCAAATTCTGCGGTTTATCTCTGGTAGTATTCGTTCACTGCTTCGATTACGTCGTTTTCTATAACAAGTGGCCGTAGGATTTGTGGTTGCGTGCTTATTTTCATATGCTTCGTTTTGTTGGCGTTTATTATAAACCCATTTTTGTAGCTGGTTCTTTTAATGCTACATACGCCTCTCGCACAGCGTTTTTCGTTCTCCCAACAATATTGATATCATCAGCATAGGCAAGGATTTGGACTGATTTATTATATATTGAACTAATGGTTGTGATTGTGACATACGTATCACTTTTTCATTCGTAAAATACCCTAAACGAGATAGTCAACCATCATAATAGAAAAGACCCACAAAAATTGTACCAACAGCCAAATAGCTATCGAGTGGAACTCAAATCTAGAGTAATAGCCTGTAAAGGTAAGAAGGGCTCTATATAAGAACCTGGTAGAGGTTCTTATACTTACTTAAATGAATATTAATGATCAAGAGCAATCTGCCGATTAAAAACAAATTTAAAAAATCCTCGTTTAAAATTAAAATATAGCAAAGCCAGTTTTGATAATCGTCTCATCCACCTCTTTAAAAACGGCAGCGACACTCTTCAGAAACATTTCCTTAAGTTAATAACTACATAACTACAATCTGGTACAGTAAAGAAAATATCTCGCAGACATGATGTTGTTTGATAACTATAGTGTCACCACTCTGCTCAACATGACATATATTAGATCCTGTCAAATGTATTGTTCTATAGATTGCTGTCTTTGAATCTAATAAATCAAAAGTCAACTAAATCTGTACAGTGAGACAGATTCTTGAGAAAATTGTCGAGTTCGACGTCGATGGCCACTACATATTCGTGGATTTTAAAGCTGGATATGACTCGGTAAATAATATTGTTCAACTAACACAAATAATACTCACTGGTGCAAAGAGCAGAATCAAGAACGACAGTTCAAGACCCTTCCGTAATAAAAATTGATTAATGAGACTTCTATTTAATCTTGCACCGGAAAAAGTAATTTGAGAGTCTCATATTAATCTAAACGCCACGACACATAATAAATCTGTACAAGTTGTCGGATATGCAGATAACATCGACATTATCACCCGGTCCACAGAATCCCCGACTGAACCTTTTGGTCGGTAAAGGTATTTACACTTAAAATGGGATTAATAATAAGTGCAATCATTGTGAATCTTTAAGTCAAGTAAGAAGTTTTGGTCGGTAAAGGTATTAACACTTAAAATGGGATTAATAATAAGTGAAATCATTGTGCATCTTTAAGTCAAGTAAGAGGCCTACACCAAAATTTTGTCCACAGAGCCATCTAGCGAAACTTACTCAGCCGGCTTCGTAAATATTATTTTCGTTAATTATTGGCATTTCTTATGGTTAACAATATTGACAGATTGAAAAAATATCGTAAGATTCGTGCATTATATCAAATACAAACTATTTTGCACCAGAGACCATTTGGCAGTGAGATTTGTAGTCGTTGGACTACTCATAATTTGACTACTGCCCATAAGAAGGCACGTATCGATTGATGCCGCACCACGCTCAAAAAATTCAACGGAGGCAGTCCAAATTTGGTATCAATAAAATTTCAAATTAAATCAAACAAGCTGCTAAATTTTACATTATCTGTATTGTTAAAATAGTTTTTGTTCACTTTAACCAATAATCTATTTTATTTTTAGTTTTGCGATGCTGTCAAGACAACGTTAAAATTGGAAAGACTGAGTGGCCAACAATCTGACTTTCATAACGAACAGTATTTGTTAGATTTAGGAAAAGCGCTTTACAAACTCTATTTTCAACTGCTGTTGCTAATAGAAGCCGGCAACAAAATGGTTTCAATTTTACACAGTAGTCTGAAATCAGCTGATGTAAGTACATTTTACAGTATTTCTGTAATTAATTTTAAATCAAACTGTTCGTGTAATAGATCATGTAGCAACTGTTATGTTTTACCAGTATATGGAAAATGATCAGAATCTTAAGTAGTTTTTATTATTTAACCTGTTTAAATTTTAATTTTATATCCTGACATAACAGCTGTAACAATTAAGAAACATATAAAAAACATCTCGCTACATATATACGCTACATATATATATATATATATATATATATATATATATATATATATATATATATATATATATATATATATAAAAAAAAGTTATACTACTATACTCCGGGATTTGAGTCAATGTATTCCTTGAAGGGGAAGGTGGTTTTTAGGAGTACCTTAATTTATAGAGCTTTCCTGTATCCGACATCTTGTAGTTTTTAATATGAATAAAACTTACTGGGACCTGATGATGGGGCAAATATTGTAAGCCTTGAAACCGGTAGGCCAAAATTTACGATCGTTAAATAATAAAAACTACTTAAGATTGTGAGTACTGACTCATTTGGCCTATACTGATATTAAGGACTCAATTCGGCAACCTTTTCATCATTTATGTTTTAGTTTAAAGATGTAACTGGTGATATGATGTCAATTAGAAGCGCTTTGACCAGTTCCTACGAAGATACTGACGCCGATGGTGGGATTTCATCTGCTATGTTTGGCCGAGTGAGTTCGGAAAATCTGATATCCGACTTATGCCGTTTGATAGAAAATGAAAAGTGGACGTCGGTTATCTTATATTTCAAGTGCAATAAAGAAGAATTTGTAAAAGAATTTGAGGAATTATGTGATAGAGAGAATGACGTCCTTACTATTTTGAATATATACTGCAAAAAGTTGGTCCATGACAAACCTGGTAAGATAAAATCGTTTGGATCCTATTTTCTTATATCAAGTAAAACAGTATATAGTCTCGAGCATAGAATTAGGGTCCCCCCATAATTTGAAGTTATTATAGAACATTTTAATTTCTTCTAATTTTTTTCAATTATAATACAGTTTTATTCGGTATGGGCTTGATAACTCAGACGGTAGATTGTCTGATTCTCACGTAGAAGGCCGGAAATATATCCCCAGCTCCGGCGAAAACATCTGGATATCAAAACAAATGACGGTATTATATTTTGATTTGATACAGAGCAGCAACAAGCCGCAAATACGTATTTCGATCTCTTTAGATCTCCTCAGTACGGTATAGTTACTACTCCATATCAAACCAAAATATTTTCGCGTCGTAGATTATAGTTATTGAAAATAACTATTTACGGACGTAACTACGCCATCTAAGAACAAAAAGAAAATCATACGATTTCTACCTGGCGAAATCGAATTCAAATATAAGCCGCCGTGCCCCTAAGACTTGCGAAGCAAACAGCTTGATGAATGCATCGGCAAGGGAGTCTAAAAATTGCACTCCAAATGCCATTCATCATGGCCTATATTCGTAGTGAATTCGATTTCTGGTACTCCAAATGAAGTAAATAAACAAAACAAATGACGGTATTATATTTTGACTTGATACAGAGCAGCAACAAGTCGCATATACGTATTTCGATCTATTTAGATCTCCTCAGTACGGTATAGTTACTACTCCATATCAAACCAAAATATTTTCCCGTCGTAGATTATAGTTATTAAAAATAACTATTTACGGTAAATAATAATCCTTGTGGAATATCACTGGCTCTGTTACCTGGCCCACTCATTTATTATAACACACACAACAGTTTACTAATTGCTTGAATAAAAATAATTTTTGTTGTTTCAAAAAGAGTTTAATAAAAAAGGAGGGCTTCTCACTCGAATTCATAAAAACCGTTAACATCATAGTGTTTTTTCTGTGTTTTTATCTGTCATGTGCAACGTGTTTTTGCAGTGTTTTCTTCATTGTTAATGTATTGCAATAATCAATTCTGTTGTCGTAAGAATTCTGGTAGCTTTAGAAGATGGCCATGATCAGCGCGAGAAACGTTGGTGAAAAATTCTGTACTATGCAACGTACAGTATAACAACGGTACGAAGAGACTAAACTACTTCCTAGATGACCTTTATTCGGAGCCAGGCCGGTCTATATCTAGAGATGATTTCAATAGACAAGTTTTTAAGTTATGAGTAAAATAATTTAAGTTTGACGTTTTGATTATTTATTTAAAAATAGTTCCACTAAAAAATTTATTCTTCCCCAGAAGAGAGACTTTTGTAATATCTGATAATACAGATTTCAAGTATCAAACCCCTCTATACACTTGTGACGAAAAATTTATTTTATACTAACTTGATTTGCCTACTTCTCGTTTTCGCACATTTTCCATATTTATGTGACAACGCTACAAAAGGGTACTTCCACCAGGGTACTTTCTAGTTGAAATTACTTACTATATAAGACAGTTATCGTTAAGCGCTGACATGACAATGAAATTGTACGGCGGCCATGTCTACGTTCAATGTATTCCTTATCGTCCCTTTAATCTTACCTAAACAATATTCCACGTCTGCTTGATATGCTTCCCAATTTGTTTTACGAGGGATTATGATAAGTTTCCTTGATATTCTCATTGCCTGTCTCGATGGTCTGAACAAGTCACGTCATCTAAAGCATGCTATTTTTTAACAATTTGGTATTTGTACTACCCAGATCACATGGTAGGCATTCATATTATAGCCAATGATTCATTGTAGTTCATTTTTCATGCAATCTCTCACTAACTGTTTCAACTCCCTTAATGGTTGTTCGGGATCATCATAATGGGAGGTATGCTGATCTGAGAACTCCTTCCTCTATAACCTTTATCTTCGTTCAGTCTGTGGAACAGAGATTACAACCAGTCTTCTGTGTTGAGGTCTTGATTTTGCCTCTTTAGACGGGTCCTGATAGTTTCTTCATCAAGTTTTTTCTCGGGGACGCGGGTGAGGACCATGGGGCGCTTGTTCATATTATTTGGAACAATTATATTAAGTTTAAAATTCCACAAGGAAACTAAGTTCCTGTAGCTGGCTGTATACCATATATCACAAAAACAAATTTTGTTTAAAATCCTTTATAAAAGGTATATAAAAATGCCTCAAACGGGCTATCACAAACACATTGCAAAACGTTTTCGGATTAAACAATCCATCATCAGTGCAAATGGTTGTACATGCTAGTAGCCACCAAAATATATGGGTAAAAACCCTTTAAATGTTATGAATTTGAAGTTGTTTTACATTATTAGTATTTCTAATTTGTGATGGTTAAGTTACCGTTGGATAGGTAACATGGCGGCGTATGACTCTACATGAGTGAAAAGGTCCTGAGACGAAGTGTCTACGAGGACCTGTTGATAACAACAGTTAACAATAACAACAATATTAAGTTTACTCCTTCCCACAGACCCTCAATAATTTTCATCACTTCAGTCCTCCATTTTTTTGTGTACTCGTTAACACAGTTCACCCACAGGGTCCCTTCGCTAAACGATGTTTTGTGAAACTGCAGTAGTTAATTTTGACCTCAAATAGGAACCTCATCAAGTGCTTGCTTCAGTTTATTCATGATAAAATTTTCTTGAGCCCGATCTAGTTGAGTATCAGGACGGTGTGTGTGTGCTACCACCATTCTGACCACTTTTGTCAGGTTGCTTTATGACCTAGTCTGCTCGTTAGGGCACCTTGGTTTCTTAGCAACTCTGTTACGAGGGGGTGATGGTATTCTCCCGAAGTCTGTATTTATAGTTGGGTGACTTACTTATTTATTTTTTAATTTAAAAATCCGAAATTAAATTTCACAATTTCGAATTTTCAAATTTTAAAAAATAATTCTTTGGTTTATGTGCTAAAAAGCAATTCCAGCGTACTAACAAGATCAGGAATTGTTTTTTGATCGAAATATCTTACAATTTTTTGAGCTTTCTCTAAAGATGGTTGACTTTTAAATAATTTTATTTATAGTTTATAAGAAGAGATTATATTATTTGTAGATTTGTACATACTTCAATTAAAAATTTGAATCATAATATTTTTTCTAAAAAGATTCATGTATTAAAAGTTACAATAATATTATTTTCTTTAAAAAATTTTATAAAACGCAAAAATTTAATGCTATTCTACGACCACGCGGCATCTACATATAAAAATATCTAAAGTTGCATTTGTTGCCCACTCTTTCATATTTTAGAAGCAAATATAGCGCTGACATGACCGCTCCCTAGTGGTACTAATAAGGAACTAAAATCTTAATCCACCTTTGCTTCTTTTTTATAACGTATGAACAACCTTTGCCGATGCTAAAAAATAACCGTGAAAGATCCTTCTATATGCATCTATATTCTTTGTTAATACTATGAAGTTTTTTTATTGGTTTTTATTTATTTTATTTTTCAGAATATTATGTGATAAGTAACCAAGAGCCCGATCTATCGGACGTATTCGGAAGACTGTTTCAAGTATCAGCAGCCGTTTCTGATCTCGAAGGAATCCTTAAGGAACAACCCAGTAAATCTGCTGATGCGCCAAAATAGTTAATAAAATTTTTTAACACTTAATATTAACGATTTAATGTCTAGGATTTTAAGATTTAATGAATTTGCGTCTTACAAAAAATTTCACTGATAAGGTAGTAAAAAAACACCAATTTAAGAAAATAATCGTAATAAATGTTAAGATATATTTACTAGAATTTAGTTTAATATTCATTTGGAGAATTATTTATTAGACATTTTTTTTAATTCTTCAAACATTTTTCATTATTAATTTAACAGGTAAATAGTTTAGTTGCTATTATTTTTTAGTGTAATGAAAAATTATAATCGTTGTAGCGTACGCCACGTATGTCCACTATTTAAGTGATTTTATGGTCTATCGAGTCATACAATTTTCACTAGTTTTCAGCTTTAATTATCCGTGCAATATGTGAATGGACATCCTTTAGTACGTTCTTTGGCGTGTAATACTGTCGTGTTAAACTTTTCGTATCATTCAATCGGGTTATATATTGTCCAATTTCATTTAAAGTTAGGTATACTCTCTACAACGTCTTTATCTCTGGTAATTGTTTTCAGAATAATGGCTACTGCACATCTTTTATATTTTGGTTCACTCTCTCCTCTTTCACATTCAATGTTGGTTTTGCCGATTGTATCTTATATAATTCCTATATTATTACAAATCTAGAATAATTGTCCTAATAAAATTTTGCCAGATTCACTTATTTTCACTCTTGCGTAAAGCAAATAGTACCGATACATTTCATTATCAATTAATAATATTAGGAGGTCTTAATAATAAAATTATTGATAACGAGTGTATGTACAAATAAAATATGTGTGGTAAGAAAAATGAATTAAATTTATGTAATGATTGGCAGTTTGAGTAGGTACATAGTATATATAGCTTGATATTTCAGTAATAGCCACTTTGGACTGACTTTTTCGTGTGTCTTATAGCGTTTCAATAACTTCCAGTACCTAGTTATAGAATCCTGAATTTTCAAGCAATTCGATGGTATCTCACGTCCCCTGTTCGTGTTAAATAATAGTCACTGTCAATCACAGAGTTGAGTACTATGTTTAAATCCAATTTTTCCGATTCACTGGTGTATTGTTCTACGAAACCAACTAAACTCTTAATTCTATCAAACAAGCTTCATGTGTACGTAAAATATGCTTAAACTGATCAAGAACGCAGAATTAGTCCGTTAGTTATGATGCGGAAGAAATACTTCCATCGCCCCTTGCGACTCATTATATTTATATACAGTGTGTCTGTAAAGCATGGAATAAATTCGATATTTCCTAAATGAAAAGCCTTTTTAAAAAAATTTAAAACACGCCGATTTTTAAGTTTAATGTTCTATAATAAAATTTCATTATACAAGATGATATTACAGTAAGGTGATGACGTCATCGACTATTTTTTTATAAAACACCCTGTATTTCACGACATTTTTAGATCGATAAAAATGAGCTGATTCCAAAAAAGTATAATACTTGGGATCTAACGGATATAATTTGAAAGATATCTTCTTCTTCATGTACCATGTCCTTTCAGAACGTTGGTTTCCATCATAGCTATCTTAATTTTATTCACTGCCAGCCTAAATAGCATGCTTGTATCAACACCATACCAATCTTGCAAGTTCTTCAACCAAGAGTTCTTCGTCCTGGACTGCGTTTGTCTGCTATTTTTTCTTTCATGATATTTTGTAGCAACCTATATTTGGGACCTCTCATTACATGTCCGAAATACTCCAGTTTTCTCTGTTTGATGATTTTTATGATCTCAGTAGTTTTGCTTGAAAGATATACGCTTAGAAAATTAATTTTTATTGATTTCTATTATTGATAAATTATAAATAAATTATAATAAATAGATTGAAAGTAATCCAGTAATTAATACATAACTATCTTAAATGTTCTAATTGTAGCCCTTGTTGTATTTGACAGTAACTCAATCGTTGTACAAATTCTTATATAACCTTGTTTATGATTTCTTGAGAAATATTGTTTATTTCTTTACGCAATTTTTTTAAGTCTTCAATATTTGCAGGTTTCGTTTTATAAACATTATTCTTCCAATAACCTCATATAAAATAATCAAAAGGATTGAATTCTGGTGCCCTCGCTGGCCATCCGATATGTCAACGTCTTTCAATCCACCTGTTCAGAAAAATTCCGTTTAGATACCTTCGAACATCTACAGCATAATGCGAAAGGGCACCATCCTGTTAAAACCATAAATTTTTATCAAAACCTCCAGGATTAATTCTACTGGGGAATAAATTAACTAAAGTAGGTACGAGAAACCCCTTATAAACTGAAGGTATGCTGGCCCGTTTAAATTACCTTCGAAAAAGTAGGGTCCGATAATTCTATTTCTTACAATGCCAACCCATACGTTTACCTTTTGCGGGTATTGTGTATGATGTTCCCTCATCCAATTTGGGTTTTCTTTTTTCCAGATACATTGTCCATTCGAGGACACTGTTGGAAAATAGATCACTTTTACCAGAGACTATTACTACAAGCTTACTTGAAAGTAAATACGTTTCATCACTAAACACAATAAATCTTGTTTCGTTTCTAAATTATTTAATATATCTTAAATACTGTAATCTTGAGTATATTGTATATGTTTTTCCATCAAAAATTTTCGATTATTTTCTGTATTTTTTTCTAACAGAATTCGAGATTCTTAATTTCCAACCGCATATACTTTATCTCCTTTGTAATCAAATTGTTCAACAAATCTGTTATGAATTTTATACAGTGGGTACTTTTCAGTTATACTTTTAGTTTTTCAGTTATATGGAAATTAATAATCGGCCGAATAACAGTCCTCGTTTAACTCTTTGTAATCTTATTTTTGAAGATATTTTTCCACCTCTTATTAGAAGTAACAAAGCCGGATATATTTGTGTAGTAAAATTTTAAACACTACTCAACTTGTCTAAGAAATTTAAACAACTGAATGTTAAATCATATCGTTCTTCGAATTCCAACGCTGTATATCTACTTTACGATTTTGTATTTATACTATCTTCAAAAATCGATAATAAGTCTGGTAAATGTGTTAACATATAATATTCTCGCAATCAAGTCAGTATAGCGGTCAGTGGCATGGCTACAAAGAACATCATAACATTTATATTCATGAAAGTTAAATTAATTATAGCTTTTAAATGAATAATTATTAATTATGTCTTATTTTACATTTTTTGAAGTGTTTTTTAGTTATTGATATTTGTTATTACCATTATTTAAGATGACATATTGATTTATTATCAAAAACGTAGGCTTTATATTGCTATTTTCTATTCGTAATATTATTAAAATATTTATCTACTTTTTTGTATATCTGTTTGATGTAAAATCAATAAATGTCTAAATGTCTCATAATTTTTGTTTTGTATTCATAGTTTTTTACAAAACTTTACAAAACTATGAATTCGAGATTCCAGTCAAAATAAACACTGATAAATGGGACCCCTATGTACTAAATAAACCCGAAGTAAAGAGAAAGTATGAACATTGGATTAATGATAATATAAGCTACCTAACGAGCAAGTCAACAGACATAAATGAAAAGTGTAAAGAAATAAAAGATCAAATAAACGATGTAGCAAACGAAATAGTAAACAAGAAGAAAACAATACAGAACAGAACAAACTATGAAAAAGAGAGAAATTAATGCAGCTCCATAAATAAAAAGAATAAAAATGACTGGATAAATAAAAATAGAAAATATAAAGGAAAAATAGACACAATTATAAATTAAAGCAATTCTTCGAAAAAGTTAAGGCGATCAAAAGCAAACCCACATACTAAAAAAAGGGGAATAAAGAATCTAAAAGGAGAAATCTACCTTTAACTCAAACCGATCAGCATGATATGGGAGCAACATTACAAAAATAATTATACATAAATGAAGATGACAGAAGACTAGAAATTCACGATGAAATCGAAAGTTCTACAGTAGGTGAGACACAAAATAAGATACAAAAAAACTCCGGAATTACAAGGCAGCATGTAAGAACGATAGCGGAGATTAGCGGAGCTAATAACATATAGAGAGCATTATTGCATAAGGAAATATTTCTTCTAATATACAATACAAATATGATCCCAGATGAATGGAACGAAGAAATTAGTGCCGATTCATGAAAAGGGCATCTAAGAAGACTGCAAAAACTACAGGACTACTATCTCTTCTAGACATTGCCTATAATGTCTTAGCTAATATAATAAATACTAAGATATATCAACGAGACGCGATAGTGCTAGTAAACAACGAAACTTATACGTATGGGATTATAAATATTTTAATTGGCTGCGGTTTAGTGCTTTCTTCGCCTTCTTCAGTCCTGTATTACGAAAATTAAGGCCGATCCTCGCGATTCTGGGCAAAGGTAAATTCCAATGTAAAAGTTTATATCAAATAACGCAAAAACTATGGCAGATATTGAGATGATTCTTTTTTTATATGGAAGGTCTAAAAAAGTTCTAGTGCACTATTTGGTTGTAAATTTATAAATTGTTTAAACAATTTTTTTTTCAAATATTTTTGGTTAAAATAAACGTAAAATTTTTTTTTTTTTTTAAATAGGGCACTACAGAATTTGACCCACTTTCCGAATCTGTTTTTATTTTTAACGTAAAGTGTAACACAAAGCAGCTATTTGATATAAACTTTTAAAAAATTTCAAATTTCTGCTAAATGCAATTTTCTCTCCGTCAGCACAGGCTGTCCTTGTCGGTAGCTTCTGGATTCTCGCCAGGTAGGTAAAACTCTCGGAGGAGGATAAATAAAGTTGAATAACATTATTAGGGCTTATTCCGACTTTTGACAAACCAGTGTGTTTATTGTATTTAAAATAGGAAATTTTATATAAATAAGCAGTAAGTACCTATAATTTTATTAAATTTTTGTATGAATAGAAATATTTTCTTTTGATTAGTGACATTTTCCTTCTAAATATTTATACTGTTTTTATCATAATACTATTGTTTCAGTATTTGCTTATATAATAATAATTTATTATATAGAAACAGCGTAGAGTTTTGGTCAATCATCCAGTACAGTTTTTTTTTGTATTTCAATCAGAATTATTATTTTCTTTTCTTCTTTACATGAGCTCAGAGTAATAACCAAATATTTTGCAGTATTTGAATATGAAATTTAATTAGTCATATTTATTGGTTAGCAATCTACCAATCGTAAAATCAAATACTGCTCAAAGAAACAATGTACAGTCTCGGAACCGGATTGATACTAAGAAGACGACTACGGCAAGAAATAAGGACAAACGAAAAACATCCAAAACCCAGATGAGAATTACTTGGAATATCAGATCACTCAACTCGAGGGACCAAGAAATAACCTAAGTGTTGAAAGATAAAGAAATAGACATTTGTCTCTACAGCAAACAAAAAATAAAGGAAAAGGTCAATCAAAATTAGGTAAATACATACTAATCTACAGTGGAGTAGCAAAAGAAAACAGGGCCAAAGAAGGTGTAGCCTTACTAATACACCAAAGGTATCAAAATTACATCAAAGAGTGTCAATACATATCAGAAAGAATAGTAACATCAAAGATAAGAATGGAGAAGGAAAACCTGAACATTATTGGAGTATACGGCCCAGAAAATAATAAGCCTCAAACAACAAGGGAAGTGTTTTATGACCAATTACAACAAGTAGTAGATCAAGATGATAATTCACAGTTAATTTGATTATAATAATTAAGGAACCTCATTGATGCCATGTTAAGGAATGGGATTTGTATTTTTTGTTAAAAAATTTGCACAAACATTGTACCTTTACAGGACCCTCTACGAATTTTTAAAAATATACTTCAAATGGTGACTAGGAAGAACCTACAAATCCATACCGAACAACCAATTTCAAACTAATAAAATTTTGTATATCTCCGGATCTACTCAATGGATTTTGATCATTCTTTTTTTAATTTGTATGTAATTTCTACGTACATTAGAAATTAGTAATTTGTTTATATATTAATTAATTAATAAATAGTCTAGTTTGTTTAAACAATTCGTGCAAAAACAATTTTCTTCCAAAAATCTATTTTTTTTTAATACTAGTATGAATAATCATAGAAACAATCGCGTTTTTTGCATTAAATTGCCAATAAATAAAAAACAGCTCCAAATTCAAGGCAAGAAACAAGTAGGTTTTCTTTCTATAGGTCTACAATAACTAAAAAAGTTGTCAGCGTCCTGGATTATTGAGTCTCACGAACATGATCTATTTTTTGCTTATTTCCCTGGAGTATATATTTGATTAACATCTGTGTAATTTCTTTGTCGCTTCCTCGCTGGTTTTGCATATTGCTATGATAGCAATATCTTCGGTAAATGTTGCAATTGTATATTTTCTAGGACAATAATATAACACGTATACAAAAGCCAAAGACACTTCTTTGTGGCAGCCCTGCTGTAATATCTTTCAATTCCGTGTATGTTTCTTCCTGTTTAATTCTAAAATATCTTTCCAAGATGCAGGAGTCAATTATTTGAGAGTATCGTTTTGGTAAATGCAGCCTTAGTTTATAGTTATGGCGTATTTGCCATACTTTATCATATACCTGAGTCACATCCTAAATTATTGATGTAAGGTTGAATTCTCGAATAAATAAACTTTAAAAAATGAAGGAAAATTTCGAGCACAAATTTAATAATCAAATCTTGCCCAAGTACTTTCGCTTTCTACAGCATCATCAGGGGCATCTGCGCTTGCTGGATAGCCCAAATTTGACGAAGTAAGTCTAAAATGTTAATCACAAAAAACTTTTATCATCCATTAACTTTATTTTGTTTATTAATTATTTTTTATTTATGTTTATGTTTATTAACTAAGTTTATTAATTTTCTTCATTTAAAAAAACTTTTCTTGGCTTATTTCAGATGCCCTTGATGATGCTGTAGAAAGCGAAAGTACTTGGGCAAGATTTGATTATTAAATTTGTGCTCGATATTTGCCTTAATTTTTCAACGTACATCCTAAAATCTCCCTCATATTATCCTTCATGATCCATATTTCACATCCATATAAATAGTTATACAGTATATTTTATCATCATCATCATCAATGGCGCTACAACTCTTCGTAAGTCTTTGCCGCGGTTACTATTGCCTTCCATATTTTGTCAGTCCTGTTCCAGTAATTCCCATTGTCGCACTCCCATTTTCTTTAGATCTAGGAGTATATTTACATATAACAAATTAAATCCTTAGTTGTAAATTTTTGAAATAAGTACTCAGTATACATCTAAGTTTCATAAATGCTCCTCAGAAATCTAAACTTTTGTAATCCGTTCTGTGTTGACAATTAGTTGCATAGGGCCGACGTTTACTAACCACAAGCACACAAGTAAATTATCTTATTTCTTTCATTTGACAATAATAATTGTCTGTTAGATTAGCATTGTAAGAAGTAAATTAGTCCCTTACTGAATGATAATGAACAACACATCAAACTTATTCTAAAACTATTTCTTGTGTCATGTTATATTTTATTAGATTTTGGTGTAATAAACCACAACCTATCAAATTCAATATCAAAAATCAAAATTGGAAATGATAGCGTGATTAAATTATTCCTTCCTTCAAGAAAGTTTAAAAAGAACTGATTCCTATTACTATCCAGTTCAAGGACAGTTATTTTGTTATTTATATCGAGTAGAGAATACTGTTAGTTTGCGGTATGGACCCCAAAAAATATTTTATTCGAAAAGTTTGATAAATATATGGAACTGTGGGAAAATATGCTACAAAAATTTCAAGATTTTTATTAAAAATTTTATTTGAAACACCTTCTGAAGAAACATTAGACATAATTCTATATTTATATCGTTTCATTTTATCAATTTTAATGATCGTGATACTAATCAGATACGATTTTTATTATAATTTTTATTTAAAACACCTTCTGAAGAAATATTAGACATAATTTTATATCGTTTCATTTTATCAATTTTAATGATCGTGATACTAATCAAATTTTTATGATATATAATAATAATCTTTTTTTATAATTTTTATTTTCCGTAAATTTTAATCTACGTTAAAATTCAGACAGCCAATTTTTCCTTAAAAAAATAACAAATAAATTATGTATGTACATTTGTTACATTGTAAATTTATGATAGATTATGATAGTTTATGATAGATTATATTACTTTGATCTGTTATTATATTTACTCAAAACACCACTAAAGAGATTTATGGTTTTATTGTAAGCCAAAACCTGTCACTGCAGGGGTTGTCCCGGTATATAATCGGCTCGAGTAAAAGATAAGCGCATTTTTGACCTGGGCTTGAGAGAGATATCTAAACGAAGTTTAGAATATTACTTCATGAACAGATTTTGTTTTCGTAAAGAAAGAAATTTTTGAAATAGAGATAGCAAACTAAAATTTACCGTTAGGATTTTCGAGGATGAGCCTTAAGTGATTTATTTATGAATATATATTTTTAAATAATAAGTCGTTTTTATTTAATGCACTTACAAAGACGGAAATAAATGTTTTTCTCATCCCATATGATATAAACTTGGGAACAGATATACATTATATAATTTTTTGTCTGTATTTTAAAACAAATACTAATATTAAATCAACTGACAACACTGTACACAGTTGTACAGCTACAACATTAAATTAGTATTGGAAGAGATGTCAAACGATAAAGATGCATCCACGGCCACAGCCGGACGATACTCCTGCTTATTGTGCGGTTGCGAAATTGTTATATTTTATTCTGCTACATAAGTTTTAAATCCATGTGTTGACAAAACTTGAAAAATGTGTACATACATGTTGCAATGCATAATGACAATTAAAATACCTTTTTTTTAAACCCTTTATATTTTCTGTTTCTATTTTCGTTAATCAGTCTGGTGAAGTTAGATCAAAATAATAAATCAAACTTGAAGCAAATGTATGTTACACATTGTTTTTATAAAAACCGTTTACAAATAATAATTGAAATTAGTAGCATAATTGTGAAAATAAATACAAACAAACGAGGCTTACGTGCTAAAAAATCGTTCGACTTTTCTTTTATAGCTAACTAAGGAATAAAGTGGCTACCAAGATGGCTTACCTTGATGTCGTTAAAAACAATTAGGAATCACTGGAACTGTCACTATCACTATTACCACCAACTTCTATCATCAACGGTTAAACCATGACTTCAATAATATTATCAAGTTCCCAGAACTTTTTTCTACTGTATGCTGCACATGCTTCACACAGTTTATCCATTTCTCCGGGATAATGTTGTTAAGGGCATCATTTTAAAGGATTTTGACTGCAAATTTGAAAGTCTTGTTATTGGCAGCCACAAAATTTTTAGCATCAGCCCAAATCACGTCAATAGGATTGAGCTCACAATGGTACGGTGGCAAATGTAAAACGGTTTTATTTTGAGCTTTTGCAATTTCGTCAATAACATATTTAAACTTTGAGGGTATACAAGGCAACTATCGAACACGGTGATTAATTTAATCTTGACCAAGTACTTTCGATCAATAGATCATCTTCAGGGGCATCTGTTAATCGAAATCAAGAGATGATCTATTGATCGAAAGTACTTGGGCAAGATTAAATTAATCACCGTGTTCGATAGTTGCCTTGTATACCCTCAAAGTTTAATTATTCGAACATTCAACCTTATATTGGTTGAATAACATATTTGTTATATTCAGCCTTACGCGGTGCCACTAATTGTAAAAGTTCAACCGTAAGCATGTCCTCATCGAAGATGGAGTAAGGAGCATTATCGAGAACTATTACACAGTTGTCCTCTAAAAGGGGTAAAATATTTGCAAACTACTTTTCAAAGCCATCGGAGTTCATTTCCTCGTGATAGTCGCCACTCTTTTTTGATTCAAACATCCATAGACCACTTTCTACAAAGTCTGTTTCACTCCCAATACGTGTAATAATCCGTCTTTTTTCCTTGCCTAATGGATTTTTGAGACCTGTTAGGAGACCTGACAAAAACGCCTGCCTGGAAGAGTTCACCGTTTCGTCGACCCATACATGAGATTTTGTATGTCCTGCATTTACCCACGTTTCATGTAAATAATAAATTTTTCTGTTTTCCTTCCGAATGTTTTTATGGATTTTAAAAAATTTCGCCTCCATAAAATAATCTGTTCTCGTTCTAATAAAGCACTGTTTCTTCCTCTACGTGAGTATTTAAAATCTAACAATTTTAGAAATTTATGGAAGGACTGCGTTTAAAATTTGGCAAGCTTTCGTCATCGTTAACAGCTACAAGAACTTTGTCTATAGTTCGTATCTCGTTTCGAAAAAAAAAGTTGATGTACAATTCGTCGTATAGCAGTTTTATCAAAATCCTCCATTTTGTCCAGTATGCTTTTTCTGGGCTTGTTCTTTTTCAGTGAAGAAAATCCTTCTGCACTTTTCTTTTCCCTAATATTTCTATCCACAGAAGCTTCACCTACTCCGCTGCGCTGGTGGAAGCAGTCTGTTTAACTATTGCCGATATTAAAGCTTCGGGACGCGATTCCATTTTCGATGTATAAATATTATATAATATAATGCTTTTTTCCGTACCTACTACTAAATGCAGTAGTTTTGACCGCTTTTTAGGAGTGAATTCCTCCACAGAATTTGTAGAACTCGACATTGTTTGTAAAACTATAAACTAGACCGAAAAACTGTAAACAGTGTAAAAAATGATTAATACACAGTGGTCACCTTCTTAATAAATGTAAAAGCAGACTATAAGAAGTCCGATAAGTGCAATCACCACAAAAAATATTTATCAACTGAACTTAACTGATTAAGATGCAGCGTGGGAGTGATTGGTCATAAGATAAGGTTTATGATATGATTCAACAAACATCCGATTAGGTTAGGGGATTCCCAACACATTTTTATAAGGGTCAAACTATTATATACGTGCTTTTTACTTAATTTTTTCAGTTGATTTCATCAATTAGAACTATCTTTCTTTGTGTTATATTTTTGAGTTTTTGTCGATTTTTTGGCGATTTTTATTTCATTGTGAATAGTAGCGTAATACATATTGGTGTTTATTTTTAAAATGGAAAAAATTCGTTTACATAATACCTACAAGATGAATCCAGGTAAACACAATATCTATTAATTTTGGATTTCCGCTTTACCAAAAAAATATGTTTAAAAAGGTGTGTATTAGAAAACGTTAAATCCGGTCCTGACAAATTTGGCAACGCCTTGTTTTTTTGGCGGGCTATCTCTTATCGTTGGATAGACCTAATGTAGGCCATTCACGTTCCGACTTGTGGTACGACTAGTGGTCCAACTTCTGCAGTTGGATCTGAAATCGGACCGTGAGTGGGCTAGTTGGATTAGTTGGACAACTAGTGGTACGACTAGTGGGACGACTTGAAGATCCGACTTCCGACTGGCGACGAAGTCGGAGCGTGAATGGTGAAGTTGGAAGTCGGATCACAGGTTGGATCGAAAATTTCCTCAGTCAGTTGACTTTCGGCACCTGTTACGTATGAGATTTCTATGAAATACTTTACGCAAAGATCTCTAGTTCGCAAATATTTATTAGAAAATAAACTTTCAATTGCACGAAAATTACCTTTTTGTTAGGGCAAATCATTTTCCTTTCTGTAGATCTATTTCGGACATTCCTATACAGGTAAATTTCCGATACTCCGGATTGGCTACAGAAGAATTATCAACATACAATAAAAATTAAATCATACTTGTAGCAAAAGATCCCTACTTCGCAAAAAAATAATAGAAAATAACTTTCAATTGCACAAACAATAATTATTCCTATTAAAAATATACGACACACACACAACAAAATAAATCCAGCTCCAGTTTTAAAACAAATAAAATATAGATTTTATACCTATACAAATCTTTAAAAACTATAATTTTTTCCTACATCTTAAAAAGTCATAAAAATCAAGAGTTGAAAAAATTAATTAGTTCAGCCCTAGACAAATACCTAGAGAAACTAAACCTAATTTTTAAATTATCATAACATACAATAAAGATAACAAGCACAGTGCTGTCATTTTTCTCCTCCTAATTATATTTTGCGTAGTCTTTATTCGATACATCCTAGAACTGAAGTTGGACCGCTAGTTGGATAGAAAGTCGGAGCGTGAGTGGAGACGAACATCCAACTAGTGGTCCTACTTAGTGGTACCACAAGTCGGAACGTGAATGGCCTGCATTAGAATAAAAACAGCAGAAATAATCTTGAATGGGTTTAGATCAGGTAAATCGACAATTAACGCCATAAATACAATAGAACAAATAATAAAAAAAAGCAAGAGAATATAATTAAGAAATAAATGTTTTTATAATCGCCAAAAGTGAATTTGATATAATTATTATGGTCAAAAATGGTGGAAGAATTAAGGAATCTTAGGGTACCAACAAAACTAAGATGTTGACAGTGCTTAAAAACAACATCATTAAAGTTGGATTCAACGGATTAATTTCCGAAGAAATTAAAATAAAGAAAGAAATACAGCAAGGAGATGCTACACCATGCGTAATCTTTTTTGGATGTTGCTAGAAAGGTCATCAATGAACGGTCATCTGGCTGCGAACGGCAGCCAGATGGTTGGTGCTTTTGGAATCTGTATGTTGTATAACAAGAAACTATCAAAGATAAGACAAGATTGGATAGATAAATAGATCGATAGAGAAATGTATAAAAAGTTACCATAGAAAAGTAGATAGAGATAAAAAAAAGGGGCGCCACTAAGTTTTTGTAAATAAAAGGTAAAAACTAAGAAACCTTAGGTATCGGAGGAATATAAGATATATTTGAAGCTTCCTTTAATGCTGGTGAAGTCATTTTTGTTAATACTACCATAGGGTACTATCAAATATAATAAATAATATTAAAATATCACAAGAAATTAGCTTCCGAATAATATTAAAAAACCGGCTGTTCAAAATTTTAGATTAGAAATTTTGTATGAAAAACTGTCTCATAGTGAAAATTCAATTAAATTTTTATGAAGATGTAGTGATAACAACATAAAAAAATCATACATATATTATAAATAAATAATCGAGGCCAACAAAAAACTCGTCGGCTGTCGAATATGACCATCACAAATCTCGATGAATATGACGTAATATGTGAATTTTACATCACAGTGTTGGCTATTCTGTGTGTCTGTTTGACAAACAGGCAGGGAATGATGCTGATGCGGCGTGGGCAGGTTATGCGGTAGTTTAAGAAATGGCGGTGTTTATGGAAAAAAATGTTTTTGTGAAGATCTAAACCAGTTTTAATCATCTTTTATTAAGGTATTGCTATATGGTTATAAAATTATCTACATAATTCTTTTAACGTAATATTTTTTTGTTATACTTAGTCGTATTTTATTTCATACATTATAAATCAAAGAATAATTACTCTTTTAGGGATATTATTAGAAATACGATTTTTTGCTTCATATTTTGATAATTATTCTGGTATTCTTTAACACATTTTTAAACAAATTAACAGTTACAAATTCTTCACAACGTGGCTTTGCCCATGGTCGTTAAAAATTTGGTGATATGTTTTTAACTCTGCTTTTAATATACTAGAGGACTATTGAGGAATATTTGCCTCTTTGCATATAATTTCATAATAATTGTTGCTTGCTTAATATACTTAATTAAAATAAATTTGATTTACACATTTATGTGGTTCTATTGTAACTAAATTATGGACATTGTTTTTGATTTCTTGATTTTTTTTAAGAAATAGAAAGACACTAGTGTCCTATATTAAATTCCTGTACATAGTACCAATACATCTATTAAATGGTGTATTGGCCTCCACTCCTGAGACATTTTATACTTTATTATATGTTCAGTTTATGTAATAGCATGATGATAACTGTTAAAACTGGATCAGGATGACCCCCTGATTATTCCCAACTATTCTGTTCAGTCTTATCAAGAACCATTCTTAATAAATTCTTCCACTTAAACCATTTCTACTTTACTCTACCACATATTTAGTGATGTGTTATATGAAGTGTTCATTATTGGCTTCTTAATTCTTGTTGCATTTATCTTACTTCTTCTTGATGTGCCTATCTGTTACGAATGTTGTCAATCATCATGACAATCTTATCTGCAGCAGCGAGGAAAAGCTGTACAGATATTGTATTGAACCAGATTCTGAGGTTCTTTAACCAAGATGTTCTTCCTAGACCTTGCTTTCCAAATATTTTTCATTACAGTATGGCTTGAAGGAGAGCATATCTGGATTCATTTCGCATATGTCCGAAGAATTGTAACTATAGAGATTTAATGGTGGTCACCTCTCGGTTCTTATTCATTCTTCTAAGGACCTCCTCATTTGTGACTCAGTCAGTCCATGGGAAGTATTCTCTGATATAGCCACATCTCAAATCCTTCCAGTTTTTTGCATCGCAGCATTCTTACTTTTGTATCAAGAGAGACGTTGTGACTCTTAAAGAAGGACCCCCATCTGATTGAAGGTGGATCTAGCTTTTGCAATGCGTGCTCTAATCTCCTGGTTGTTGGTCCATTCTTCATTTATTATGGTGCCGAGGTAGTTGTAGTGCATCCTCTTTCTACAGATGATTTGTTGAACTACTACTATCTTACTCATTTAATTATATTTGTGGAATTTTGTGTATTCAGTAAATGCCTTGTTACTGAGTAAAATTAGCTCAATTGTTCTTATGAATAGTCACCTATTATGAGTGAACGACCGTGTAATCTCAGATTAGTACCAATCCAACAGAGATGTAAATTTTTTAGAAAAATTCCTATCCTTAGCCAGAGATTATCTAAATTTTGATAGCCATACTGAGACATTTTCGCCCTGATTTGACCAGGCTTTATATACTTTTCTTCAAGATGGTGCAAATCTCCACAAGATGATTCTTTTTCTTTCTAGAAAAATACTGTTATTTTGCAATAAAACAGGTTGAGATATTTAGAGTATCGAATCAATAAAATGTTATTTGAGATTTTGTTTAAAAAAAAATAATGTCCAGTGAATGGCATATTTGGGCTGGCACCAACATTGTTTAACCTGGCACTGGAGTATGCGGTTAGGCAAATGCAAACTGGACGAGAAAACCTAATGACCAATAAAACGATTCAACTGGCTGCCTACGCCGACGATATTAATATTATGAGTAGAACATCAACAGGAAGCATACGCAGAGTTAAAAACACAAATGAAAAGGCTAGGTCTGGAAATTAACACAGAAAAAACAAAAATAATGGTACAGACGAGAAGAAATATAATCCCACAAAACATTATACATGAAGATGACAATGAAACGGTTGGAAAGTTTACATACCTGGGAGTAGAAATATATGCCGATGGAGAAATACGAAAAAGGATAACGCAGGCAAACAAAGCTTATTTTGCCCTCTCCCATATATTTCGGTCCAAAAGTGTCCACCGAAATACAAAGATGAGAATCTATAAAATAATTCGGCCAATAGCATGTTATGACAGCGAAGCATGGGTCCTGAAAGAAACATCCAAAAACAAACTCGACACATTCGAAAGAAAAGTACTGAGGAGAATACTAGGACCTGTGAGGGAAAACGGAATCTTCAGAATTCGATATAACGAGCTCTATCAACTGTATAAGGAAACACCCCTGTCAGACTTCATTAGAACACAAAGATTGCAATGGGCCGGACATGTGATACGAATGGGAGAGGACAGGCTACCAAAACGAGCACTGAACGCCAGAATGCAGGGAAAGAGACCAGTTGGAAAGCCAAGAAAGTGCTGGGAAGACACAGTAAGCAGCGACGCACAAGCACTTTTAGGAGTCCGTGTATGGAGAAAAGCAGCCACAGACATACAAGGGTGGAGGCAAAAAATAAAGGAGGCCAAGGCTCATTTTGGGCTGTAGTGCCGTAGGAGAGAGAGTGTTGGTCCATTCTTCATTTATTATGGTGCCGAGGTAGTTGTAGTGCGTCCTCTTTCTACAGAAGATTTGTTGAACTACTAGTATCTTACTCATTTAATTATATTTGTGGAATTTTGTGTATTCAGTAAATGCCTTGTTACTGAGTAAAATTAGCTCAATTGTTCTTATGAATAGTCACCTATTATGAGTGAACGACCGTGTAATCTCAGATTAGTACCAATCCAACAGAGATGTAAATTTTTTAGAAAAATTCCTATCCTTAGCCAGAGATTATCTAAATTTTGATAGCCATACTGAGACATTTTCGCCCTGATTTGACCAGGCTTTATATACTTTCCTTCAAGATGGTGCAAATCTCCACAAGATGATTCTTTTTCTTTCTAGAAAAATACTGTTATTTTGCAATAAAACAGGTTGAGATATTTAGAGTATCGAATCAATAAATTGTTATTTGAGATTTTGTTAAAAAAAAAAATAATGCCCAGTGAATGGCATATTTGGTTTCATCTTCAAGCCGATTTAATTTTTTATCATCTTTTTCTGTCTTTAACTATCTGATTTTGATTGATTGTTGGCAATGTTTTATAATTATGTGAACACTTCTTGTTTATACTTCAGTCATCACTGTACAGAGTGTAGAAAAAATATGAGTATAAAAATATGTTTCCTTTAGTACTAAAACACAATAATTTGTGTTTAGTACTCTATTCCTGTTTATATTTAATTTGTGGGATCTTCACCAATTTTTTTTCTTTTTAGGCAAGATGTTCTTGTACAACTTGACCCTGCAAAGGGGTACTACCATTTCTCATGCAATTCATGGTAATTTCTCTGGTTCCAAAATACAAGAGATTGTAATTTCAAGAGGAAAAATTTTGGAACTGCTTAGACCAGATCCCAACACTGGAAAAGTGCATACACTCTTAACTATAGAGATCTTTGGTATCATTAGATCTTTGATGCCCTTTAGATTAACTGGTGGAACTAAAGACTATGTAATAGTAGGTTCAGACTCTGGAAGATTGGTGATTCTAGAGTATAATCAACAGAAAAATGTATTTGAAAAGGTTCATCAAGAAACTTTTGGAAAATCAGGAGGTAGGCGTATTGTCCCAGGCCAGTATCTGGCTACAGATTTAAGAGGGAGGGCTGTAATGATTGGAGCTATAGAAAAGCAAAAGTTAGCTTATATTTTGAATAGAGATGCTCAAGCAAGGTTGACTATATCATCACCACTTGAGGCACATAAAAGTAACACATTAGTTTACCATATGGTAGGTGTAGATGTTGGTTATGATAACCCAATTTTTGCTTGTTTAGAAATAGACTATGAAGAAGCTGATAGTGATCCCACAGGTGAAGCTGCACAAAAAACACAGCAAACGCTAACCTTTTACGAAATTGATTTAGTTGTAAACCATGTGGTAAGAAAATACTCTGAACCATTAGAAGAACATGCTAACTTCTTGGTAACAGTTCCTGGTGGTGATGATGGCCCTTCTGGAGTCCTAATTTGTTCAGAAAACTATTTGACATACAAAAACTTGGGAGAACAACATGATATTCGTTGTCCCATACCTCGTAGAAGAAATGATTTAGATGATCCTGAAAGAGGAATGATATTTGTTTGTTCAGCAACTCACAAAACAAAATCTATGTTCTTTTTCTTGGCTCAAACTGAACAAGGAGATATTTTTAAGATAACATTGGAGACTGATGATGATATGGTTACTGAAATAAAGTTAAAATATTTTGATACAGTTCCTGTAGCCACTGCTATGTGTGTATTGAAGACTGGTTTCTTATTTGTAGCATCTGAGTTTGGCAACCAGTAAGTATTGATTTTTTTTGTTCATGTTTTAAATTTTGGACTTAAAATAAGATTCATAATGATGAAGTTATGAATGTTAGTTTATACACAAAGTCCTAAATAAACTTCCTGTACATAGTACCAACACATTTATTAAATGGTGTGTTGGCCTCCACTCCTGAGACATTTTACCTCTTGGTAATTTTAATTTAGACAAATTTTTATTAAGACTTTAACACTATAAAGTCATCTATTGTAATATTTTTAGTTACCTCTACCAAATTGCTCATCTTGGTGATGATGATGATGAATTGGAATTCAGTTCAGCTATGCCTTTGGAAGAAGGTGACACATTTTTCTTTGCTCCCAGACCGCTAAGGAATCTGGTCTTAGTTGATGAACTTGAATCACTTTCTCCAATTCTCTCATCGAGAGTAGCTGATTTGGCTGGTGAAGATACTCCACAGTTGTACATGTTATGTGGGCGGGGCCCTAGATCATCTATGAGAGTATTAAGACATGGTTTGGAGGTTTCAGAAATGGCTGTATCAGAATTACCTGGTAATCCGAATGCTGTATGGACAGTGAAAAGAAGAAGTGATGGTAAGTTGTAGAAGTTGATTTTACAAGCAGGCATCTAGTCATTTTTAAGTATAGAGTTGAAATTTAAATAAACAATTGTTATCATGTGCTTGACAGCCAAAATATCTTTAATTCGACAAGTATGTTCTATGCCTACACATTTTTTTCTCATTTATTAAAATGTCTATAAATACTGAATTTAATTAGTATGGTTATTATTTTTCATTTTAATTATTCAACTTTTATTAGAATGTCCATTCTATTTCTTAATTTTGTAGATTGTTGCCCGATTGTAGATCTAATATATATATATTTAATGATAATCAACAATGTTTCATATTTGCACTATTTTATTTTTAAGGCAGATTTTTCTCAGTACTATTAACTATGACACCCTTTATCTTGACTTTTTTCTGTATGCAGTTTTTCTTTTTGTTCTTCTATTTCACAGTGTTGATACTTAAGTCTACAAATATCTATGACAATTCCATGTTCCATGAGGTGATGTCAAAACTGAAAGATTATTACATACCTCACTTCTCAAAATCATAAAATCTTAAATTAAAAACCATAGTAACATCAATTTAATAATGCCTGGCTGTTGACATTTTTCAACACCAGTGCTTTTTTTATTTCAGATCCTGCTATAAGAAATCGGGGATAGACAAAATGGTAAGTATCTCAAGAACAAGATTTGATGCAAAAGCAGGGACATCTTTGTGATATTGTAAAATGGATTATAAAAAAACTGATAATTTGTAAATATTTTAATTTTATTTAATTGACAAAACTAAATGAATTAATTTCAATTTCATTCAAACTTGTCTCCCATATATGTGGAATTGCAGACAAAATTTCAGTGAAAGGTTAACTTATATAGATTGATAAACTGTGATGTTGATGAAGCTGGGTATTTCAATTTGACATCTATTACCAAAATTGGAAAAAAATTACATGCAAAATCAATTTGCATTTTTCAGCAAAAATTTGGATATATTCTGTTTAAATACAGTTGGCCTTTTTAAAAACCAGAGGGTGTCAGATAATGGTGTAAAAGTATGTATTTGTGCTTATGTTCTATACATTTTTTTATACATAATTCACATAGTTAAATTTTAATTAAGTATCGTTTTTGTGAAATTTAAAATCTTTGTTTTCCCACACGTTTTGAAGAATTATTATATATTTAGTAGATACGCCAATCTCTTCAGCCCATGTTATGCAGGTATAGACACAGCTAAGTGCTATCTATAAACTTTTTTCAACTTGTTATTTACTTTATTATCTGTCTAAATACAATCTGACTTGGCAATCTTTCCTGAATGGTTTCCTTAATAAACATATTTATGGTAAAGCAGATATATGGTACAGATGATAAGAAATAGGGTAAAAGACCACATAAGTACATTGTAAAGGATGGAAAGACATTTGGAAAATATAAAAAAAATCTGTCTCAGACCTATCAGTCTTTTGTTCTAGCCCCCAGTTTCCCCATTTGAACCAAATGAATTTGAATTGAAGAGTGTGTTGACCACTGATGTGCATCAACACATTAATAATTGTTTTAACGCTGTAAGTTGCAATCATTGAAATTTTGATGGTTTTTTATTTTGCTACTGTGTATAATTATACAAAATATTTTCAAAATATATTTTATAATGGGTGTTGGGATTTCTGTGTAATTTGTATATTTAATACAAACTTTACAAATACATAATCTACTATTGTTTAATTTTTTTATCTGCTAATGTTTAATAATATAGGTAAAAGTGATCAGATGTCTCATGCCCTTCTGGATATGTGGGTGACAAGTTTCACATTTTTCTTTTAATGTTGTAATTTAACATACAGTACTAGTTTTTAGTATATTGCTCACTAATAAATCAAAACTGATTTATTTACAATTTTGAAGTTTATGGATATTTAGGTGTATTTCAAAAAAATTGTACTCAGTTTATATTTCTTTCTGAATTGTAGTCACAAATCTAAGTTCAAATTCAACAATCTAAATAAAGACTGTAGTTCAAAAAACAAAAAAACTAAAATTAATTTAGATGGAAGAACAGTATTTGTACTGACATTTTTTAATAGGTAAGTTGTGCCGTCTTATGTGCAGGTAAAATTTTCTGAAATGTGTTAGCTCTGGAGCCTGTTATGTGACATTGTCAGTTGTTCTCCCAATCTTATAATCTTCTAGCTGTTACAGGTGTTTTCCATGCTTACTTATCTCAAGATTTTCATTCTATCACATGTCATTGCACTTACTCATTCTTTATATGTGAAGTTCTATAACTTTTTTAACATTCTTTTATCTGGTTTTTAGTCTGCCTTTCTTATTTTCTCCAGTTAGTATTCTTTTAGGTAGTCTTCTGTTTGGCCTCCTTTAGATATGTCAACCATGTTAATCCTTGTGATTTTATAATCCCTCCATCCCCTCTACTTATATATAGAGCACTTTTCCACTTAAATGAATACTTTCACATATAATCTCATATTCTTATTCGTCCTCATCACATCCCTAAGATATCTTTATGCTTAAGCTTCTTTATTTGCTTGTTTCCTAACACTCTCTTTAATGTTCCCATGATTGTATATTTCTATTTCAAAGGAACATTAAACTCTATTGTATGTCCAGCTGCAAGATACAAAACCTCTGCAACTATGCTCAGTTTCTGGTAAAAAGAGTGGTCTTCTCTATAACACATTCTATGTTTATTTGAGATACACTCTGAAATATTGACATCCTCTGAAATAATTTGTAGCGAAACAATTTTTAATGAATTCTTGATAAAGGCTCTGTACTTATTGGATAAAATGAACCTAAGAGTCTTATTATCTTTGATATATATCTCTATTAACGCATCTTTCCCTTTTTCCTTATTTTTATCATACTTGATAAGATAATTATAAGTTGTCAATTGTCTTTAGGCAAACACTCATGAGTTCGACTCTGATACATTAAAATTCAACAAGTCTGCTGACAATTTTTTTATTGAATATGATCTGCAAAATCACTCCTTTTTCTTCACATCACACTTGCAAGTAAACATACGATATTTTTGGAGAACAATGTATAGTTATCAAAAAAAAAAATGAAAACTGTATATGGAAACATTGATTCTAGTATACATGAAGAAAAGAACAAGTATAAATATTACTTCATAAAGCACCTAGTCGAAGCAAATTCCATCCAGTTGCTTTATTTATTATAAGATGTACTGTGTACTGTCATTCATGTCAATTACAAAATATGTACGTGTTACCTAAAAATATCAGATGTTTGTCCACAAGTATATGTTGCTTATAAATAAAAAGCATACAAGAAAAAATTGTTTTACTATCCATTGCATTGGTTATCAATGGTTATTGTTATTAGACAGACTTAGACACTCAAATAATTTTGTGAAAAATGTTTTTACAAAAGTACATAGTTTGATCAAATGTGACATTTATTAAACATGATGAAATTTTAGTCCGTGTTTCACCTGAGTTTTCTAGTGATTATAGTTTACTAAACTGAATCTCTGAATTAAAGGCAACTTATTAATAATATTCTATTCGAATTTAGAAGAATATTTTGATTGTTACAGATGAATATGATGCCTATATCATTGTTTCTTTCGTTAATGCCACATTGGTATTATCCATTGGTGAAACGGTGGAAGAAGTAACAGACAGTGGTTTTCTGGGTACTGCACCAACCCTATGCTGTTCTGCATTAAGTGACGATGCTCTAGTACAAGTAAGGAAATTTATTAAATTGACAGTTTTATCACAATTTACAAAAAAATGCAGCATATTATAGAAAGTTTTATTCCTTAAGCTGTATTAAGTGATGTGCCAGAATTATATTGAAGTATTTCAATGTAATAAGATTTATGATTTTGTAAAAAGTTCAGCTAAAGTCATATTAATTTATTGAGGAATGTAGCCTTTCATGCCAGGAAAACATATATTATTTTTTACATTATATATTTGTTGTATTGCATGGTTACTCATTCTGCTGATTATTTTAAATTTATTAGTAGATTCTAAACTATGCAAAATATTAACTCTGTCTTGTCGCCTCCGTTGTATTTTTGTGGTACACTGGAGTGAATCAAGATCGAACACTATCTGCATAACTACAATTAATGTAATGCAGCCAATATGAACATGCAACCAAAACCTTTTGAATGAAATGTATATTTTAATTAATGTTTTTAACCGATTTGAATCGAGTTTGTTGAAAATTGTCAATTATCATTTCGAAAAGATAGATTGATGTGCTTTCTACTAGAACTGACACACAATATGTTCTTTTGATCGCCCTTGGAATACCAAAAGAATTGGTATTAATTAAAAACAATGAAGACAGAGAAACTCTGAATAAATAGTATGATAACACTTGAAGTCTACAAGTAATAAAGGTCTATGCTAATGATACTATTATTCTGGGGAAGAACCAGACTATATCAAGGTGTCCACCCCAACTCAAGGCTTCATCAGATCAAATCGGTGGGCTAGGCTTTATTGCATATGTACAGGACATGGTAAATGTGTTGTTGACTCGCTGTTGAAATAGGGCCGTGTGAAAGACCCTCAGTGTGACCAGGACTTTTTAGAATGTTCCCCAGAAGCAATTGAATGGCTGTCTTAATTAGACATTAATATTTAGTTTCATTTTATTTTAGTATTGGTATGTGTGTATATCTCTTACTTTTAAAATCCATACACTAAATAAATAAATGTTTATGGTTAATACCCAGAAAACTAAATACCTGTGGCAATATCAAGAATACAACAAAATAGTAATATATGAAACTATCAAAACGCCTCCAAAGAATTCCATAATTTAGGATCACTGCCAAAACCAAAACATTCAAAGAAATATATATGCTTGACTAACTGCTATTGGGTATGACTTCAGGTAAGATCGAGTATGTCAAGAACAACAAAATGCAGTAAAACAATAATACAGTGCTCCTTGAAAATCAGAGATGCGAGATGAGCAGTTGCTGCGAATTTTTTAAAGAAAAGTATTGATGATCATATATGTCTTGAGTTAACTACAATGTCTATTGGGCAATATAATTTTGAACTGTATTGACTTTTTGGTAATGCAGATATTAAAACTGTCAAAATAAACCAACCAAGATGGGCGGAGTATATGACTGTGCTAAACAAGTCTCAGAAGGAGAAGGGGGTGGCATAAACTCAGAAGAGACTTCACTGAGGGAATTGAGAAAATGGATGCTCAATAGAGAATACATGTTTTGAGACAGGCCAAGACTCACAAGCTCTTTAGTGTCATCTGATAAAGACTTTTGATAAAGATGAAGGTATTTTTTGAATAATAGGAACATCAGAAATATTATATTTTCTTCTGTTTCAGTTAAGGAAATTCAGTGTTGTCTAAATCAGGAACAAATTTATTATCAATGTTACCATTATCTGCAAAATATGTTCATCAGTTAATTTCATAAATATCATCATTTAATACTTTCAGATTGTCTTATCTGATGTGATTTAGTCTTTTTCTCTTTATATTACAGTTAAAGTTTTTACAAGAGATTGTACAGTAGAACCTCGATTAACCGAGGTAATTGGGACCGAGAGTACCTCGGATACGACAAAACTCGGATAACACGGAACGTTACCTAAATATAGTACAATACTGTAATTGGTATTATAAATATGTCTCAATATACTTAAATGACGATATCAAACTAGTTATTTGTGACTTTTATTCAGTTTATAAATACAAGAAACATTTTAAAAGTTGTAAGAAACCAAATAAATGTATTTATATAACATACCATCTACAGTACGTTCAGAAATGTTGCAAAACAGATGGCCTCGGTTAACCGAAAATCGGTTAACCAAAGTTCTACTGTATATCCAAACTGATGTACATATGCATCCATTCCTTCCTGTTTCTGCATTTCTCTTTCACTTTCATAATTTTTTGATGTTTTCCATGTTATTTCACTATCTTGTTCTTATTCTCTTCTGGTTTCTTCGTTGGATTGGATATTTTCAAGTCTTCTTAAGTTTTTTTTCTTCTTTGTTCACCACTGCTGTCTCCATGTTGTAGTTTTCTGTTTTAAAGCTTCTTTGTTTCTTTCAAAGGCGTTTTTTTCTCTTTAAAATATTTTCGTTTGCAGTTATTCCAATGGTTATTCCCAGGTAGTTAAATGTCTTTACTTTTTTCAAATTTGAAATGGTAATCCATTTTTCTTTGTTTCCTCCTGTAGTTTGTTAATTGCCTTGATCACACTATGTTTTTGTTTTTTTTTTATGACTATGAAATCATTTGTATACATAATGGTATGTGTGTTATTTTTCTGTAAATATATTTTTCAGATAAAACTCTTTCATTTACTTGATACCTAGATATACTGTTAAAACCCAACTAATGAAATACTAAATAAAGCAAGTAATCACAACATAATCTTTACTCCGATATATATAAAGAGCCCATCTCAATGAAGATTATTTTTGATTTCAGGTATATCCCGATGGTATTAGGCATATATGTGCTGACAAACGTGTAAATGAATGGAAAGCTGGTAAAAAGAGCATTGTGAAGTGTGCTGTTAATCAAAGGCAAGTAGTTATTGCCTTGTCAGGAGGAGAATTAGTATACTTTGAGATGGACCATGTAAGTATAATGTTTCCACAAAGTATGTTTTTTAAATAAAGGCATAGCTATACTTCCGCCCATAAATTTAAATTTATAAGTGGACTCAAAGCTATGCTAGATCAAATCAGTCTTGTCGCCTCCGCTGTATTTCTGTGGTACATTGGAGTGAATCAAGATAGAACAGCTAATTTTTACACAATTTTAAATATTTAAAAATCAGTTTTTTCTTTGCTCTAAAACATTAAATTTCTAATCATTTACATCCACAAAGATGAATTCTTTTATTTTCTCTAATTCTGTTATTGCATTTAACACATTTTTTGAATTTAACAATGTATCAATTTTTATGGAAAAAATTTGGAAAACAAATTCTGATTGGATTGTAAGATAATTTGAAACATTTATTTCATTGTAACCTATGGCTTAATTTCATTTATCTCCATTTGTTGTTTCGCTTTTTTAAAACTATAGTATAGGTAATGGATTTTGACAAGAGCTATGACCTTGAAAATAACATAAACTTGTGTACTGAATTGGCATGACTCATAGCTCTTTTCAAAATCCATTACCTCTTAACACCTACTTTTGTCTTAAAATATCTGAAAATCATTTTCATCTGTATTTTGCATTTTTAAATTTTTGTCCTTTTTTTTTAGTTGGATATACATAAAAACGTTTAATCAATTTGCATTGTTAATTCTAGTAATAATAGATTTATTATTATTTTTATTGGTTTTTGGATATTGTTTACAGTATTTTTATATTTTAGACTGGTCAATTGGATGAGTTCAAAGAACGGAAGCGTATGAATTCTGATGTCCTGTGCATGGCTCTAGCAAATGTGCCACCAGGTGAACAAAGATCTTGGTTTTTAGCTGTCGGTTTAGCTGATGGAACTGTCAGAATAATTTCGTTGGATCCCAGTGATCGCTTGGCTCCTAGAGCAATGCAACCGCTACCAGTGTGCGCTGAGTCCCTTTGTATAGTAGAAATGGGTTGTACTGAGAGAGATCCAGATAATGCAGCTGCAGCAAGTACTACAAGCACCCTTTATTTGAATATTGGTTTACAAAATGGTACTTTGTTGAGAACCGTACTGGATCCAGTTACTGGAGATCTTACTGACACTAGGACTAGATATTTGGGTTCTAGACCTGTAAAACTATTTAGAATAAGGTAAAACAAAAAGATGTACATACTAAACATTCTATTCATATAAATTAAAAATTTTTTTTTTATTGTGATGATAATTCTAGTCCGTGTTTCACCTGAATCCAAGTGATTATAACTCACTAGACTGATATATTATTTTGAGTCATATATTTTAATATAAATTATCTCATGGTTTTGATAAATTTCATTCATTGTAGAATGCAGCAATCTGAAGCAGTATTAGCTATGAGCAGTAGATCTTGGTTAAGTTACTACTACCAAAATCGCTTTTATCTCACACCATTATCATATGAAAGTTTAGAATATGCCTCAGGATTCAGTTCAGAACAGTGTCCAGAAGGTATCGTCGCCATTTCTACAAATACTTTGAGGATTTTAGCATTGGAAAAATTGGGTGCAGTATTTAATCAGGCAAGTTTTATAGTATTGATGTAGTATTTATTATATTTAGTATAAACTTCTTTCTCTTTAACAGTAAGTTCTTCCTTCACATTATGTTTATATCTATATTGAGCCTCCTCAAGTAGAGAGGTAGAAATCTAAGACAGACAGAGGGGAAGGGCATGATTCTTAACCAAATTTCCAACTTTGTAGCAAGATCACATGAGTGTCTAGTAATATTATAATGCATACAAAACTTTTCTTTCCAGATTGATTAAATTATCCTTCATCTTTTTATTCTGTTCTGGTAGTATAAGTAATGAAACATATAAATAATAAAATTCAATATGGCGTAGTATAGTATATTAATTTATATATTGAATTTTAGGTATCATTTCCTTTGGAATACACTCCAAGAAAATTTCTAATCCATCCAGAATCCAGTAACTTAATGATCCTAGAAACTGAACACAATGCTTACACTGAAGAAACAAAGAAACAACGCCGTTTACAGATGGCTGAAGAAATGAGAGAAGCTGCAGGTGAAGATGAACAAGAGCTTGCCAAAGAAATGGCTGAAGCATTTTTGAATGAAGATCTACCAGAAAGTATATTTTCAGCACCCAAAGCTGGTCATGGCATGTGGGCATCAACGTTAAGAGTTATGGATCCTGTACAGGGTACCACTTATAATTTAATCAGATTGGAACAGAATGAAGCTGCAATGTCTTTAGCGTTGCTAAAGGTGAGATACATGTTTTTGCTTAGTCATAAATATCACTTGTACAATATTAATTTGAAGAACTTTTTGTATCTTTATATCAATGATAGCAAGGAATGTTTTGTAATGGGTTTATAGGCCATGGTGTTAAATTGTTTGTTCCTTAGTGAGTGACAGAACTATATGAGGTAACGTTTATGTCTGTGTCCGCATGATTTTTGTTACTGGCTATAAACCTCATATAAAACTGTACCTTTATCAATTATGTGATGTGTAACAGTAGTTTGAAAATGATTGTACAATTGCATATTGGCTCAAATGTAAAAATCATATGATGATAATATTATTAGAATCTCTTCTAAAATATATATATTTTTCTAGTTCCATGGTCAGCCTGAACATCAGTGGTTCCTGATTCTTGGTATTGCCAAAGACCTTCAATTGATACCGAGACAGTGCAGTATGGGATATTTGGACACTTATAAGGTGGATACTTCAGGAAAAGAGTTTGAATTGATACATAGGACACTGGTAGATGAGGTTCCAAATGCTCTGTGTGGTTATAATGGGAGGTTGTTGGTTGGTGTCGGGAAGATGTTAAGATTGTATGACTTGGGAAAAAAGAAATTGTTGAGAAAATGTGAAAATAAAGTAAGTCTAATAACGCAAATAAATTTCTATACATTTATCTTCAAAAATTATGGCACAACTAATATCTCAATGTATTTCGACAGATTTAAAGTCAGTTTTAATATTTTTTTTATGATGGATATATTTGGTTTAAATAGAATGTTCATACTGTTACTGAATACAGAATTTCATTGGGTAAATCAAGACTAAGGTTTGCATAATTTCTAAGTGTATTCTAGTAAAAGGCTACTGCAAACCAAAAAAAATTTACTATATCTCTTCCAGTGAACATTTAAAAATTGGAAATGACCTACCTCTTTTAATAAGAGAACATTCTCCAAATACCAATTGAGAACTTACTAACCTGATAAGCTAGCCACCTCAGAATTTCTCAGAGGATTATAACAGCTTAATGAGATATTCTGCTTACTTACTAAAGTTCGACTATTTTGTATTTAAATCTCACTTTGGTTCAATTTGATTTTTTTTTTTTTTAAATAAAAACATTGAATGTCCAAATTATTGAACTTTATCAATAAATATGATAAAATTACAATTACAAAATCATTTAAGCCATACAAATTGCATAAGGACTATCACAAATTATATATTATGTAACTCTTGATCTAAGTTAAATATAACTTAAATTCATGCCTGTATAATTTCAAGAATTTTCAATGATGATATCAAATTTTCTTAAATATTATGTGGAAATCCTGCAGTACTGAGATTAATATTTATAACATACATTGGTATTTCAAATATTACAAATGTTTTACATAATTTTTTTGTTCTAGCATATCCCGAACACCATCGTCAATATTCAAGCGATAGGCAAAAGGATTTTTGTTTCCGATGTTCAAGAATCTGTTTTTATGGTCCGTTATAAGAGAGCAGAAAATCAATTGATAATATTTGCAGATGACACACACCCTCGATGGGTAAGCAACATTTTTACAATACAATAAACAATTTATTTTGGAAACAACTTGTGATCTGGAAGCGAAACATTGAGTTACTTATAGTTTATTTATTCCCAAAGAGATATTTAATAAAGAACCATAATTCAGTTCTTTGGTTGTTTATTTTATGATGATAATTTTTTTTTTCACATGCTAGACTTATGAAGAAAATGATTTTAGCTAAAATATTTACTGAATTTGTTTCCCTTTTTTTAACTCTGGTTTGTACTAAGCTGCAGGCAATATATTATTTATTTAATTTTCAGATCACTTGTACTTCAGTTTTGGATTATGACACTATAGCCACCGCGGATAAGTTTGGCAACATTGCAATTCTTCGCTTACCTTCCAATGTAAGCGACGATGTCGAGGAAGATCCTACAGGACACAAAGCCCTTTGGGACAGGGGTCTTCTAAATGGGGCGTCCCAAAAGGCAGATACAATTACTGCTTTCCACATTGGTGAGACAGTTACTTGGTTGCAGAAAGCTACACTTATACCTGGAGGACATGAGTCTTTAATTTATACTACATTATCTGGAACTGTAGGAGCGTTAGTTCCCTTTACTTCTCATGAAGATCACGAGTTCTTCCAACATTTAGAAATGCATATGAGGAGTGAGAATCCGCCATTATGTGGAAGAGATCATTTATCCTTTAGAAGTTACTATTTCCCTGTCAAGGTAAGTTGTTTGTTGTATTAATTCTGCCGTTAATTGTATGTGAAAAGGTTTATAAATTTAAAAAAGACTTACTGGAAGCATATTTTGTCCATGTTCCTTAATTTCTTCTTTTCTGTAAATCTTCTGGTCACTTCAAATACTAAATTTCTTACACATTATATCGAGAAATGCAAAAATAAAACTCACAATAATACACCCAGTCCTAACATTTGGTTTAGAGACCTGGACTCTAACAAAAAGTAATGAAAACATGTTCATCATCATCTTTGGCTCTGCAACCCTGGGTGGGTCTGGGCCTGTTCAAGAATTGGTCTCCATTCTCCCCCTATCTTTCGCCCTGGCTTTCCAATTTCTGACCCCCCCCCCCCAGATTCCTCAAGTCATCTTCGACTTGAGTTTTGAATCTAGATCTTGGCCGCTCTCTCTTCCTGGTTCCTACTGGCTCTTTATAGAATATCTGTCTTTGGGGTCTCCAGTGTCCATTCTTTCAAGGTGTCCTAGCCACCTTAGTTTATTAATTTTAATAGACTGATGTTGCATTTTTTATAGCAAATGAAAACATGTTGGAATGTTTAAAAAAAGGTATAGTATTTATAGTCAGTTGAAACATTTCTCTCCCGACTCGATGTATAAGTGCAGTTCAATATTACATTTACCGGTAATCAAGTTAAAATATATATAACACGCGTCAATGTTTCAAACGTATTTGAACAATCCCCATACTTCGTAGGAAATAGATGGAAGAAAGAAGGAATGAAAGATACATCTCATCAAACAAATATTGGACATTGATATGTTATTCAAAATCACCAATATTTAACACTTGGAGCTTCCCTTCTAGCCGGCGGCGATGGGTACAGATAAGAAACGTTGTTGATTGCACATGCCAGTGCTGTACAGCTAAAATGTTTATTATTTTACGAAGTATAATTAAATTATTATGCTGTCAATATGACTTATTGCCATTTAATTATAAATTATTTTTGTTGCTTAATAGGACATGTTAAATTTTTTTTATACACTGATGTACTTTACAACAGCTTAAGTCAATTAAAATTGTCCTTTTTCTGTTCTACATTAATCTATATTTGATTATAAAAATAAATGATGTGCCCATTAGGGTGGGCCGACAAAATTTTTTTCTGGAAAATAACGACGCCTGTGGTCAAAAAAGTTGAGTTGTACTAAAACACAAATTTTAAGTCCAAAATGAGTAGCTAAAAATATTTTTTTCCACTGTCACAAAGACTCTATATTTTTTTAATATAAAAGGTCATTGTGGCAGTGGAAAAAATAAAAAATAATAATTATTTCAAACGCAGATCTTCATATTTGTTTATTATCTAATTTTTGAAACATCAGGATTATTTATTTTGTAACTTAAAAAAATTGAAATAAAATCTGTATTGTTCTGGCGGTTTGATGCATACTTTATAACGTATAGTAAACTTTGCGTATTTTCCCACTAACTAATAAGTAGACAAAAATTTTACCACCAGATTGTGCAGTGGTGTAAGTGTGTACCAATATTTCAATCAATTAAACGGCCTAGCGACACTTAAATTATTTTTAGTGTTTTATTGACAATTGAGTAGAAAGTAGCGTGTGATAAAATTGCTAAAACTAGAGAATCGTCCAAGTGTCCAATTTTTGGCGCACCTAGTGATTTCAATGATTCGCAATTACCAACATACAAAGATGTTATCCATTATTTTTTATGGGTTCGTTTCTAATTGGAAAAAAATGGTGTCAATAAGAATCGACTTATTCCAGAAGCTTTGGAAATTGTAGCTCAGAAAGTAGAAACTGTTTGGATCAAGGCTTCAATTCCAATCATAAGCCACCACAGGATTATTTTTTTATTGCGAAAATATCACGAACAACGAAGGCAAATTCTTAAACCTTTTAAGAAAAGACAAAATGTTCGCAGTTACAAATCTCAATTGGAATCGTTTTTAAGTAACAGTGAACGATTGTTTGACATAGCGACCTGTAAATGTAAGGATTCTGAAATTATTGCATGTAATTGCACAAAAAAATATAAGGTAAACTGAAACTCTGATACGTTATTTAATAACTATTCTTAATACGATCTAAGTACAGATCAAAAATACCTGTATGATATTTGTGAAGCAGTAAAAAGTGGTGCTTGTTCAGAAAAACTTTCTAAGAGACAGCCTGGAAAGATGGTTCATTCTCGGTGGCATACCACTGCTTTCCGTATCCTTCGGTTATATGTAGCAACCAGAAACCCATCGGAAAATTTACAAATACTAAGCCATTTTGTAATGAAATTGTATGTGCCCATGTGGTTTTGTATTAAGACTCACCCGTCATGCATTTATGGTGCAAGGCATCTATTCAAGACAATAAGACTCTGCGACTATTTACTACCAGAATTGAAAGACTTAGTCTATAAATGTATTTAAAGAAATGGATACTTTGGGAGCCCAGAAAATATTATTTTGGCTTTGTTGTTTGATGAACGTAAACACATAAGACAATTGGGGTTCCAAAGAATTTTGAAGAGCAGACAGTTAAATTACAATGATCAGCGACATTTCGTCATCAGAATTATTTTTTGGCAGTAAGGATTACTTTGAGATTATCGACTGCTAGAAAGTTTTATGGACAGAGCCTCCTGTAACTATGAAGCTATCAAAGACCAACTAAGGGAAGTTGTTGAAAATCCTGAAACCAGTCTTTTGGCATACGTAAAATCATACCCTTGTCACACACAAGCGGTTGAGAGGGCCATCAAAATAGTAACAAAAGTTTCAGCTTCTGTCTGTGGAAGTCAAAAGAGAGACGGTTATATAAGGAACAGGCTGAAATCAAGGGAAAATATGCCGAAATATGAATCAAAGAAAGACTTTTTTTTTGAAATAATGAGATTGTTACTTTTGAAAGACATTCTGTTTTGTATCGTTATATATTTATAGATAAACTATGTTTGTATTTGTATTGTTGTATTGTGTGTTCAAAACAAATTTAGATTTAGTATAAATTAATTTTTTGTATGCAAAAAAATAAATCTACCATACAATATATTTTTTTTGAAAAATTATACAGCGCTGTGGCAGTAGAAAAAAATTAGTTGTCAAACAAAATACTATGATCAAATTTATCGTATAAAACACTTTTTTGACTCAGGCAACCATAATAAATTAAAAAAAAAATGAATTTGACATAATATTAAATGATTGGATTTTTTCGTAAAAATCTCGTTCTTATATAGCTCTGTGGCAGTGGAAAAAAATTAAATTAATTATAAAAAAAAACACTGTGAAATAAGTTATCTTATCATACATCTTTTCTGGGGTCAGGCAACTTAATTAAAAAAATAAAATGAAAACACATTACTCAACGGCCCACCCTAGTGCCCATGTCTGGTAATATGATATTATTCTTTTAATGTTTGTCGGCAACCAGTTTTTTGGGTGTTTCAACTGACTTTATAAATACTATACTAAGGCGAATCTATGGAGTAGCGAATGACAGTGAAGTGTGGAGAAGACGATACAACTTTGAACTTTATAGAATATATCAGGAACCAGATATCATAAAACATATTAAGATTGGGAGGGCGTGTAATGCGGATGGAACAAAATGCTCCTTGATAGATCCATTGGTCAGAGAAGAGCCAACAAAGTTTGATGAAGACATGAGAAATATGGGAATACATGTTTGGTGGAAGAAGGCGATGAATAGGGATAACTGGAAATTCTTGAGAGGCTAGGACCCACACAGATTTGTAAAACCAGAATGAGGATGATTTCAAATAATTTTATACCAAATCGATGACATTTAGCAGGTTGGCTGCCGCGTGTACCGTCAGCTGCCATTTGAAACATTAGTACCAGACGGGCGGATCACACGGCACGAGCGATTTGTCGGCAGATAACCTATTAAAACTCAGCCGACCCTTGAATAAGATCAAGCTTTCGTCAATTGTCAAATCTTGAAATGGAGAGGTTACTTCAATTTTTTTAATACTACTAGTACATGACGGATTTTACGGAGATAATCACCTTTATCCAAACTGGTGTTTTCTACAAAATGAAGGGCACCTAGTGTCAGTAAAAATTTATCTTGAGAAAAACCTTGAGCAAAAAATGGGCTCCGGTGTCTCAACAATACCCATCAAAATACAGTGCCAAAAAAGAGCATATTTCTTTTGGACTGAAAATTTGCCATTTGGAATAACTTTACCCTTCTGTTTGCAAAACATGTCTATATCCATTTGTCTGTTCCGTGATTAAAGTTGTATTTTCATAAAAAAAATACTGGAAAAATGTTGCCCCAACGCTGGTGTGATGCAGAGATAATTTATGATTTATACCGGAGTTGTTGTGGTCAAAATCCATTATGGTCTGCACACACTTATCATCAAAAACCCATAATTCTGTTCAATAATTGTTTCAGTATGGTTTCTTCTTGGAGATAGGTTTGAATTTCTGCTTGGTGCTGCAGTCTCATCAACAACTTCTCTAAAATCTATATCATCTTCTGATTCACTTGATTAATTCTTTGGATCATTTTCTCTCGAGAAATCGGTTTCATTATTTAACTGATAATATTAACTTTCATGATCTTCAGGACATTTTCTTAGTTATTCCTCCATCAGAATGCGTTTTTGATCCATTTATAAAGCTACCAAACTGTCTCCACAAGTTTTGGACAATCGAAAAACGATTCAATCATTTTGATAGAACGAATATAAACTACTTGACGACCAGTTCGATCTCTGAGTGAAAAATTTTTCCAACGCCATATACAATATTGCCATCCGCAACCGATATTTCACCCGTTCTGATTGAAACTTTAACTAAATCTACAGTGTATAAGTGATGAAATATTCTTTCACATGCTAGACTTATGATAGCAATGATTATATTATTTTTTCTGATTATTTTATATACAACATTTTACAGTAGTACTAAAAAGTTTCATTTGCATTCATATTACTTATTTTTGTTACAGAACGTCATCGATGGAGACATGTGTGAACAGTATAACTCTATGGAACCTACAAAACAGAAGTTCGTGGCTTCAGAATTGGATAGAACCCCAGCGGAAGTATCCAAGAAGCTAGAAGATATTAGAACACGTTATGCTTTCTGAGAGTGTAGTTTTAAGTTATTTGTGAATGTGATTTTTTATTTAATGTAATTTTGTATATATAAACAATAATTTTTTTTTAATTCAATTTTTACTTTCTCTTCAATCAATCCTAAATATGTGGTGACCCATGTTACATGATTAAAAGTGTCCTTCCAATGGGCTTAAATTTACTGACAATGTTTGTGTAAATGTCTAGTCGACAAGAAGACTGTTCTCAATCTATTCTCCTATTCTTACATGTATGTAATAATGTAAGTTTGGTTAACTACATTATGAAAGTAGTGATCTTGCAGTGAAATCTCGTGCTAAAATGATCTACAGATGAACCTAAAAGATCTGCTGGAGTGAAGTTGAACTTCAAGGCACAAACACATACACCTGAAGGCCAAGTGAAGATTTCTATAAAATTATGTAAAAAAAACAGATAAATATGTTTTCAATAAACAGATGGTAGTGTTTGTAATGCATCCATCCTTTTGTGTAGAGGTAGTGGATTTTCTAAAGAGCTATGACGTAAATAGTTGCATATATCTAATTGGCAACGATGTCATGAAAGGATAAAGTGAAAACTGAAAATGTCAGACTTGTCAAGACACATTTATGATAGCCCAGGCGAAGTGGGTCAAAAATAATCTATCCCCTAATGTATCAAAGGGCAATTACCAAAAAAAATTCTATAGTTGAGCCGCTGAAAGGATGGAATGATCACGTAAATGGCACGCACTCTTAAATATTCCTCTCCCTATGTTAACACTTTTCCCACGTTTACACCGCTCAACAAAACGGACTAACACTCTCACTATAATATATTTACACCGTTTTTTACAGGTTATTAAACGTAACACACAATTAATAAATCTAACTCTGACAATAATTAATACAAATTAAGTACGCGTGAACTCTACAATCAATTTTTAACACTGCCAACAAAATTCACCAGCTAGGGGAAGTAAAAAAATACAAATTAATAATGACGGTGTAAACAGTCTCTAAGAAGATCTAGTTTTGACCGCCTGTCGATGCTTACAGTGACTGATCATGCGACAGTCAATTCCATCTCTTTTAAACGGCCATGGTATAACAATTAGCTGCAATTAATCTATAAAGAAACAAATATTTACTCATTCTTGTTTTATACAGGGTAGTCCTTAAGTAATTGTACAAAAAGAAACCGTAGATTCTACACTTTAAAATATTACGATTTAAGTCAAGTTGCTTTAATAAAATGTTAATGTTAAGAAAAATACAGGGTGTAAAGTGGAAATTTAAAATTTTATTTTTTGCTATAACTTTTATGTTTGTCAACATTTATGTATAAAAATTTACAACTGGGTAGTATTAAATATCAGAAATTTTACTTTGATGTATCTGATAGAGGTCGCCACATACGTGGCATATATTTGCACTTAACTTTTTTGCTCCTCAAGTTATGGGTATTTTTATTAAAAAATATTAAAGATACATTATTTTAACAAAAAAAAGGTATACTTCTTAATATCCTCAAAACTCAACAGTTTTCGAGATAATCGCATTTTAGAAATCAACTACATAATTCTGATTTATCTCAATTACTCCAGACAACGAAAGAAAATTAAAGAAAAACATCAATACTTCTGAATTTTGGTATAAAATACCTTTAATAAAGTTAATAGTTAACGAATTATTAAATAAAATAAATATATCAGCAGGATAAAATAACACAGGATTTGATAAATAACAGAATAATTGGATTTTACATCAAACATTTTACGTTTTGTATTAAATTAAAGGCATAATCAAAACATTTTATTTACAAACCAAATTAAGAAATAGTTAAACTAAATAACGTTGAACTTTTTGTCAAAGTAAGTGTTCAATATGTCCACCATTTTCTTTAATTCATTTGTCAATACATTCCATAAAATATCGTCTCATATTAAATAGCATCATCATTGGTTCTAAAGACCATTCTTATTGTGTCATAGAACATAAAGCATTTTAAATTCGCCGTAATTAGACAACCAGTCATACATTAGATCCATCACATCTAGCGGGTAATGTCCAAACAATTACTAAATAATGTGAACTAGTGCAGTCGTTCAGGGATAGAGGGCAAAATGTAATTATTAAACTTATGTAAGCTTTCTAAACTTTGGAATATAGCGAATCACTGGGATTTTCCTTTTATTATTAGCTTTTCAATTTTCCTTTTTGAGCAATACTTTCTAAATATCCAAATAGTTGTATCTCCTTGTCATTATACAACAAGTAATACTTACTATTCTATAGACATCGACCTTTTGAACTTCTGTCATGTTCGTCAGTTTTTATTGAACTTCTTGAGATAGAATTACCCATTCGCCAAAATTTAGACTGCCAAAAACGCTCTCCCCAAAATTTTGACTTCATTTTTGTAAAATAATAATTTAATTTACTTTATCATAAAATTGGAAAATTCAAAATTAAAACTAAACTAGTATTCAAAGTCTTTTATACTAAACGCCATCCCGTATGATAGATAACTCGTGGATCTATTATCTCATTGAATAGGGTGGTGAGAATTTAAATTTGAGTAAAATAGTTGTTTTTTAACTTTTTTATATATAATACTTTTCCTTCCTTTTTTATTTCCTTCTGAAAAGTTACTACAATTTAGTTGATTTATGTTCCTTTGACATTTGTTTTGTTATTTTTGTAACCATTATTTCGATCTGGGAAGTTATTATGTAACACTTGATTGATTGATCTTTGGAAATTGTTAAGTTACTTGTTTTAGTATTATTTTCATTATCATATTTTATGTAATAATTATGTTTTAAATGGTAAGGTATATAAAATATACTATATCTTTTATATTTAAAGGAAATTATTGGGAAATAAAAGAATATATTTTTGACAATATTATATTTTCGTAGAGACAAAATATTACAATAAACTATATATAAAGAAGTACCTTGTCTTAAACTAAATAAAAACTATACAATATTGTATTTTAAAATCAATAAAATTCTTATCTAAAGGTAGGTATTTTTTCAGCTAGAATAAAAATTATCTATATATACAAAACAAACATTTCTATTGCAATATCACCAAAAATTACATATTTTTTTCATTTATTTGATGTAAAATTATATAAGATATATTCGTTAGTGATGTATATCCAGCAAATCAGATAAGTAAAGAATAGGCGTAGTTAAAACTCTGTTGGCCTTTCCACAAGAGGAACATTTTAAATGATTTGGGTTTTCGTTCTAGCTATGCCTATGAACAGGATTTTGTGAACAACAATAAATCAAGTACACATTCAAAATTATAAACATTCAGTTATTTAACGTGTTTCTATATATTTGCTAAATGGTGACAATTAACAACCATGCAAACATATCACATGTTATTTGGACGATTAGTCAACAAATCTTGTACTGCTTCAAATCTAACAATATTTTAATTAATTGTTACAAGTTCGACATTTTGGTAACACTGTTGTATTGACAGATGATAAAGAATGTACAATGAAAAATATTCTAACAGAAACCAGTGATAATACTTTTTAGATGCATTATTTCGATACATCACCAAAGTTTCTACTTGGGTTTCTTTCTTCTACAAAAGCGGCATTCGTGGCACTAAGTACTGAGAAAATAAAGTGTAAAAAGTTAAATTTGGAACCCGAAATCAGAAATCAAAGGAAATATGTTTAAAGCGTATGAGGTGGAGGATATCTAGATAGATGATAAAATACCCTGTAGGTATTAGTTTCTAAAACAATCAGTCTGCAGTATCAATACCAAATAGAAAGCACCGTGGAACAAATATAAGAAGAATATATCAGCAATTTGAACCGAAGCAATTTTCATCTAGTTTTAAATACTTATTGAACTATGAGAATTACTTCTTTGGGTAAGAATGTTGCTAGCTTTTATTAAGAGGAGAGAACCGCTTGGTGAAGCTTAATGGAAGGACATGATTTGATGATAGAAATGTACATGAGTAAGTGCCAGAGATGGAAATGTGTGAATCAAGAGAAAAAAAAAATAAAATCCTAAACAAAATCTCCATCAAATATTTAATTTTAGACCAATAAATACAGTTGAGCTTTTGGTGCCGTATGAAATATAGAAGAAGAGAGATGATTTATTACTTAAATATTTTAAAAAATTCTATATTAAATGTAAAGAAACTATTGCAGTAATAATATGGTTTGATTTATTAATAGTTGATGAAAATAAGAAAAATTAGAAGAGAAAAATTATAAATTTATCAACTCCAAAGTTAATGAACGAACCTAGTTTTGATTACTATACTAAACTGAATTGAATTTGAAAGAAATTAATAGGCTAGACATGTAAACTTGTTGCTTTTATGGAAAATATTTAGTCGCAGAACATAAATATCAAGATATGTTTTATACTGATATCTGTCAACTGCCAATCCAATTGTCGAGCGGATTCAACGACACTTTTTCGAGTCTTGGAGTACGGAAGTAGACTTTTTTTGTTGTCGAAGGATTTTACCAAATTGCTTGTCAGATTTGAAAGCGTACACTACGTTTGTTGTGCATATTTTTACACATTAACACATACAACTGTTTTTCTACACATTTCAATTATCTTATAGTATAGTACAAATTTCCGCTGAGACAAATCCTGGGTTAGGTTTTAATATTTTAGAGCTAATTCTACATGTTTAATATTATTTCATATATCTCGTCCTGATTTGCACTGAGCTGTAGATTTCAAGACACATTATCATTTAGGTACATACGTTTAACAACAAATTTAGAAAAAAAAACAACTAAAATTACAAAAATCACAGAAAGTTACAAACAATTTACAAAAATTATATGTGATATTTCGAAATTATTAAATAAATACTATACAGAATGTACACTTACTAACTTACTTTATTTTTCAAAAAGTTAAATGACCCAAAATTGAATTTAACATAAGTACGAATCAACATATTTCTATTTACAATTTTTTGTTCTCTTTATAAAATTACCTATCTACAAAAAGAGCCACTAATATCGGGTATATTGAACTATTAACAATTATTTATATTTTTTTCTTTTATATCAAATATATTGTAATGAAAACGATACTTTGAATTTATTTGATAAAAAAATACAACAGTAGTGACTCGCCTTGTATTCCTTTTGATCTATATCACTTTCTCTATTCAAAAATCGACGTTTCCTATAAACCATGATTTATTGTGTACATACTGAGATCAAAGCCAAAAAGATTTGCCACTCTTCAATCAAAGAAAAACAAAAAGAGAGCTATTCATTGACATTCATTTGTTTTTCTGTCAATCACTAGGCACCTCGCAGTCTTTTCTAATCCATTTTAAAGCACCTTCCTTTATAATTAAAATATATACGATGGAGGATGCATAAATTTAATAACATTCCTGTGAATAGTATTAAAAAGTATGGACCTCCATCGTGGGTAACAAAAATTTGGAAAAAGACTTCCCCCAAAAACCTACTCTTATCACAAATCTCACAAATCCGACTAACTTTAATATTATTACTATTATAATTGATATTTTTACTTAACATTTTAGGTATATACTTTTATAAAAAATCTTATATAACAAAATTGTCACTATTCCATACTATACAAAATCAACAGTGATACATTTCATTTTTTAAAAGTTCTTATAAACTTTGTATTTACAGATCAACCATCTTAAACAATCTTCAACGGCTAACCAACAGATTATTTCTTTGTACAACTGTTCTCTGAAAAGCACTTTAAATGCAGGTTACTTTTGAACATTTGTTGCTTGCTTATCTAAACCAAATAAAACAGGAAGAACTTGAAATATGGCAAACTACAGGACACTTATTGGGACAACATATAACTGATTAACAACGTGCTGTTCAAATGCCAGAAATTGTCTTAAATTGGTCCAAACGTTCGGATAAATGCTTTAATTTATTGTAACTGTATGAAATAGTGGTGTACGGTACATTTTTTAAATTCTACAACATGTCTACAATGTTCTTTTTCAAATCACAACCTTTCCATTCTTTCAGGTCACCTAAGGATACAGATTAGTCGATTTTTATCTAAATTTACATCAATATCTAAATATCCATATTTGAGCAGGACCATAATCTTTTGTTGCCATTTTGGCAGTGGTTCTTCATTTTTCAAAAAAAAAAATGAACAAGAATTAGATATTTTTAGAGATGTATAACAGCTTTATTTGGGTTTCCTTTAATTGTACTTTTTTTACAATAGCACAGAATATGATTTAACATTCATATAATTTTCAGAACTATCTTAGGATTATCGTAGAACTAATTATTATCTAAAAACCCGAAAAAATACTTAAAATTAGAGCCTAAATCCTATTTTCTTTTTATTCACAAATGTTTGTAACAGTGTTTTTAGTGTTTGATCACCAAAAAACAAATGTATAGACAAGTACAAAAACGGATAATCCCAAAACAGTTGAAATTGTTCTCAACAAACCTAAATGCAAACGCAGACACTAGGGCAATATAAAATATTTTACTGCGCAAACACTGCGCAGGCAGTTTCTGCGAAAAGAAACCCGAATAAAGCTTATGTGCTTGACTGACAGTTACATAGTAACTAATAGTGGCACATTATATTAGTTGCACTTATACTGTTGGAAAGTAATGCAACTGTAAAAATCAAATAGCAAATGATTACGGCTCTCTCTCTTCGGATTGCTATTTTGTCTTTGCTTTTACCACAAAATGACTTCTTTATGAGATCTTTAAGAATGCTACAAACTGCAAAAATTCGTTGTTACTGTCTTTTGAGTCATAGCTAATATATACAATCTAGAAATTGAATATTTCTAAATAAATAATTTGTGATTTGTTGTACTTTTTCGAGACACAACCGGTTTTCATCGCCGGCTGATTGAGTTTTACTCTTTGAGGAAGAAAAAACAATTTACGCTGCACCAGTGCAGTCTATTTCGACTATATCCTTAGGTACCTCTACAAATTGGTATACTAGCCTCTGACCATCTACTTTAGCTAAAATGCCTCTCTGGTAATAATATCTTAAGGCTCTACCCATGGTTTCGTAATTCATATCAGGTTTGTTCTTGTGCATACCCCATAACCTTGAAACAGCTTTGGAATCGACTAACTTGAAGACACCCTTCTCCCTATTCGTCCATTTTATATACCTTGGACAGTATTCCCTATCTTGTAATAACTTGAGTAAGAATTCCCAAAGGTACGTTGTAGATCCTTCCCTGGACTTCCTCTTCACCGTTCCAGTTTCACCCAATTTTTGTTTCTTCACTTTTTTTAGCTTCCTTGGGGAAAATCCTAACATATAAGGGTCGTCGTACATACTACTGGTAGCTGCCTGGATTACCGAGGTTGGTATGGAGTGCCTTATGGGGGGTGAGGGAGGGGAGGGCGTGGTGAAGGGAGACTGAGTATGGTGGTGCATATGGTGATTCTGCTGAACTTGGTGTTGCTGTAACAGGTAGCTGTTGTAAGGGTCCAAATCTGAAACAAAAAGAAAACAATTTATAATTTTTGTAAAACTTATTAAATACAGTAAAATTATTGTTTTATTTAATCTAGAATGTATTTATCCTTATTTTGTAGGATTCTTCGATTATAAAGTTTGCGTTTAATTTTTAGACTGTTCACCATAAGTGAGGTAAAAATATCCTATATGAAAGATTCCACTAAACATTTTTGTTTTTGTAGTTATGTGAAAAGGTATATGCAACACAAAATACAAACATATAATCTGCATAAACACACATTACACAAAAAGAATAATACAAAAAAACACCCTCAGACTTTTTTCAACTAAAAGCAGGCTATTACCTACAATAACGAGGCCAAATATCTATCGTCCACCGTCAATTTTAAAAAACATAGCCTACTAACAATTTTTTGGTTATAGGTACATTTTCGTGCTATAGACCGAGCAGTCTGTGGTGTTGTGGCGACACCATCGAGCAAAAAGACAAAAGAGGAAATCTAATCGTTATGAAAAGGAGACCAAAATTCATAAAAGTGGCCTCTTAATATGGCGGACATATCCGGAAATGCGAATGCGCCAAATTTAAATTTTCCGACACTTATTAACAGTAGCTATAAAATAGTTTTCTGAATGTGTCTTAGACGAGAAAGTTTTAATTAAATATTAAAGATAACAGTCTAAAATGTGAAACAATTGTTAAAAAAGTATAGTATTCCCGTATAGTTAATCCCGTATAAACATAATATTTAGCTAGTTATTATCTCTAATCTACTATTTTTCTTTTGATTACAAAATAATCAACGCATTCTATATTGTAGGTTATCACAAGTTAGATTTCGGATTTCAATTCTATGTCACATGGTTTCCCATTGACATCACTCTACCTTTCTACTATTATATTATTTATCTATGACTCTACCGCTCTCTGATGTTTTTGCTCCTCTGTATTATTACAAATATTCTAATAAAATGTCTGTTATATTGTCCAGGGCAAGGAATTTGGTTATATTAAATCAATCGGTCGATTCCTACAAACGTTTCCGGGAAAATAAAATTCTTAAATTTTTTATTTACAAGAAAAAAAGGGATAGGATAAAGGTGAGCAAATTAAATAAAGTGAAGGATGACAAAAGCGGAAGGGCTGTTAGATATAGAGGTAGACCCTTTATGTACTCTGAAAAAGTAGGTCAAATGAAGGCGGTGAGATATTTATTGTGTATAGGGTTTATGTGAACACATGCACAGGTAGATATCAACAGGCTGTTTGGAAAACAGGGAGGGACTGGAATTAAGCCGATTAGGACGGGTATGATTTTTTATGTAGCTATAGAATTAGTACTTTGAAAAGAGAAATTTTGTATCATTTATAGCGTTAAAAATATCGATAATTATTTGTTTGTTTTGGTCCTAAGTGACAATTGAGGTGGGGAATATTTTACCTTGTTTTTAATTTTAGAGAATTGTTCGTTCCCTTTTTTATTATTAAAATTCACGGTTATAAGTATTCTTAAATACACTTATTATAATATAACGGTAAATTTCGAAACTTCGCCGTTATATTCTATGATCGGCAACAATATCGGTTTATATTATAATGTAATCATTTACCACGGAGTTAAAATAGCAACTTAATACTGCCAACCATCTGGGCAGTGGCGAATCTAAACATTTGCCTTGGGGGAACTCCCAATAAAAATGTCTAACACCAATATTCTGGCTAATTGGCTAAGCCAAATTGGCTAAGCCAAAGCCATTATACAAATAAAAAATCACCAATATTTCAAGTTGTCAAAACTTGTTGTGGGTAATATAAAACAGTGTAAAAAAAAAGTTAAATATAAAATAGACCAAAATTGGTAGTGAAGTGGCAATTAAAAATTCTCAGTCCACTCCTGATTGACCGAAGACGAAATGTTTTTTAGAAAAAGACGGAACATATCCGGAAATCAATTATGTTAAAGAAGAGGGTGTTGTAAACAGGTAGTAGAGAGATGGAGTGATTTGTCTTGGGATTTTACCAAATTATAGGCTTCTTGTGATCGGAATGCCCCATGCGGGGGCCCGTTTAATAGGGTGAAAATATTTAATCAGATGAAGAGATAGTCTTATTCTCACGAATATTAAAATGCTCCGATTCGACGTAATAGAAGGGATAATGGATGGCACTCTAAAGATTTTAAATAAGGTAGTTCTTGATATATCTTAATAATTATCATTATAAATATTCTCAGAATCAACTGGTACCTATATTTTTTAATTTTCAGTGAAGATTGGATAGCTTTAACTATTTGATGGCTCAACTGACTAAACAACAAAAATGAAAGTATGGACTGTTATAGATAAAAAATATATTAATCCATAAAGGCGACTAATAAGACGACACAATATCCATTCACGTAAAGTAGTGAAATTTGCTGGTGAATAACACTTTAAGATCTATACTCATCAGTAATTTCTAAATTATAACCGATTATGGAAGGGATACTACATGGTTATTATTTAAATTATATGTTTAAATCTTTCTTAGAATCAGAAAGAAACTATGTAACTGTTTTGTATATTGTTATGTTTTCTTGTTTGAGGCTTGACTTGTTCTAGTATCAAAATAATGGTATAAAGTAGAAAATATATTATGTAGCATATTCTAAAGGATTCTTTTGTCAATATTACATATCTCAGGAAAATCATGTACCTTTACTTGAACATGGCATCTATATAGTGAATCAAATATAAATAATAAAATAACCGGAAATAAATTGAATATATTTTTCTTCTATATAAATATGTAAAACCTGTTCTGCTCTTTAGCCGATGTTAACAGATTTTCTTTTAACTACTCTTCTACATTATCCGTGCATGAAATTTAATAAAACGCCAATGTATATGACGATAGAGACAGAACCGATTCCTAAAATACAGTTAATTTAATCTCCTATTTATAACTTTCTAAATTCATTCTTGCCAAATAACAAACTCAATCTTTTCATCTAGTGTCACCACGCCTATTGTCGACTGCCAACCGATCGCAGCATTTCCTAGACTCAAATGCTATAAAAACATCATTAGTCTTCTTCTCACTATCACTTACAAAAACACCCTAAGGACGTAATTAATCAATAACTTTCCTATTTAACGAAGGTGATTTACTTGTAGCCAAATTGTCTAAAAACGTTAATGACGTGACATTCCAAGTGCCAAACTAGAAAAACACATTCGAAATTGTTCCTCTGAGAAATTAATAACTTGGATAATTAAACCAAATCGATGGTTTTGTGTTAATTCGAAATAAATGATATTAGCAATTTTAAATATCGTTTTAATTTTTCATACTATCAAATCTGGTGATAACTTCAGAAAAACAAGACTGTGGAAACGTGATCTAGTTTTCCTTTGTAAAATAAAAACCAAAATTATCGATAACAGTCGATTGTAAGTTGGTTTTAAGTAGATAGTTATTATTGTTGTAAGACGAGTTGCTTTTTTGTGGAAACTTATTTTGTTGCCTCTTTAATTACGTTTGTAGATTGTAAGCCCATAGCTTTGATAGTGGAATAGATATTAGGCGATTATTATATAAGATGGAAGGCAACCATATATACGTATTTCGGACTATTTTAATACTGTGCAGCCAAGTTAGAAAAGGATCATGTTAACTTGGAAAAGGATCACCAGGAGCAATGCGACCAATTTATGGCAATGATATTAAAAGACTCTGAGGTTTCCAGAGTAACAACTAAAACATCCACGGAGGAAGCTAAGCTACCTGAGGAAAGAATAGGATAAATAGTTAACATAATTGATATAAACAGGGACCGCCTTCAAAATTTGAAAAAAATAAATGAAAGAATCTAAACAAGTCGCATGGTTTTCTTCCTTTGATTTTATTGAACTTCAAACCATTGCCTATATCATCAGTTTCTTATTCAATTGATCTCTAATGTTTAACACATCACAAATATATGTAGTATTCACACATTTTTAAATATTTCACTGTATTTTTTATTATTTAAAACCATCTTTCTTGAGTAAAATATTTTACGCATTCCTCGTATAAACATTGAATGAAAATTTCTGAAACCGATTACAATGAGAATGTAGCACACGGTGATGAAAAACAGCAGTTTTTATTATTGTCTAAGTCGACTTACCAATCGAGTTGTATTTTCACAGTGAAAATGAACTTTCGTTTTAGAGAGTTCTCTCTTAATTCCGGTAATACTATGCATCGACATATTTTTATTGCGCTTCGTAAATCTGTTTGCATTTTAATATAAAGTGCGTTTATATTTAAGACGAGAAGAGGTGACCATATCATCGTTTTAAAGTTTATAGATCGAAATAATCTATATGATTCAGAATATATTTAAATATACTATACCAGAAATTTTTCTAATGTGCTTCTCCAGTTTTATCGACAACGGAACTGAAAAATAGCAGTTTCATAATGTTTCCCCACACAACGTTTAATGCTAACTATTTTTTGACTATCATCATGTTAACAAACTACTAGATTGCTTTTCGGTTGGTAGCTACATAAAACAATTTCTCGACTGTTCGAAATATTCAATGTCTTACGCAGCCAGGGCAGTTGTTTTGTCCGCATCAGCGTTCTCCTTCTATTTCGGCCTGAATGATTAACCCAGTAAGCGATATTTAGGCCTCCTCATATGGTCGAAGTTATGGACCTTTCTCATTTTAATAGTATTGATCAGTTCTCAGTTGTCGTGAACACTTATGTACAACTCGAACTGGACAACTTTCATGTAAATATCAGGATAGAATTGTTTTCTAATGCTCCTTTGTCCGATTCTTCTCAATCGACGATGGTAAATAAATGGTTGAAGTGTGGAGTAAACATTGTAGTTTTATTGACAGCTACTGATAATTACACTCTAGTTGTTGGTTAGGTAACTTTCTATAATGAACTGCGCTCAAATGAGCTCAAATCCCCAATTTATAATTTCACAAATAATGTATACCTCAGCACAGAGGTTAATGCTTCTATCATACT